ACATCAAGCTTATCGGGCGGGCGATGGTTTCGTCCAGTGCTTTGCGTTAACGAAGATCTTGATGATTTGCGACTGGGCATGACGACGAGGATTTAGAGGGAGATACAGGGCAGAAGGGACAACGCCTACATTGGCCTGAGGGAGGCGGTTGAAATAGTCAATGAACTAGTGGCTTGATTGGCTTTATTGAGGGGATTCTAGGCGGGCGGTGGCAATGAGATTCCTCTGATGTCAGAGAAATAATTTTTGTTTTTTTATCATCAAGAAGCCTTTGGGAGAAAGCTAGAACCGTGGGACGGGCAGGTCAAAGCCTGGAGCCCCGTTGGTGATTCGCTTGATGTCAGAGTCTGGATCGCTTCCGTTATGACGCCACGACAGCCATTTTTTCTCAGTTGGATGGTAGAACGGAGGCAGAAGAATTCTGCACGCGGTGTTTTTATAGCCATTAATTTTCAATGGTATTTATTAATCTGAACTGTAATTTCAGGAACGCTGTCGATAAAAAATAAGTCTAAGTATATACTATAGTATCAACTCATTCCTAGAGGAGTCGGACGACTGAAGTATATTATATGCACCATTCAATCCACGAACGGCCTTACTTTCCTGCCTTTCACCAATTGATCATAATACTCTTGGACTGTGCTGCGCCCTTTTCCTTCAAAGTACTTGGGCCCGAGATCGGCTGTCTCAAATCCCTTCGGATAATACTTCTCTCCTTCATCCCCAGGGAGTGGCAGTCCGAACAACCGACTAACCCACGCTGATAAACCCCAGCGGTTCAACAGGGTGGGCTGAACGTAGTATGGCGCACCACTCCAGGTACGCACATAGTGGCGACCATGCTCATTGGCGTCCTCGGAAAACACATCCAGTCGGAGGAAGTTGGGCCGCGGGAGAGAAAGATATCGGAGGTAGAGCCGGCGAGCAGCCACCAAAGAGAAGAAGATGCCATAGTATATGCCAGAAGGAGCGTCATACCTGACTCGTTAGCATCTCGCTACCAAAGCTTGCAGTGCATGAGACTCACATCATTGCCACCCGTAGTCTTTCATCCATCATGCAAGAGGCAAAATTCACGCCGACACCCTTCAGCCAAGCCGGCAACGCATAGACCAGAACGTCCATAGTCTTATCCGCAACGGCCTTATTCTCCGGGCTAGGCTTCATGTACTGCTCCTCGTATCGGTGGCTCCATTCAGTCATCTCTTCGAGGAAATGTAGTCCATCTCGGAATCCTGTCTTCGCAGATGGCAGCTCCGCGAAGTCAATCTCCAGTTGCTCCCCTAGGTTTTTCCAATATGTACCGATGGCACATTTCTCAAGTTCGCTCATGGAGCGCCATTCGAACATCTCCACAAAGCGGATCGGCTCGGTCGCAAACAAGCTTAGGGTATATAGCATGTCGGAGTTGAGAATGCTACCACTATTCCGATAGCCGGTGTGCAGGAACTTCGTTCGCGCGATGGCAGCCAGGGCACGGTCGGAGGTGGGCTCAAAGGACATGAACTGGCCGATGAGTGCACCGGTGTCGGCATAGCGCTTGAACGAGGTGGCTGGGTCGGAGAATTGGGACGTCTTGAGTAACAGTTTGGAGATCGTGGGGATACCATATGTCTGGCCGGCCAGTTAGTATTTATTTATCTGGGTTGCATACTATAAGAGAGTATTTACTCGGAAGAGCGCAAACTGTAGGGCCTTCAGGGATATCGTAGGGAATTCTAGTTGAAGAACCTTTTTTTGAATGGCCCAAGCATCATGGTCGGTCATGTAGGCCATCCCTTGACGGGTCGCGTATTGGCGATACTCGCGATGCAATTTGCGTAGTCTCTGAAACCGTAAACAAGCCACCAGGATGAGATATGTTGCGACAAGACCTGCCGATGTGGCAGCGCGTCGTCTAGGATTCCCCCATAGTATTCCCAACACCCTTCTAAATGGGACACGCTTGGATAATGCAACTATACGAGAGATGTGGTTCTCCATGGTGAATATCGATTTTTTTTCGGACTATGTTCTTTGACGGCACCTAAGACCCGTGAGATAGCACGAGAAAGGTCCTTTTTATACTCCCCACCCGCACCTTCCATCTTGCAGCCCCAATAAGACGAGCACATTAACAATCCTCCGGGTGCGAGTCAGTCTCTGTCAGGCCACCTTCATGCAGTGAAAGTAGAGTGAGATGGTGTAGCTTGTATCAATCATATGCAAAGTATGCTAACTTACGGCGGACCGAGGATGCGGAGTGCGGGGAGGTTTTTGTCGATCAGCCGTGGAGGGCACGAACGATGGCAGCACGAACAGTTGAACGGTGCTCTCAATACCCGTATCTCCGTGCGCTCTAGCAAATCATCAGAATGATATTTGTCGGATAGACGAAACCGACATCATACGAGGAGTCGATCAGTGAGATCTGAGCATTACTTTTGCCGTAGTCTGTAGGATCTACCGTAAAAAAAGCCGAGAGCCTATCAGGTAAGTATATAGCTTTAGGCTTATGCACGTATGCCTGTCTTCTGACTGGTTCTAAGTAGCACAACGAGACTTTGTGCTGCACGACTAAGGCATTGAGTGCAGGTCCTGGGCATTACAACCCTCGGCTATAAATTATCCAGACGCTAGGCATTAGCCTGTTGGACATTTGCATGATAGCACATCCGAGTAGATACCACTAGCGACGTATCAAATACGATGGGATATGCTAGAGTCGCAGTCTTATCAGCTCCATGAGGTAGTTATCAGGCCGAGGCCAGAAGCCGAGCGTGTTTCACAAGGCATGAATTAATTACCGAGTCCAGAGCGTCATACTCTCACGAGACAACCAAGATTACACTTTTCCAATGTGTCTGTTGACCTTGTCATGTACCCGTGGCAATGGCCTCAGAGACTTCTAGGTATGCTCTAGTAACTTAACCAATCCATGGTTGCAGCGCAGGTTTGTGTCTCTTAACTTTTTGAGTTAAACACTCGACAAGGACTACGAAAGTCAGCTATCGTAGAACTGTTCCGCAATTTTATTGATCATGGATATCATGCGTTAGACCTTCCGAGGTCTCTTAATTGTCTTATATCTAAAGTATCAATAATGATAATGGACGTTGGTACGGAGCAAGATTCCCAACAATGCTGAGTCAACCTGCGCTTCTTGCATGAAATGATTCTAACAGCTCCAATTTTCCGGCTCGTATCACACTGAAGAGCGAGCAGGCCTTCCGATATATAGTTCATTTCAACCTGAACCTCTTAACATTATTGATGCATTGCCTGCCTATTCGAAGAGTGTAATCATCATCACTATAGATATCAGTGTCTTATGGATAGCCAGCATCTCAACCGAACCCAACGCCACTAAAATCAACATTCGACATATCGTCAGACATCCGTTTCTCTTCTGCGACTGTCGGTAGCATCCCCGATGTCAAGGACGATCTACCAGCCTGTGGCCAAAGCACTTCACGATCATGAACGTCCCGACTGATAGTCGTCTCGACCCTGATAAAATCCCCTGTCATGCTTTCTCTGCGGTCGCGCACCTCAGCAGCTGACGCAGGGTAGGCCTGTGCTCGCACTTCGGAGCGACCGTCCTGGGAGAAGTTCGTGCAGTGCTTTTGAAATGGCCAAGATTCAGCGCGTTGGGTACATTCTGCTGTCATCAAGCGACCTATGGTTTGGCGGTAGATCCTCCTGCAAGTATCGGTACAAGGTTTGAATAGCGGGGGCATAAGAACGATTGAGGTGCAGACAATAGCAATATCAATTTCGAGGAGCGTCCAGATTCTTTCTCTTGTGCCGCTTGCTGGGGTATGTCAGCAGAAATGAGGACTAGATTGCATGTGGACATATTCACCCGTTAGGTTGTTTATTGGGTAATATCTGAATTCAATCAGACGCATGAGACTAAAAGTACAAACACTAGTTGTGGTCAGTACATAGCACGTTCAGTCTGTTGAAGTAATTTATCGACTTACATTCCACCCATACCGAACAGGATGGTAAGAAGTACCTTCTTTCGTGGGGCCATTTGCAATCGCCATGCTATGGCAAAAGGGATTGCCAGCAACATTATATCTTGCAAGAAGGAGACAGATCCAGTTGCCATGAAAAGTGCCTTCTCTCCACTTATGCAATGGCCCTCGGCTTCTTTATTCCAGAAATACTGCGGTGGCCAGCATTGGAAAGTATTCGCAAAAAAGGTTGCCAACCCCCAGGCGAAAATAAAGACGGCGAGAAATAACGTAAAAGAAAGCACTCTTTTCACACATCCCAGCAACCGACGAAGAAGGATAATAATGGACAGCTTGATACAAACCTGAGAGGCTGGCCAGAATTCTTGGGCTATCCAAAACATCTACTAGCAGTAAGTGAATGTCTCATTCCAGTGGTGGACAGCTCGTACCATTGCTACCCGATGAGCAGTCCTTGACGGCAGAGTCGAAAGGTCTATCCCAGCGCCTTCCAATGCCGCTAGTTCAGTCAATAAGGGTGCCGTTGCCCGTAAGAATTGTTGCACGTACCGATCACGGTTGTTATGGTAATGCCATAAGACAATACCAGTCCAAAGCCGAGGAATACATCACTGGCGTCCAACTTCCCGGTACTGTAGCAATGGCTATACAACCCGAGAAGATAAAAGAGCGTAGCTATCACAGCCCCAGCAATCGAGAGGGCGATGAGTAGCCGGCTCCAATATTCAGGACTGGTCATCAGCTACCAGCCTGCTCCATTCGTAGCCAAAAGAAATCCCAGTACAGTATCGTAGTAGTAATCTCGTGTTTGGTGGCAGAATTACCACTTGCATTCTTCAGGCACCTACATACCTCACGTACAATCAATAGCTTTGACAAAATATACGCGGCGGGATCGCTTGTAATAAGGGTTCTGATCGTAGCATCAACAGTGATCACTTGGATCTTGTACAGTGGTCACTAGAAGTTTATCAATTTCCCTATCCTTCTAGAAGTCGTGATGTCACGCTTTTAAGGCCCGATGGTAAACTATGGACAGCTGAAAGGTCAGAATAAAAGCATATTTGAGTATAACCGACTCAATGATTGGCTAACCACAAATCCCGGGCCGTGGTGCAGGTAAGTGTAGCTTCTTACCAAGCTGTCTCATGCCCGATTAGGGCAATGGTAGGATATCGGGGAGGTCTCATTCCAACGTTCCGCACCACCATCTGACTAACATTTGACTTCGTTGATTGATGTTTTCCCTGGTCCTATTGATAACATGTGAGCACGGAAGCCACTTCCGCATGAATCGGGCATCGCTGTACTGGATCTACGATTCCGGCATTATCAATTGTCTTCCAGCTGATCCATCGCCATCTTCGCTGTGCTCGCAACCTGTCCGACGTCACCCCCTTGGTCACTAATCTGACTCAGACGTTCCTTCCAGAATTTCCATCGTTCAGGGCACAGCTTTGCCGGTCCTTGGTACAATGACCCACCCGCCATAATTCGCTCTTCCTTGTTCTCTATAGCCATAGTTTCCTGTCGCAAAACAGGCCCACCATGTTTAAACCATTCTCTAGCCACGGCAATGTCGCAGTCCGCCTTCCTTCCCGACGATTCTTCCTCAAGAGCATCGCGGAGAGCCCATACGGCGAGAGCAATCCATGGTGCGAGGCTGATGCTGAGTAGACGTGCGACAAAAGAATTCAGGTTGATCCATTCTTTGATTTTCTCTTCGGCTTCGCTGCCGGTAGGGATGACTAAATTTCTATTAGTATACTTTTTCTCTTCTGCCTATGATCCGTGAACACGTACGGTTCCAGGCTTCTCTCATTTCAGGCCCCAAAAGTGGTAGGTCCACCCAGAGTTTCGTATCATTCTAATATTTTTAGTCCAACCCAAAGGGTTCATGACACGGGAATACTCACACCCCAAATCTGTATCGTCGTAGGTGGTATCTCGGTCAGCGCCTTGACAAGGTCCACTAGCCGCTCCTGTGACGGGCTATCACATGGAATCTGTTTCGCGACATTAATGACGATATTCCAGAATTGCCAGAGCAGATTCTCTAGGCTGTCCGCTTTAGAATCCGACAAAAGTGGAGCTGCGAATCCATGGATACTCTGTGCCGCTGCGGAAGCTGTGGTGGAGCTCGAAGGTTGGGCGTATTCATTCAATATCGCAAAGATTTGATTCTCCTGCTCTGAAGGCGACTGAATTCCCGAAGACAACGTTAGAGAGGCCATTTTACGTAGTGTGAGTATTTTTGTGAATGCCGAAGAGGACACGAAGGCAGAAAGACATAGTTTTATAACACCAGCTTATCAGGGCGGGGTTTATCGGCTGATTGTACGCATGAATCATAATACGCCTTCTAGCCACGCGCTGATCTGATCTGCAGCATTGGGTGGATGTGATTGGGGCTGGTGGTTTTAGTGTCGGTCGATAGACTCCATCTTACTAGGGCATGCTTGGCAGATGTTGGTTTATTGGTCTATCCTGCAAGAAACTGCATATTAGTCAAATTAACAACGATACATGATATCCAATAACAAATCAAATGTTTTTCTCTTCACCCTGCACTTGCAGTTTTCCGACGTCATATCAGATTTCGGCATGTAACCCTGCCAGATTCAATGACATTTCCCACAACTGCGCCTGTTTTGCCTCATCATACACCCAAGACGCGTATCCCTTTCCAACAGTTCCAGTATTCCGATCATATTTTTCTGCAATCTGACAATCCTCAAGATATTTCCCGCCCTTTCCTTCTAACTCCTTTGCTACCGCAGCCCAAACGGTGGTAGCAGCCCCGTGCTCTGAAGTTTTCCACACACTAGCAATCGCATCATCGTTATCCCATGCATCCTGCTGTTCCTTGGGGACGTATTGCTGCAACCCAGACTTGATGCCACCGGGGTGAACACTAAAACCATGAAGGCCCTGAGACCCATATCGTCTCTCGATCTCACTGGCCGTCCAGATGTTCGCCGTCTTGCTCTGACCGTATGCCATCCACGGCTCATAGATTCCCTCCAGATTAATATTATCCAAGACAGGTTCACCATAACGATGTGCCATGGAAGACACATTGACAACACGCGAATTGAACTCTGGGGTTGAGGAAGCCAGCAGGGTAGGCTTCAACAGGTAGAAAAGCGTAAAATGGCCTAAGTGGTTGGTACCAAATTGAGTTTCGAATCCATCTTGCGTCCGACCCTCCGGTGTCGCCATGACCCCTGCATTGTTGATCAAGATGTTCAATTGGGAGCTCTTAGAGAGGAAGTCCTCCGCACAGGCGCGCACACTGGTCAGCGAGTCGAGGCTAAGGGTTAGGAGGTGGACGTTTGGTTTCTTGACAAGATCCCCTAACGCTGTCTCGGCCTTGTTCAAGTCACGTGCGGTGAGATAGAGGGTAGCCCCGGTGACAGACAGAGCACGGGCTGTGTCGATGCCGATGCCGGACGAGCAGCCTGTGATGAGGATGACTTTGTCCTGGAGTTTTCCTTCTAAGCCATTGCTCTGGATGATCTCCAAAGCGGTAGGGTGGCGGTTGGCACTGCCTCTGGAGCTGTGGAGAGAGCCGTTGGTGGTGGACATCTTGACGAAATCGTTCATTTATTGGTTTAGGGGGTGAGTTGAGTATATATATATAGCACAGGATATATTCAATCTGAGGTGTTCCAGTCAATGGCTCTACAAAGCATGGATATGTCGCCCTTTTATATTCCTCAATATGCCTAATATCATGCCAATCCTTACAGTCAACATCGTATAGCTCCATAGCGGAGTTAGATCGTCCTTAAAGCCGTCAGTGTCATGAATAGCATCATCTTTTGGGTCCACAAAGATGGATGTGGATACACGTACGGCCGCAAGCTACGGCTGACAAACTTACAAAACGGTCAAAAGATGAAATCTTGGCGTTTTACATATAGCCACGGACTTCTAGGATATAGGAAGGCCTAGGTTAGCTTTTATGTCAGTATAGTTTTCGGTCCCCATATCCCAAGATTAAACTCCTATTATATACATCTATACTGGTAGATTAGTGAAGCAATTCAAGCCGTTCAAACGATTGAAAATTAATGATTCAAGTAGTTCAAGTAAGTTAAATCACTCAGTTCAGTTAAGCAATCTACTGACTTTCCAGAATTAGCAATTTTGCCCTCTGCGGTGCGTGGCTATTAGTATTTCCTTGAAATTAATTATTCTACCCTTGCCCGCCCGCGTCCGCCAATTCTGCCGATTCCGCCCGCATATAAATCCACGGGAAGTTCTTCCTCGACATTCTCAACGTCATGGCAGATCAGCAAATTCCTAGCTCGCGAGCTATTAACGCGTGTCTCACCTGCCGCAAGCAGAAACGGAAGTGTACGAAAGAGAGACCTAAATGTTCCATCTGTCGGAAGACTGGGCGGGTCTGCGACTACACCCCTATTGGCAGGAGCGCCGCGACAGCTACAGACAATACTGGAAGTCCAGATTCCCAAGAAACCAGTGAAAATGCCGCTTTTTCCAGCAGAAGCACTCATCTGGGCGGATATGAGTCAAGTGCAACGGCTGTTGGTTCCTCTATTACGAACGGTCTCTCCACTCTGTTTCTCGATTCCGATGTTCCTCAGGATCAAAGTTACCTGGAATCCAACAGACACATCTCTCTGCCGCCCGAATATATCCGTTATCTCCGGAGTCCGGCACAATTTCGACATGAGGTTGATGTTTACTTCAATAGCGTTCACACGTTCTTTCCTATAGGTAGGAATCATGGCAAATGCGGGCTTGGCACCGGGTTGTCTGCTTGATCGAAACTGAAGCTCGTTTCTTGACAGTTTCCAAATTGCGGCTGTACCAGCAACTTTCGAATGCGGATCGTATAAATGACCCTGATCTTGGTCTTCTATTAATAGCGATGCAATTGCACACGCGGTCATGTAGCGAAGTTGAATCTGGCGATGCAGAACTTTATAGATCTGCAAAGGCTTGCTACGTGTATGTTGAGAGCAGCAATGTCTTCTCCATAAAGGTACTGCAAGCGTTGCTGCTGATTGCATTATATGAGATATCAAATGCTATCTATCCCACGGCATATCTGACAGTGGGACATTGCGCACGACTTGGACATGCTATGGGGGTCCACCAGCGCAGTGATGCGCCGCAGATGCTCAACCGAGTGGGTGTGTATTGTCCACCCACACGTATGTTCTCATGTGCTTAAGAACGCAGGTACCTGGGTCGAGCTTGAGGAAAGGCGTCGCACTTGGTGGGCAGTAATCATATTGGACAGGTAAACTCTATCGAAAAGAATCCTATGCTGGTTGGTGGACCACAAGGTGAACTGATGGGTTTGTATAGATATGTCAACCTAGGCGGCAGGAACCGCCCACTTGCATGTGAAGATGCACAACCAGAGGATTTACTTCCTGCAGATGACAAGTCCTGGGATCGTGGTGTATACATCAACCCTTGCACCAAGCGGGGCTAAGCACGTTACTGAACAGCACTAGGAAATCACGGTAGTGGAACCCCTCGCAGTCCGCGCCAACACGACAATTGAAGTTTGTCCGTTCACACGAACTTGTCAAGCAGCGCACGTCCTCACCCGTGTACTTGGTCATTTGAACGATCGCAACTCCGATGTCGACTTTCGATACGAAGAGGCGATGCAGCTGCATCGCACCGCCCAGGCACTATCACATACACTCTCGAACGAACTGGAACAATGGATCGAGAAAGTATACGACCCAACCGCGCACCTTCCATTGTTTTCTGCCATTGGAATCTGTTACAGTGCGTCACTCCTCCTGTATGACAGATACTGTTGCAGCGGTATTAGTGGGGTAGCGGGGAATGTAGAAGTACAACAGATGGCGCTCTCCAGCATCAATGAGGCATCTCGGGCTGTCCTTAACTTCGCAAAAAGCATTCGCTTGGCCATGGATCTTGGTGGGGCACTCAGAATGTGTCCCTTGGTACTTGACTGTCTATATCAGGCTGCAGCAAATTTTATGTGGCAGAGTCGCGAGACCGGGAATTCAGACTTCTTAAACATGGCGAATGAGATCCAGAACGTCCTCGAGGTCCTTGGGGCCAGATGGAAGGCGCCCCGTAAGCTATACTACTGGAATACTCGCCTACTGTTTTATGCTGACGAACTGGGCTTAGGCGCGTATCTGTCAATTCTTCGAAAGTCCGGTGGCCATTGCTGACTGCCTCCGACAAGAAAGCCCTGCGCCGATGTTACTAGCCCATAAAATGATTAGAAGCTTAAGCATGTCATGAATTACTATTTATTGGTCTTAATCTCCCGGCGCTGTATGTTTTAAAATAACATGGAACCGGGTAGACATGCGGAAACTTATGACGCGATGCTGAGGTGGGCCTAACGCTATCTTAGCTCAAGTCAGTATTCAATATACTGTTAGGATTGTTCGGGTGTTGAACCGAATGGCAGATACCATCAGAAAATTAGGTTCGGGCGCCTTGTGAGCTGAGCATGATCAGATTTTTAGTAGTAGAGCAATAATCTCTCTAGGAAACGAGCACGCCACAGGGTGTGAAAGTCAGGATCAGACGACGCTCGAAGCTCACATGAAAACATGACACATCTGATAGTCCGATTCATAGCATGATCTCCCGATTTGCTCAGATGGCTTTACTCACCCGGGTCGTTTCACCTTTTCATATTATCATCGCATGACCCAGAAGTCCAGGTTGTCGCCTGGGTAGGCTTCGGGGAAGAAAGCCACAAAGGATGTTTGCTTAAGTAGTCCCAGGGGTATAGGCTATTGGCAGATGCTGCTTTGTGGCTGAAAATCCCCTTTCATGACCCGTGGTTCTGCTCCTTGGTTCCTATCATTCTATACAAAACATCCATTCTACGCCGATCAATTCCCGACGGCGGCCGAAATGCATTGTCAATCAGGAAGCAGTAACCTCAGCCCAGTGAATGGCTCATTAAGGCTGTTTAATAACTATATTGGGATAGCCCATATCGTCCCCCGTGCTGTGCTAAAGTGAAAGCCACTTGAGGGGCAGTTGATGCCAAGACCCAATCGATACCCAAGCCAAATGTGGCTTCCCACGTCGAATTGTTCTATGCCACTGGAACCAGAAGCTTCCAGCATCCTAGTTGGATGCTGGTAGTCCTTCCATGTAATCGAAAAGCATACCCTGCTATTCCACGGATGTTTTCGCTGGATTTGCTGTCTTTTACGATAAACCTTGCCATGTTGAGGCACACACGAAAGAGAGTTGGCCAAGTCCAAGATTCTGTTTCCAAATGCTTGATCAGTCCTTGAAGTTCAAACGCTGTCAATGCTTACCAGTCTCACAAATACGTAAAGACCTCTTTCCATGGAAATCAAAATATGATGTTTCAACGAAGGCATAGTAGCAAACACTATTGAAAACTTTCACCTCTAAAGCTTTGATCATACTCTGACAGCATCATTCCCGGTGTCTTACTCCTTCTGTCTTATCCTTCCCGCTTCAAGTGCGGTCTAACTTCTGACTCAACCAGGGCTCCATATGAGAGATTTAGTTGGACTAATGTGGGGTATTGGATGTCTGGTGTTCGTGGATGCAGTCGACCCGTGCTTTGGGGCCCTCGGCACCGGGTGTACAACGACCGTAAGATGCTGGCATCCTGACATTCGAGGTGTGAAACTGTTCAGTTGAGCTTGGTATTTCAAACCTTTTCTGCCAGGAAACCCAACATTGGTCGCCAAATAAGACCAATCAAGACTGCGCCATCTGTTACGCCATACCCAGAAGGTTGCTCACACATTGGAAGGATATCCAATGTAGCAGGAGCTGATACCATTTGAGAACATCAGCCAACAAGCTAAACGATCGCCTGTGGCTCCGAAATCGGGAGAAAGGCACCAACATCGTTATCATTTTACTCAAGCTCTGCAGCATCCTAATTCAGTTACTCGGTACCATTTGCCGATCGAATACTGCTTCTTGTCCCAGACCTCTCAGATGAGGCAATCTCTCTGCCCTATTCCGTGCTTCATTGTAGCCGCTCTTTAGTCCTTTCCAATTGTTATTTACCATTCCAGTCGTACCTTTCGCGTTGGTTTTTTTCCATCAATGTCTTTTGTTGTCCCAAGCAATTACCTGAATAGGCATCTCTTATCTTATCTTGATCCGATCCGTTCGGTCGTTCGGACCGATGCCCGATGACGACATGGCATATTAAATCGATCTCCGCATCCAAGAAGAATCGTTCGCGTCACTTTTATTTCAACGCTTATACAATCATTGAAGCTAACAAGATATTGACCTGGAAAATGGCCACCCACACCGTCGTATCACTCCTGTCAGCGCTGATGCAAACCCAGAGTACAAGTGACCAAGAACAAGAAATCGCCCACTTCTTAGACGACCACCTCACTAATCTCGGCTATACCGTTGAGCGCCTTCCAATTGCCGAAGGCTCAACCAGAGAAAATGTCTACGCCTATCTAGGCACCCAGCGGAAGAACCGAGTATGTCTCACATCACACTTGGATACCGTTCCGCCCTACATTCCTCTACGAATCGAGGGATCTACAATCTATGGGCGGGGCGCATGCGACGATAAAGGTCCGATGGCAGCGCAGATATGCGCTCTAGAAGAGCTGAGGGCAGAAGGAGCTGTCAAAGAAGGCGACGTGGGATTATTATTTGTCGTCGGGGAAGAGAAAGGTGGGCCCGGCATGATAGCGGCGAATAACCAGGACCTCAGCTTTGAGGGTGTCATATTCGGGGAGCCGACCGAGGGGAAATTGGTTGTTGGACATAAGGGTCATTTGATATTTGAGTTGATTGGGGAGGGCAAGGCTTGGTATGTAGCTTCCTTTCACATGGCTTATGCACCTGCTTGAACTGACTGTGACAGTCACTCTGGGTATCCTCAGCATGGGGTGAATGCTAATGTCGCACTTATCGAAACACTGAATGACTTAGTTAAAGCGGAATTTCCAGGCTCATCGCTCCTTGGCCCATCGACTTTCAATGTTGGGAAGATCGAGGGGGGGTTGACCTATAACATCATCCCGGAGACAAGTAAAGCGCTTTGTGCTGTGCGCGTTGCGACTGATATGGCTGGGATAAAAAAGATTGTCTCGGATATTGTTGCCCGACATGCAAATGTTCGACTAGAGTTCAAATTCGAGTATCCCGAAACCTTGCTGGATCATGATGTCGAAGGTACGCTTGACGTTGGGCCTTGCTTGCTACTTGTAGGAGCAATGGGCTGACACTTCTGTTTAGGATTCGAGACTGCCCCTGTTTCGTACGGGACTGATGTTCCACGATTCAAGGGAAACCATAAGAAATACCTATATGGGCCAGGATCTATCCTGGTAGCGCACGGAGACAATGAAAAGATTGAGATTGATGAGCTTGTGGAGAGTATTCAGGCGTATAAAAAGCTGACGATGCACGCGTTGAATTCTGCTCAGTAGACAGGTCAACTTTCAGGGACGTTTCAAACTATTCTTTCTCATTTCGTCAAGCGTTGGTATCACTGTCCCTACGTCAGGTTTATGACGTCCTAATGTGAATTCCGTGAGGAATATGTGAACTACCAATGTTGTAATCCGGAATATAACTGAGAACGGTAGTAGTAGGTTTGAAACAAACTTTATACTATTTTGCATTCGCCTGTAATTACTTCGCACTTACAATGGTAGCATGTCAAAATTGCAAACGTTATATGGGTTTATTATTGGGTCACTGGTCAAATATATATTTCCGGCGCCTGCATCAACTGCGAAGTCCAAAAGGGGGAACAATCGCAGGAAACGTCTAAATTATTGACCTCAAAAATTAAGAGAGGCTGATAAGTAGGCTAGAGAGCTTAACAATCAACATAAAATCAATGTTGAGATCTGTTTCTCTAGTACTCTGTGCACTCATAATCATTAGAAATCCCTCAATTCAAGGGCCGGGCTCAACCGCTTATTCAGCGGTGTCGGCCATAGTGAAAGGCCGACATGTCACGTGCAACAGAGGGACCCTACATAATTCTCCTTAGACAGTAACAAAGTCTGGCCAGGTACAACTAAGAATAGCATTAATCGGCTTGAAAGGTTCGATAAGATCCAGGGGCAATTATTCAGCGTTAGGGGATCAGTTAAGCTCAACAGGGGCAGCCTTGTGGATTGAATCTTTGTCAGACTCAACGTGCGGTTATCCGTAATTCCGCACTTTTTCCACCAGCAGTGGCACTGGAATTCCGCGCAACCAATGAGAAGACGGCAGAGACACTCTCATCGCTTATAAATTTCTCCAGCGGTCTTACAAAGCCACATTTGCCGATGAAAATGGATCTCAACGCGACAATGTGATTGGCGACTGATGGGACCATCTGAGAGAAATAAATATGAAATTTTATGGAAATGGAACTAAATCGCGGGGTGCCAAACATTCTGCGATGGCGAGATTGCATGTATATAAGATCTCAATTTCCTCTCTAATAGACCCTTAGATCTCATCAGCTTCCTACCAAACACTCCTCGAACAGTTACCACCTTTACAATACTCATCAACACCGTCACAATGGGCTCCGCTCAGGTCGAATTCAAGAACCCTTCCACCAACACTCTCCTCGAGTTGGTTAAGGCCCGCCGTACCTACTATGGTCTCAAGGCTGAGAGCCCCATCTCCGACGATGCTATCCAGTCCATTGTTGAGAGCTCCGTCCTCCACGTCCCCAGCTCTTTCAACACCCAGACCTCCCGTGTTGTTCTCCTGTTGAAGGAGGAGCACCAGAAGGTCTGGGACATTGCCATCAAGGCCATGGAAGGTCTCGTTGCCGCCGGCGCCGTCCCCAAGGAGATGTTCGAGAACCACACCAAGCCTAAGCTTGAGTCTTTCCGCGCTGGCTACGGAACTGTACGTTCAATTTCATTCCTTGTCACATAGAGCGTGAGAAAAGCCAATACTAATATAATTCTCCAGGTCCTCTTCTTCGTCGACTACGAGTCTCTTGCCCCCATCAAGGAGAAGTTCGCCATCTACGCCGACAAGTTCGACCCCTTCGCTCTCGAGTCCAACGCCATGTCCCAGTACCTTGGTATGTTCCCATACTTGACAAATTAGCCAACCACACATGTGATTAAACTCCATACTAACAACTCCCAGTCTGGACCGCTCTCGAGTCCGAAGGTCTCGGCGCCAACCTCCAGCACTACAGCCCCCTCATCGACGCCGACATCCAGAAGACCTGGGACCTCCCCGCCTCCTGGAAGTTGGATGCCCAGCTCGTCTTCGGTACCCCTACCGGCGAGCCCGGCGAGAAGGCTTTCGCCCCTCTTGAGGACCGCTTCAAGGTCTTCGGCAAGTCTGCATGAGTTTCACGATAGAACTACTTTTTATGGTGTAATTTGAGCGTTAGAGCCTAGACTTCAATGGCATATTTTTTATAGACTTCTTTGGTTCTGCTGTTTAAGTAATGATCTATGTAGGGGATTATGCTTGGTCTGCTGCTATCATTGGCGTAGATGGCGTCAGTTTTTCAGGGGAGTTGCTCCACTATTATGGATGTCCACCTTGGATAACGGCCGGTCATTGATAAAGACCTTCACCTTAATACGGGTCCATAGTCTATGGTATGACTTCATGTTTCGGGATGCACTTTACCCAAGGGGGGAGTCGTATCACCTAATCGGCAACTCAGGATACCTACCAATGCCTCAAAGGCAATAATAAAAGCGACATGGATCGACAAAGAACACACAGGTTAACCCAGGCAACAACAAATGACCCAAAGCCCAAAGAAGCATACATCCAGAACAATCCACCAGCAAAGCATCAGCCATTTCAAGCCCACAGCCCGCAGCGCAGCGATCGGCATACAAATTCTCACACCACAAGTAGGTATACATGAAAACCGCAAACAAGATTCGTTGAAAACCCAATAGACCCACAGAGTAACATTGAAAATCATCGCCAGGAACCAAACCCAAGCATGGCTAAAATTAGGGTTCTCCACCAGGGGGCGTCTCGATCGTTGCATTTAAGCTTTTCCGGGAATCTCCACTCGTATTCGCGAGCAGAATTCCCTAATCCGGTAATAATGTCGTTTTCTGATACGGATGGCTAGATCAGATATAAATCAGGGATGAGGATTCAGCTTCTCATGAAATGGACATATCTTTCTCTCAAGTCTTTTGATTGACACCCAGTATCTTTGCACATTGACCAAATATCTCAACGAAAATGGACTTCACATTCCACGAAGGCGTAAATGGCTCCGCGCCCTGGGTCGAGTTCTACCCGTACAACCCATCTCAAACAGCCGGCTATGCCTTCATGGCCATATTTGGCTTAACGACAGTCGTTCACATCATTCTGATGTTTCCGTACAAGGCAGCCTACTTCATTCCTCTAATCCTGGGCGGAATATGTACGTACATCATATACTACCCTCCCCTGTTTACAAATTATACACGACGAACACCACTAACAAATATATCAGGCGAAACATTCGGCTACTATGGCCGCGCCTGGTCCCACAACAACAGAACCCTGATCAGCTCCTGGGCCCTCCAACAAATGCTCATTCTCTGCGCACCACCCTTCGTCGCTGCAACAATTTACATGGTACTCGGTCGCATCATCCGCGCCTTCGATGCCGAGCACCTCTCCCCCATGCGAACTAAACGGATAACCGTCCTCTTCGTGCTAAACGACATTATCTGCTTCCTGACCCAACTCGGCGGCGCAGGCGTCCAGATCACGGGCGATGCCAAGGTCATGGATATTGGACGGAAAGTCGTTCTTGTCGGACTTGTGTTTGCGCTTGTGGTCTTCCTGGTGTTTGTTTGGATCGCATGGGTGTTTCATCGGAGACTAGCTGCTGAGCCGACGAGGGTGGCGGCTGAGAACCCTGATTTAGGTTGGAAGAGGTATATGTGGGCGATTTATGTGAGTTGTTTGTTTTTGATGGTGAGGAATTTGGTTAGGTTGGTGGAGTTTGGGGCGGTTAAGTCGGCTTTGAATCAGCAGGAGGCGTATATTTATGTCTTTGATGCCGCGATGATGTTTCTTTCGATGGCGGTTTTGGTGTTTTGGCATCCGGGGTTGTTGATTAAGAAGGCGAGACGGGCTGGGGAGGCTGGGAGGTTGTGTGCTGGTATGGAGGAGGGGGAGAGTGGTGATGGGGTGCCTTTGGCTGGGTATAAGGGGTATCAGAGGTGTTGAGTGTTGGGATGTTTTTGTAATGGTTTGGGCGTTGATGGTGTTGGTTCCTCTGGTTAGAGTCCTTTGTTTAGGCCTAGTTTACATCTTCTGCTGGATAAGCAATGGTTTCGTTGGCAATGTGACGACTTTTATGAAGGTTGATATCGACTTTTATACGGAAGATTCTCACTATAATTCAGATGGAGGATATGCAATGTACATCTATGGTGACCCTGTCGTGCAAATGTTACATCCTCCGCCTTCTCGAACGTCCTGTATAAGTCCTGCAGCCGTTAGGGTATGCACCACTCTCTCAATCCCCCCGTCACTCATCCAGGCCACCGCGTCGACATTGTCCCGGAAATACTTAACCATACCACTGAGTCTATGGGCAACAATAATCACCGTGTAACCTTTCTGGGTGAATTCTTCCTCTATGACATCTTGCATAACTGCTTCAGTATCTGGGTCGAGTGCGGACGTAGCTTCATCCAGAAGAAGGATAGGTCTGCGTTCTGCTACAGCAACCTGTGTCTGAAGGTCAGAGTATCCAGAATCTGTGGAAGACCTTTTGTGAGCAAGCGCGCGTGACAGTGAAAGTAGTTGCTGCTGTCCTGCAGAAAGCGGTGGGAGTGAGGATATTGGAAGGTCTAACAGAGTTTCAACTGCAGAAGGACTCCGATGGTTAGGCTTGGAGAATTGGCAGAAATGCTCCCAAAGTCTTGTTTTCTCCAGTACTTCAATCAAAGTCGCATCTGGGAGAGATTCATCCGGGTCGAGGTTGAAACGAAGACTAGCTGCTGCCAGGATGAACGGGTCTTGTGGCACGGTGATGAAGCACTTGCGGCGTAGATATATCTTGGACATATTGGAAATGTCAATGTTGTCGATCGTTACCAATCCGTGCTGGAGGCCCACCAGACGAAGGAAGGCAAGTAACAATGTACTCTTGCCGCTATTCGAGAGATGATTTGGTCAGTCTGGCTCATGTAAAAAATGACATGGCGGTTATACCTCCCAGTTCTACCGCATATGAAAAGCTTCTGTCCGGCGTTAACTTTCAGGCAGATGTTCTCGAGTGCAGGTTTTGGCAGCCTGGAACATCATTAACACCTAGAGCAACAGTACCATATCTGACCTGAACTTGCCTGTACGAAGCCTCCAGATCACGAACAACAATACTCCCAGAGACCGGCCAATTAAGTGGCGGAGACAACTTCTGTTCGCCAGTATTTTCTTCCTGGGGTGTCTCTGTCACAACGGAACGCAACCGCGCAATTGCGCCAAGGGAGACCTCTAGTGAAGTCCATGCCTCGACAAGCCGGAGCAGGGTTGTATTGGCAAGGATGATCATATTCAGCGATAGACCCACAGCTGTTGCTCTCTCTGTGCCCTGGGATGTCACGGCTAGAGATACGAGACCCATTGCGAGCACGGCGATTAAGAGGTCAAGGACAAGGTTCAACCATTGTTGAAGGCAAAAGAGTAAATATGTCGGTTTTTGTGAAGAGTCGATCGTACCAACTATGTCGCTAGTATACTTCTGCTGCCATTGTAGTGCACGTATTGTGCCAAGACCATCGACCTGTTGTTCCTGATTAGTGCGATGGTAGGCCTTGCCGATCTAAAGGAGAGCCCATACCATTTCTACGAAGTTCGAATGAAGAGCCGACCTTGACTCGATCTCGAGAAAACGGAGCTGCCTCGACGTCCGCAAGTAGACTCTCTGCACAAAGTAAACAACTGTCATACAAAAGGGTAGTGTGACAGCCATCACTGGATTAACGACAAATAGTGTTGCTGCCTGCATCAAGAGCTTGAAAACCTCTATAGTTTGATTAGAATACATTTCGACTGTGAAACTGGCCACTTACGAGTGCCCAGAGTTTGAAAAGCATTTGGTAGTTGACGATCTACTAGCTGGATGTCCTCTCCAAAGCTTTGATGTGTTAGCTCTTGCATAAGGGTGACAGGGGCTTGTCCTTACCGATTCAGGATGACTCCGATATTATTGTCTGAGAAGTACGATAGTGGAGCCCTATTGCAACTCATGTCAGGATAGGACTAAGATCCACAGATTTCTGGTAACAAACCCGATTATAGAGTCTAGCAGCCGGTTATGTAAAACTGCGCCTGATTTTGGCGAGATCCTCATACTCGTGGACCTTGTGTTATCAGTAACCGTGGGTTGGAAGACTAGAAGGTATAATCATCAATTTCTATGATCGCTTACCACATAGTACCGTTGGTAGAAATCCAAGCTACCAAAGCCAGCATCAGATAGCCTCCCATGTAACACGCTGTTTTCTCCTCACCGGCTTCGGCCCACCACTTGAGCCAGTACTGAGAAAATGTCATAAAGAAGGAATATGATGCAGTGCAAATTAACATGAAAAGACCATTCCAAGCGCCCATCGCATTGAGGTAGTACGCTGGAGGACAGTTAGCCAGCATCGGATTAGATGGGCCCATCCTTACCATAGAGCTTTAAGTCCCCACTCTGTCGTATTAAATCTTGGGCTGCATCAACCCTGGAGTCTTCCTGTGTGTTACCACCAACTCGGCCTTCGGCTTCCTGTAAGATATCTCTGTATTCTGGCTCATCGGGCATGAATTTGGATATTTGTTGGGCATCGTGCTGTAGCTCATCCCAGGAGCCTTGTAGTTGGATTTTAGAGTCCGATAGTACTAGAATATGGTCTGCCAGAGGGAAGTATTGGGCTTCGGCCCGGTGAGTTCCAAGGCCAAAATAATGTAGAGGGATCGTTAGCTTACCAGAGTTAGTTATAACTACTGCTGTTGTACCATGTTTTCGAAAGATACCGTCAGGACCTAACAGGTTATAGATGATAGCCTCCTCTGTTCTACCGTCAAGAGCTCGGAAGGTGTCGTCAAGAATTACGATCTCACATCTAGCGTACAAAACACGGGCAAGAGCCTTGCGAGGGTTAGTATGTCAGGTGGAAGTCAGACGGCATGATGTTAAAGCAACAAACGTACCACACGTTGTCGCTGGCCGCCAGACAGATTGAGACCGGGAAACTTGATTTCGGTACCATCGCCATCTGGGAGAGCACCTAGATCGTTTATCAGGTCAGAAGCAAGTAAAACCTTCTCGTACCAGGTTTCGTCAATCTGAAGGCCACCACATATAACCTCCTTGATACTGCCGCTTGGTAGCCATGGCTCCTGGGCACATACCCCTATGCGCTTAGAGGACGTGTAAATCACACCACGAGAGGGAGGTATTTCCCCGAGTAGCGCCCGAGCGAAAGTTGTTTTCCCTGATCCAACGGGGCCTGCGCACATGATAATCGAACCGCTGTTGATTTTACAGTTAAGCTGCTTCAATGTTGGCTTAGATGTATGCGGATATTGAATGGTCACATCGGCTAGAAAGATGGCTGCTCGCTCCTGAGTTTCCGTAATGTCCGAGCCGACCTGAGCCTTCCGTATATCTAATCGACGGTCTTCATTTGTACCGTGTATCAAGTAATTTGTAATTCTTTCAGAGTTTGCCAGAGATGCAATGACGCGAGGGACAATGGTCATTACCATGTTTGCAGGGTGAGTAACCATAGCGAGCAGAGCTATAGATGTGAAAGCCGTTTCTGCGGGGAGGGCTCCGTCGGACTTGGGTCTTGTGAAAAGTACATATAATACCAATGTTATTACTGGTGTGAACATACCTAGGGCGTTGGCTGTGGCCGTCAGGTCAATAGTGAGTACTGATTCCATTTAGACCTCTAGTCATTTTGTTCGCGACTTACCACTAGCATTGTATGCAACCATCACCCACCGCAATCGTATCGAAGATTGTATTTCCTTGGCTCGGAGACCAGACAATAGCGTCTTAACGGATTCAGAGATACCAAGCATCTTCATACTTTTAACAGATTGAAGCAGGCTTGTCGTGACTGCCATCCGTTTCTGCGTGGCGGCGTTCCAATTTCGCTGCCGCGGCTGCAAATGGCACGCTACGTACGCGCTCACCCCGGATGAGCCTTTCTTAATATCAGTGATAGAAGGAACGAGAATAGCATAATATGACAGCACTTACAGCATACTCCGAGGAGTGGAACCAAGCACAACCAGCCGATCTGACCGGCTAACAGGGTTGTACCGATGATTACCTCCAAACTGTAGGCCCATATTTCATGTAGCATATCCCCAAGTGTGCTTAGAGCCTCTACGTCAACACTCATGAGGGTTATCGGTCCACCGTTTTCATGGTGTCTGCTTCCAACATGAAGCGCTCTGTGGTGAAGGAGTGCGATTAGAGCGCCGCGAAACATGATTTGTAGCCGGTTTAGCTGATGGTGGTACACCGCGGTACTGATCTACAATTCAGTTAGCTACGAGTAACGGGCGTCTGGGATGTCGATACTTCCCGCCAGTCCAAAATAGATCGTACCAGCCATAATAATCAGCCAATAGCCATAGTTGGGATGGTTTTGGCTTTCTCTCTGATTGTCAACAAACCGAACGGCGGCATTGATTAAAACCGGCTGGCAATACCGGAAGAGGATCAGGAATAGCCGAGGAATAATCGCTGATATAAACTGTCCTCTCGCAAATCGTATCATTATTACCGGTAAAGTGAATGTGGTTTCTGGCTTTTCTGGGTAGGATTAGCATTCGAGACTACCATGTTCGGATGTAGTCGGGACTCACCGCGTTGGTCCCAAGCTGAAAGAATATCCGTCCGTAGGTGTTCCGAGCTCAATCTTCTCTCGAGGTCAAGAATATCCAGCGGCGTCAAAATACACTTATAGCCCTTCCCAAGGATAGGGTAGATCCAGGTAAAGAATGTCTTTCCAAAAGGCCCCGCTAGTTGCTCAGGCGATAGCTCCCTTGATCGGGGCATTAGGAATGGCTCCTTATTACAAGATTCAAGGAAGATGAGGACTGCCTTTAGTAACGCTAGCCAGGCAACTAGCCCAGTCGGAATATGATATTGAAAACTCATTTTGGGCGCAGTCAGAAACAGAACATCCCCAAGCAGGCTTCCCACAAGGTATAGGAAAGTGACGCCCGAAGTACGAATTCCTCGACGGTGCTCCAAGAATGACAGCATGCCTAACAAAAAGAAGGAAACCGACAGAATTGCTGCAGATAGAAAGTCGTTTTGCAATATTCCTACAATCTCAGTTGGAAGCGGAAAGAGGCAGAATACTTGGGACCCAAATGCCGCCATGTATAGAACCTACAGCGCTGGTCAATTGATAATCAAGCGATGCTTCAATGAATCTGTAAGAATGTTGACACTGACCATCTGTATGTATGTTCGACAGCTCGGAACCACCTTTACTTTCTTGTGTCGTAGTATCCATAATTGAGTCACAGCACTCAGGATAAACAGTAGCGATATTAATATTGTGTAAGAGCGTAGGAATTGAGACATCCATGATAGTCTATGCAGCGAGAAGTAGTCCTTCTCATCTTGGGCTGTAACCAGGAGTGCGCTCTGCTGAGATCCCCAGCGTAGGCTCCCCCAGGGGCGAGGGGCACTCAATCGGCCGTTGGACAATAATTCGAGGTTCATGTCAACGTATAGTATCTAGCTGCGATATTGTATTATGCCCGAGGGGTCATCATGACAACGCCGCGTGCACTTCCAGCAATAATCTAGAGAAGGAAGATAAACACTTCTCTAAGAAAATAAGAGTCACATGCTAGGCCATACCGCACAGGGATTAGGGCCAACAATAGTACTTGTTCATTATTCTATTGCCTCATACCTGCATGTATGACGCCGTTAGGGTCCAGACGTGGTGGATACTCATTAGTTCGCTACTAAAAATAGACTTATCCAGAGATATGCCATGGTAAAATTCCCTGCCATAGGTGTTGAGCACCGGGTTCCTTTTATGAATCCTGTTTACACTGACTGATATTTGTTTCCTCAACTACAGCAAATTTGTACAATCTCAAAGGGATCTATGATACAGTTACTGTCGGGTCCTTCACCCAAGAGGGTCCACAGATGAATTATATACTAGGCCCGTATGTTAATAACAGTCTCAGGCCATCTAATCCAGTCGTGAAACTCCTCCTTTAGAGAAGCCCGAATGCCTTTGATAACATGTTTATCCCAACCAACAAAGAGCCAGGACGAGGTCATATAGGTTAGAAGAATGCTCCAATGGCCCAGTATCACGAGTGCGAAAGGGTCCTTCTTCTCGAGAAGTATGACAAATGGTTCTGGGAGTCGATATATCCAGCCTATGACCATAGGCAATAAACATACACCGTCTTTCCCTACACTACGCATCTTATAGGCCTCCTCAAAAGTGTCCGGTAAGCCGCTCACAGCACCAAGGTACAAGTTCTTTTCGGGGCTAGCCGTCTGCATCTCGATCAAAGCTTTTATCTCAGCAATGCGATCGCGATGTTGACGTAATTCCTCCTGTAAGTCGGGACTGACGCTTTGAATGCTATCATCCGTCTGAGGTGTCAGGATACCCGAGAAAATCCTGCCATGATTTGTTGCCAGAATAGAGCGAACTCCCCTCATGAGAACCAGCCACTCAGCCTGCCCCTGGCTACTGAAAACAAGATATTCACCCGGTCGGGGGCCATGTCCGAAATAAACGAGACAGATCATGACCGCTGACATATAAATCATCTGACAATTCTCAGAGTTCAATTGAGAGAGAACGGTAGTAACAGATCGGATTCCAAATGTAAAATGGTCATTGGCCTGCATCACATACTGATGTCGAAGATCTGGCTTTTGATGACCAAGGTGGAGGGCGGACAAGGCCAGCATTAGGTGGAGGATTGAGGGAAACGAAACTCCCCACTGCGGGATGTGAATCGACCAAACACCATATGGATCCGAGGCCTCATCTGTGAGGGTGCGATATGTTGATATGAGATAGTGATGAAAGAGTTGAAGATCCGCAAACGAGATTCCGCCCGTGGCACTGTTGTTGGCGGAAAGATCGCATTGGACGGCAACAGAATTGCCGCCAGGGCGCTGGTTTCCTTCATTAGGCGCCGAGGAAGCTAAAGTCTGATATTTGGATTGTTTGAATCGGTACCGTTGACGAGCGGAAGATGTAGCAGGTGGTGATGGTGATGGCGAGGTCGGAGTAGATATGGAAAAATCACATTCGATAGAATGGTTCACGCAATTCGTACATGATGGTCTCTTCTCGTCACACTGCCGCATGTCAGTCGCATGCTGGGGCAAATTTTGATACAACAAGTCATATCCTCTTGGCCGAAAGCATATAAGAGAACGTAGATAAGTCCACATGCTGGAATGCATTTTATGTCACCCACGGTAAGGAAACGACGGTATCATGCCAAAGATGACGAGCATTTCAGGTTTTGCAAGGGGGAGAGAATAAACAGTAGAAATACTCACTTTTACCCGCCGCTTTTTGCAATTTTTACAACCTAGCCGGGACTTGTGATGTGATCTCCGAGAGCGAATCTTGTTCAGTGTGGCGCTGTCCATATCGGTCGTATTCGTGTTCATTTTATCCGTGTTGGGGTTTGGATGGAGCGGAAGAACAAAGACGCAGATTCCAGACAGGAGATGAAATCCACGCAATCACGTGGACGGGCCAACCATGGAACATCCCCGTTTCGAAATCACTAACAAATCAGGTAACCCTGAAAATGACCCCGCCAGATGCCTCATTCTGAGACTGATAGACAGGGAAGGGAGAGAGGGAAGAAGGGGTCCTTGAATCTACTTGAATATATATCCGCAGCCCAAGGGGCAATGCTACCCGCGTTCTTATTATCAAGTATCATCCTAATAACGCACTGACCACTCAAGGATGATTTTCGAAGAGGAGATTTTTCAGTAGTTTCAATAATAGGAATTAGGCAACTACTTTTGGGACAGACAAGGTCCGTACTGCAATTATACAATATGTTTACTGTGTGCATTCTCACGAGTTGCAATTCGGTTCCTTTGTCGGCAGACGATCACCTGATGTTCATTGCCGAAGTGCTCACTATGGGCGAGGCTTTTGATGACGACGGTTGAAATGCTCCATACGCAGGTATCTTCATACACTTGGAGCTTTGTTGCTTTTCGTAAATGTCGGTTTAAGGTAGGTAGCCTACATACTTTAAATAACCATGCAGTGGTGACGGTGATTGACCAGCAATATCGTAACGCTGTGTGCCGTCAACTCAATTGATATTTTTAAGTTGGAAGAGTAGAGAAACACGATGCTAGGACTAATTACCTGAAAAAGCACCTGTTTTGAACAAGAGATTGAACATCATGTATCTTTGTAGTACTCTTGAGGTTGTCCTCCATAGGCTCAGACGACGTTGGGGTTCTAAAAAGACTTTTATCATCCGGGCGTAGCCCTAGCTATCCATGCAGCGGAAGAGTAAATGATTGACAGCAGCGTTCGGGCAGAGTAATCATCACCGGGAATGCGATGATAAGAGCATAAATCGCGTGGCAAGCAATCTCCCTCCCGTTGCAAATGAAAATTCCTATCCCCCCATATGAGCCGCCAAGAGTACGTGATACAACTGGGATTTGTACTTCCAGGCATTGTCTGGCCTTCAACTACCGGTCTTTTAACGTTCGCTCAACGAGAGTGGTATCGATAGTCCCAGCAACAGACGATAACATATCTTCGTAAGTTATGTTTTTGAAAGGATTTCTATCAAACCATCAATAAAGTGGAGGGTACCACCATGGCGCGACACTTGTGACAATGTGAGGGAGTGTTATGCCCTAATCTTCTTCGTCTTCGTAGAGGCACACAGGTGCTGTCAGACACCTTCTGTGCTGTATGCGAGGGACCTCGGCTTAATTGTGCCACATCACCAAAGTAACAAAGAGAACGTCGACCTGTCAGATATTTAGTGACGACGTTGGAGCCTCTGAGTGCTGGCTTTGTACTTGTTAGGGTTGCGCACATCCTCAGCTGAAGTCTGTTAACGAGCCCGGGGGGGAAATAAATTAAAAATAAATTGTCGGCCATCAGGCGACATTGGTCTGACACTGTCCCTGAAAAGGGGCGAATGTCCGCAACTCGTAACTAAAGCCATTATCGACTAATTAGTATACTGTCGTATCTCATGTGCATCTTGTGGGGTGCCGCATCAGTATGGCTCCTCTATCACTTATTGCGGACATACTTGGCTTTTCAGGTACGTAGCTCATCTGGTCAGGATCGCTGATCATTGATCAATTATCACCGCTAGTCCGATCGGAAATCCGGTATATTGCGCGGCTGCGAAAGGCCTCCCAGACTACGCAACTGGTGGCCATGGGGCATTGATCGCTTGATCCAAATATGGACTGCCGACTCGGACCAGCGTTTACTGGATCTATTTACCTTTCATTTCCAAGATTGTGGCACCACATTGGAGCAGAAGTTTCTCGGAACAATAGCATTTGGCACGACCGACCCTGAAAGTCTAGAGGCGCTGATGACAAATACCAATGGTCTTTACTACGTCTCGCCAGACAAGCTATGGAGTCACAAGCTGACCGTATCGAACAGAATTTGGCTTCGGACTCCGGAGAAAGATTCTCTTTCCCTTTTTAGGGGGCGGTATCTTTACGCAAGATGGGGATGCGTGGAAGCATTCTAGAGAGCTACTTCGCCCACAGCTGTCGCGACAGAAGTACCGAACCCTCGTCGTATTCAGGTTTCGTATCGACAATCTTCTCGGTCATATACCTGCTGATGGAACAGAAGTGGATCTACAGCCGTTATTCTTCCGCTCAACATTGGAAACTACGACGGAATTCCTGTTTGGAAAATCAATCAACAGCATCGAATCTGGTGAGTTCAACAAGGGCGAGAAGTTTGCGGAAGGCTTCCATAATGCTCAGAGATATGTTATTCAGCGCTTTCGGCTTCTAGACTTATACTGGTTGATCGCTGGCCCTGGCTTTTGGCGTTCTTGTGCCTCTGTCCACCATTTAATTGAGAAGATGATTGACGCTCGCGTGGAAGATACTTTTGCGACCAGTGAAAAGAATGGGAAATGTGTTGTTGATTGTATCGCACAGGATGTGAGCAGCAGAGATTGCTTTAGGGGCCAATTACTCCATGTGCCCTTGGCTGGTCGAGACACGACAGAATGCCTGTTAAACTGGACATAGTGAGTAACGATCATAACGGCAGCCGCCCAAGCTAGGAGCGCTTTCTATACCGGTTCCTCTCTTACACTTATTCTCTAACTTCTGCTTGCCACAGAACTCTGACGTTCTGAGCCGTCTAAACGCCGAGATAGCAACAGTCGTGGGCAGTGGAGATGGCATGACACGCTATGCCTTGAAACAGATGCCATATCTAGATAAAGCCCTGAGAGAAGGTGAATACATCTCATTATCATGAAGTACATACTTATTGTTTCCCTATGCTAGTACTGCGGTTGTATCCGTCCAGGAGATAGAGACGTGGGGCTACTTTCCCTTTAACGGTGGCCCTCGTGTCTGTTCAGGCCGTAAGAAAACTCCTTGTTATCTTATGGCTGTTGCTTTAAACAGAGTAGTTTATGCTAACTTGATGGACACCTAGAGGATCGCGGACTTGTTGAAGCCGCCTACACAGTGGTTCGAATACTTCAGAGGTTTCCGCGCGTCAGATTAGGGGATTACCCGCGTCCTCAAAGGCGACCGTGGTTAGATGGTCTTCTCATCACACAAAAGGGATTGAAATGGTTGCCGAATAGAGACAGAAGGTGACTTTGGTCCTCTCGTTGAGTGATGGCTGCAAATTTGTATTTGGTCGGTAGTTAGTCGTTATGTTCTGCGTACGGTTACTTGTGACCTATACATCTCAATATAATTGGACAAAAACATTACTGCCTTCCTCGGAGATACGCTATACCTCGAACCATTTACTCGAGTAATATTCCCATCCGACAAGAAAAGCCCCCTGATAACCACTTCTGTGTATTATTGTGTATTTCCTATTCGCTTGTCGCCCTTGTTGCAACCATCCTTCGTTATGTATACTCACTGACCAACAAGCTTTCACTAACTCCAGACAAGTGGACACGGAATGAAGTCCGATCCCCACCAGATCACAGGGATTTCCTATTTTAGGGTTCTTCGGAGTCATGCCTCAACTCCGGGCCTAAGCAACGACAATATCCCTGAAACCCATCCGCGACTTCCAATAAGAAATTTGCTAAATACAATCAGAATAGCTGGGACTATATCACCGCAACATTAATCCCGTTAGATCCTTGTTCGGAGTTCGCGGCGATACCCAACAATGACAAGCATAACAAGAAAGAGGGCCGAGCGAGGTGTGATTGAGTCAATTGCGACCATGTACTGGGTATATTAGCCGGAGAGTCAGTATATATAGGGCGTTGGTAGTCCAGTAGATATTGCTGCCAGTTACAGTTCAATTGAACAACAGGGACATTAGTATCTAACATGAGCACCCGGGTTCTTCGGGCCAAGCGTTCGCCCTTCAAGGCACGCCAATCATTCCATAACCAAGCAAATTTGTGAGTGACAAGACGAGCTTGGGGCCCAAGATACATTGCGATGCTGACTATTCCCGCACTTAGCAGTCGTTCCTTCTCCTCCTGCACTCGCCGCCATGTCGATGATAAACTCAACAAGGTCTCCTCTCATATCACGCAACCAAAATCACAAGGCGCCTCCCAGGCAATGTTATACGCGACCGGCCTGGACGAGCAGGACATGTCCAAAGCCCAAGTCGGAATATCATCAGTATGGTTCGAAGGTAATCCTTGCAACAAGCACCTACTGGACTTGTCATCCTTGGTACGCGACTCGGTCGCAAAGGCCGGTCTCGTACCGATGCGCTTCAACTCCATCGGAGTATCAGATGGAATCAGCATGGGAACGACGGGTATGCGGTACAGTTTACAAAGCCGGGAGATCATCGCAGATGGTATCGAGACGGTGATGAATGGACAGTGGTACGATGCCAACATCTCGTTACCCGGCTGCGACAAGAATATGCCCGGTGTCCTAATGGCCATGGGTCGTGTCAATCGTCCCAGTATCATGATGTATGGTGGAAGTATTAAGCCCGGATGTTCTGCGACCGGGCAACCGCTTGATCTGGTTAGTGCTTTTCAGTCGTATGGTCAGTATATTACGGGACAAATCGATGAGAAGCAACGTTTCGATATTATTCGCAATGCGTGTCCTGGTAGCGGTGCTTGTGGTGGTATGTATACTGCGAACACGATGGCTACTGCGATTGAAACCCTGGGGATGACCATGACAGGGAGTAGTAGTACTCCCGCTGAGGACCCGGCTAAAAGGGCTGAATGTGAGCAGATCGGTGAGACGGTCAGGAACCTCTTGAAAGAGGATATTCGTCCGAAGGATATACTTACGCGACAAGCGTTTGAGAATGCAATGATCGTGGTCAACATCCTCGGCGGCAGTACAAACGCTGTTCTGCATCTGATTGCCGTCGCCGACTCGGTGGGGATCAAGTTAACAATCGATGACTTCCAAGCCGTGTCGGACAAGACGCCATTCCTCGCTGATCTCAAACCCTCTGGCAAGTACGTTATGCACGATTTGTATAAAATCGGTGGCACGCCGGCACTTCTTAAGTTCCTCCTCAAGGAGGGTCTCATCGATGGCTCGGGAATCACAGTCACAGGCAAAACAATGAAAGAAAATGTAGCCTCGTGGCCAGACTTTCCAGCAGATCAGCCAATTATCCGTCCGCTAAGCAACCCTATCAAGCCTACGGGTCATCTTCAGATCTTGCGTGGATCCTTGGCCCCGGGGGGCTCGGTCGGCAAGATCACCGGAAAAGAGGGTCTACGATTTGAGGGTACAGCCAGGTGCTATGACTACGAGGATGCTTTCGTCGAGGCACTAGAACGAGGTGAGATCAAGCAAGGCGAGAAAACAGTCGTGATCATCCGTTATGAGGGGCCAAAGGGTGGACCAGGCATGCCGGAGATGCTGAAACCCAGCTCCGCTATCATGGGCGCCGGGCTTGGGAAGGATGTTGCGCTGCTCACTGATGGTCGATTTTCTGGTGGCAGTCATGGCTTCTTGATTGGACATATTGTGCCAGAGGCCATGGAGGGTGGTCCAATTGCATTGGCCAGAGATGGCGATAGGGTTGTTATCGATGCGGAAAAGCGAGTGGTTGACCTGGAGGTGTCCAGTGAAGAGATGGAAAGAAGGCGAGGCGAGTGGAAGGTGCCTAAGCCAAGGGCTACGAAGGGAACCCTACGGAAGTATGCGACTCTAGTCAGCGATGCCAGCCATGGTTGTGTCACCGATGGGCCCATATGATGAAGAGATAGTATATTGGAAAAACCTTGCGGGACGAACTGAATCGCCAGGATTTCTAACTCTTGGACCGTAAACGGCATATATAGCTGGCAATATAGGGCGCTTTTGCTTTGCTTTAGCACAGATCAAAGATACCGCAAAGGCACACTCGGACCACTCGGTGCATAGACACATTGCACAGTAGCTAGGCCCTAAAGTACTGAGATCATTTTTAACTATCATTATATATGGACAGTGATGCGCGCTTGTTGCAAATGATTGCTCTTAGCTATGTAATACATAAATCCATTCAATGAACGTTTGTATCCTCATGCTCCTTGAAATTCCCACACTACTCTATATATCGCGTCCGTCAACACCATCATCAATTATGTCTTACCTTATGTCCCATCCCACAACAGCTGTCTCATTCTACTTCATACATATTTCCCCCTTTCAGGTGCGAACACGAGGCTTTACCCTAACATCTTCCCCAAATGCCAAATATTCTCAACATAGAACCCCTGAATGTCGAGGCGAAGCACCCACCAAGACCGCCAAGACAAGACTAAACCTGAGCCACAATACAATCAGCCTACAATAGTACCGTAAGCTCTCTCAGGCGCCTATTTTCGATAGAAACATTCAGCATACTAGACAGTAGTTGATTTGTCAACTAAGCCGCAATATCTAACTACCACTAGCTACAGGCGGACACAGGTTTCCGCGGACATTAGTGATCGGACCCATATCGGGAAAGATTGATAAAATTGACTATTGAATTTTTATGCAGGAAAGGTGCGTCGATCACTGCCCTGCATAAGGGGTTAGATCTAGCCGATGGATTCGTGCTCAGTACGGTATGCAAGGGATGAAGTAACACCCATTAAGTCCGAACAAGCCCAGGACATATAAAAAGCAAATATGGATAATGGACACAGATTCCACACGGTTGAAATATAATAAGTGTATTTGTCATTAAATCAATGGTACATAGTAAATACATCTCGTAGAATGGTAAAAAGGCCCCAAAATAACATTTGAATAATTAAATAAGTAGATTTTTCTTTGTCGTGGTAACGGACCAAGAGCTATACAGCCCATGCTAAATCACCCCACATTTCACTTTAAGCGAAATGACCATGATCCCTATTGTAGGTCACTGAATATTCCGTACTCGTCATGATTCCTGGGGCATCATTCTGCGCATCAGGCTTAACCAGCTCTTGAACACTTTCCGAATTCTTCCGATTCTCCGGATCTTGTGTCGTGAGTTGGGTGCCTTGGAGGGTGGTGAGATGGTCCCAGTTATGGATCTTCTTGCGTGGCTTCAAAGAATAGCTGCCGCCTGAGCCCTTGTAATTCTTGTTATTGCTCCGGTCAATGCTGCTAAAGACTCGTGGGAAGCAGCGGGCTAACAGCGGTCGCATCGTGGGCAGACAGGCACAAATTATGCCTACGTTGATCTCGATCATGCTAGATTACTGATATTAGTATATTGTATTCCCGTGTTGTAGAATGGGTATAATTGGCAATGCCGAACATACCACCAGTTTGCGAGGGTAACCTTGAAGTGTGTAAAGTCATTGCTGTGGATATATGGCATCATGGTCACGATTCGGAGGATGGCTACGACACAGCAACTAGATCAACGCCATTAGCAATGGGAGCACATCACACACATAATTTAACGTCCTTACAATGAACCCGTCCCAAAAACAATCATAAGAAGCATTCTTTGCCTCACCGACGTCTGCAGCGACCAGCATATCTTAATAGGGAGGAGTAGAGTCACAAGGTCGGAAAACACGTTGAAGGCCGCGTTGGCATAGACGAACGCAAACTGGTCGACACATTTGGCATCCTCAATGGTGACGTCCCACATAGCCTGGACTGGGTTACACCCTAGTGTGAAGATCAGGATGCTCAGTAGACTGTAGAAAGCAACGAAGCCCATGATTGCGAAAGTCATTTGGCGGAAACGTTTTTCGGGATTGAGTCGCAGGTAGAAGAGTAGGATAGCCGTTTTGACGAACCAGACACCGAGCGCGTAGACGTCTTCTTCTGCGAGATCATACTGGTGTTGCTTAGGATGGTGGACGTATTTCCAAGGGCAAGTGACAGACAAACCTTCTTGAATGGTGTTATTTTGTCAAGATGCAAATCCCAGACATGTACACCGTATCCGTTTTTTATATCTTTGTCTGTTAGCCGATCGTGTGATGGAATATTCGTCTAGTCAAATATACTCACTGATTAAACTTAGGATAGCGAAGATCCATGCACAGATCTGCCCCATCACACAACACACTGCGTGATGTTAGTATCGACGAATCATCATGTAACAATGGGAGAAGGGCAGGGATGGGGTTGTACATACAATCATCTAGCCCATATGTTCTTAGAAGGTAAAAACGCGTATATAGCCGAAGAAGTAAGACCAGGGTTGCGGATGAGCACATTGCAAGGCTGACGGAGTAGATCTGGTACTCGGATCCCTCTGGGTTGTCGAAGTTGGGAGTAACCCCTGGTGGCGGAGGGGCTACTGGTATTTTGCTCAAGTCCATAGCGAGTGTCAAGTGTTATGGTAGTTGAAGGGTAGTCGGCGCCTGAACCTCGATCTCCAGTTTGACTCGAGTGTTTAACGGATGAAGGAATTCGACCATGGCAGACGCTGGTGCTTATTATTAAGTCTGGCCCAACCTGAAAATCGAGGGACATGCACTTATATCTATAAACATTACACAATAATAAGCTGGATGACTCGATTTTGACATGTCGCCTCCTGCTATGATCACCGATAGGGTTCGGAAGTTAGCCAGTCAGTGTGGTCATAGCAAAAGCACGGACGATGATTTTCGCAACACCCGCTTCCCCGGTAGAATCTGAAAGTGTTCCGATAGCTTTTGTCGGATGGCGATCTTATGGGGCCATGTTCATTGCACTAATTAGGACAGCTAGATGCTACCCAATGGTAATGATGCATCATGCATTGCCACTCCGGAATTTTTGTGTGCAGCCGGTCAGAATGTAACCCTACCTTCAACGGGTACTTCGTACATCCAGGAGTATTGAATGAGCCAATACCTATGCAGCTCTAGACCAACATGATCTTCATTTGGTACTTGATACCTCTACTGGCGGCTTATTTTACTGCCCTGAATATACTGAGCCAAACAGAAGGGGTCTTGGCACTGTATTGGATGGAGAATGCATGTGCACTATAAGGGGCCCAATTGAATGTCATTAGACATAATTTGAAAGGTGTGACCCCTTGCTTTTCATGCGTAGGAGTATTATACCGGCAAATTAAGAAAGAAAAGGTTTATTAAGCGAGTCGCTGGTGAATGTGGTGGTTCAAATCATTTAACATCGTATCGCAGTGCAGTGTTAACTTCCATCGATCAATTTCATGAAATAAATATTTGGATTCGTCGAGGTATGGACATAAACTTACGATCTCCCCTCGTCTACTGAAAGAAGAAATTGGTACTACGCTTGATAGCTCCTATAATTCAGGGACACTTCCACTGTGGGTGACGTGGCTGATGTATGGGTCATGCAAAGTTACCATAGCCGCGGTGGGGACGGGACAACGCTATCGTGAAGCGAAGTCCATGACCAACATTGACGTGTAGCAGGCAAGCACACCCGGAGGGTGTTCCCATCTCGCAGACCCTAGAGCCAGGTGGTCGGGAAAACTGGTCGATTGTCAGATGGGGTCGTATGGGCGGTATATTGCAGGCAGATAGTGCCATCCATAATAGATCCTGATTGGCGGATATTCCTCGCGGAAGATGTGTTAGTACGACTAACCGTGCTCCATTTGGCTATGATGATCATGGAGTGGGGGTGAAAGTGGACATGTCAGATACACAAGTGGCTTCGGTTGAGAGGATACGGGAGCCATAGCTCTAATGTCTCGGCATTCGTGTTGTGTGTGAACGACGCATTGATTCCGTGCGAGAGTTGCGGCACCCCAACCTTATGATCTTATCCATGACAGGTGGTCTGAGCGACATTCCTTGTCTCGGAAGTTGGTCATCTTGTGGATGTATACATTTCGTACATTCCTCGACCTTGACAGCGCTGTAGATCATCGCGTCGTTCCGATGGTGCAGATAGGAATTGGAGATTTTACTTTTCGTATGCCCCTATTGAATTGGCTACAGCTTCGGGTGGGGGCACCAAATGTGATTTCTCAATCGCCCCAGCCCTAAACCCTCACCACAGGTAGGGCGTCGGGTGGGTTCCGCAACGTATGGAACAACTTACAAGACCCCATATCACACTACTAGTTGTATTGACGATAATGATTGGCGTTTCTGCAAAAGCCACCCCCTCGCACTCCACATCTGACACTTGAAGAACCATCTATAAGTTAGTTACTTGGTCCCAGCAGGGATCGTGTTGGCCAGGGTACGCTGTCTTCATTCTTCATTGTTACCAACTAAAAAAGTTCTTCCCATACAGAATGGGTAGCATCGATCCAGATTTTGATCCCATCCAGGAGGGCCTGGACCAGGTCATTGCTGCGGCTACTAGGTACAAGCAGCGATTGTCCGAGGCAGACAGCTACGATGCCAGATACGATCTGATGGCCAAAGCCGGTCACCTCTACCAAACCATTCGCGGACCCGCAGATATGGTTTTTTCTAAATTTGAGGATGTACGAAAAAGCAGACACAAGACATGTTTTCTTCGTCAAAATGTAGCATTGCATAACTGACTAACGATGTGTATGATTAGGCAGCGAATATGGGAGCAATCCGAGCACTGCTTGAAGCGGGCGTCTTTCACGCCGTCCCCACCGGAGGGAAGAGTATTTCGGCAAAGGAAATTTCGGTGAAGACCGGCGTAGACAAAGAGGTTATAGGTACGTTTTATAGTCAAACATATGCTCATGATACTCGCCTGACTACAAACACAGTGAGACTCATGCGCGCGGTCACTCCGATGGGACCGTTCCGAGAGACCGGGGAAGAGGAATACGCACATACACCATTCTCAGAAATATACATGGCACCTCAGATGATGGCGGTATACAAGCTCATGTAAGAAATTCTTTTGTGCAACCTGAGAATGGATGGATACCTAACAAAGTCAGGGCGGATGAATACTTCACACCCATGCTGAGAAATCATGAATTTCTGCGCCAACAGAACTGGCAAAATAACTTCCGTCTGCGGAATAACCCTTATACATTTGTACACAACTGTGAAGGGGAAACTATGTTCGAACACGTATCGAAGTTCCCCGACCGCTTTACCACCTTCAATGAGGCGATGGTAGCTCAGGACTCGGGACTCATCGCAATTGGCCTCTACCCCTTCGCGGAGGAATTAGGTAGCTTGGCCAAGGAGAATACTGCTACCATTGTCGATGTAGGAGGGGGGCGAGGTCATATTTTGCGTCAGATCAAACAAAGCGCCCCTGAGCTAAAAGGAAGGTTCATACTCCAGGACCAGGCCAGCGTTATCGCAGATAATGGAACAGAAACGCAGCCGTATGGCATTGAAGCTATGCCACATGATTTCTTCCAGCCACAGCCAATAAAAGGTAGACAGCATTTGCTTCTTGAGCCCACTTTTTCTTCTACTAGCTGATCATTCTACAGGTGCATTGGTCTACTATATCCGTCGCTGTCTCCATGACTGGCCCGATGAGCCAGAGTCGAAGCAGATTCTGGAGAACCTGGCCGCAGCAATGGATCCCGAAAGGTCCCGGGTGTTGATCACCGAATATATCCTGCCGGAAGTTGGGTCCAACATGTTTCATGCTTGGATGGACCACACGATGATGACATTCGCTGGACGTGAACGCACAGAGAAGGACTGGGAGCGCCTACTAGATGTATCGGGCCTAAGGTTGGTCAAAGTGTGGAGAGCCCCAGGAATACCGGTCGGCGTTGTGGAAGCTCGCTTGAAGTAAACCCCAGGTGGGGAAGGTTATGATTTGGTACGATTACTTGATGAAACGATGAACACTCTTCAATCCTTTCTCGGGATTGTTTGAAATTCCGTTGTAACCGATAAAATCTACGCGTGAAGACTTGGCATTATCCCGCTTCGCTGTGATTACACTATTCTTGTTGCGTGGGTGTCGAGATCTGAGTCATGGGGCTTATAAAATTTCACTAATATCCTTACTCAGTTGGGGAAGGAGTAGACACAATCTCTCAGTATTTTGCAGTTTCCCCGACACTGATAATCTATCTCGTGGGGATATACCCTTTGTGGGATACCCTCTCTTGGGCCGCAGTAACATCATGCGTCGTAGAGAAAAAGGCTAAAGCAATTATCTCAAGATATTCTAACTACTGCATAGACATAGCTAAGAATTACTAAGCTGTAAGGAAGGTCAGAGTATAAGTTAAATAAAGCGATCTTCTTGGCTTGAGCTGGATGCTTGAAACGTAATCATATAAGGTACTATGTATACGGCGTTGTAACAAAGGAGCCTATGGCATAGCAAATACGGAGAAAATAAAGCAAGCTTCCGTGTTTTATGGAGACCTGCATACAGGCGCAGGTAGAAATGATCATATTGTACTTAAAGAGAACCACCGCGTCCTCATCACCTTACCCTATCGTAGTGTTCTTTGTAGCCATAGATCTAAGGACATGGGCCTCAAACCAGCTCTAGATCTTTGTGTTTGGAAAACAAGGTCCAGTAGCGATCGCTGAGCTGGGGGTCACTCTCCCAATCAGCTGATGTAGACTTTATAGAATCCATTTCAGCTTGAAGTTCACGTTTCTCCTTCTCCCGTGCTTCCTCAGCTTCCGAGTCGATCTCATACATCCACCATCCTGCTACCGGTTGAATAGTATCCAAAGATCCAGCTTCTCCGCCATTAGCACTTGGCGTCGGTGAAGCTTCGATTCCGACCAGACCCGCGACCATTTTGGTGTTGTAAACATGTCCGAAGTCGTCGACCTTCACAGGAACCGTGTTATAACCAGAAGGGATCGTATCCGTCTCTACACGGTGATAACAGATGCCGTCTAGATTGCCACCCAGACCGTTGGCCACGGTATCCTCACGATAGAGGGGCTCCCCCTGGGCATTCCAGAAGCAAAATGCCGTAACCCAGCCAGACAAATAGCTAGGGCCACTACCACCACCCTGGCGATGAACAGATCTTTGCCAGAAGTCCACCACAGCAGGAGAGGATGGGTTATCAAACGATGAGATAAAGTGCTGGAGAACAGGTCGGAGAAGGGTTGCAAATTGTGTCGGTTCTTTACCCAACTCAGGAATCTTGTCGATTTTTGATAGTAGCAGGACCCAGTCATCCCGCTCTCCCAGCAACGTAACGTTGGGGATTCCGCACATCAGGCACATCTTATAGGAGAAATACTTTTGCATGACGCCCATCATCAAAATGGCCGAGACTATCTTGTCAGATGTGGTGGTTGTGCTGAAAGCAGGCATGATCCATTCTCGCAGCTCAGGATCCTTGACGTTCTCCTGAATCTGCTCTGTCATTCCGATCGCTAGAGCCCCAAAGTCTCGTATCGCACTTTTGACTGTGAGCTCTTTTTGTCCCTCGTGCGAAACAAAGTACGACCTTAGTTCTTCGGCATGCGCGTTGACGTAGAAGCCTAGTTGGGATAGGATGGAAAACCACACATCTTCAGGGCGGATGACCAGATTATAGTGATTACTGTATGCCCCGAAGATTGCCCAGACAAGGCCGTTTTCTGATGGTGAAATATGTCTATCCTGTAGGACGTGTGTCCCATCGAACTGGTCCTTGTCGAAGGAGCTTTGAACAAGTCGTTTGGAGCGTCTGTAATCTCTAGGAGATGTTCCTTCAAGCAAGTCTTCAGCGGTGGTGGCCTTTTCCTTCCACCACTTCTCTGCTCCGTGATTTGCAACTCTCAACGTAACAGGCATACTGCTTTGTCTTTATTTTCTTTGGTGGCGCTGAAACACTATGTCGTATTGGGTATAAACTGTGCTCCAAAGACAGCAGGATATTGTGTTTGTAAGGGAAGTAAGAAAGGGTGAAGGAGGGAAGGTGAGGGGCAGTAGGGAATTTATATAAACTTTTCTCAGGCGACCTCCCTGACCATGCCCACTTGTCGATCATTGGAAACCATCCACGTACTGTGTGGGGGATTATCCGCATGTTCTGGCGGTAGTTTCTTGTAACAGACAACCGATTTCGGAGAGGCACGTTTGTATCCACCCAGCGCTACTATGCTGAATTATATTCACCGTCTCATCATTCCTGCTTCCCTGTGCGTATGTCCTCTGTGAATACTCAGCTTCTGTTGTTTGCTTATCTTTTCTTTTCTTTCTCATGTTTAATCTAGGATGAGTTTAAAATACGCATCAAAATGTATCGCAATTACATTACATGAAGGGAGGTGGGGAACAAGCACTAGGATTGGCTACTAAGCGTGCGGCTGAGGGACAGATCAAAGATTAAACGAGGGTGTGCCCATCTTGATGTGGAGACCTGATGTCCAATGTCATGCCAGTATTCAGGGGAGTTCAGCTGAACGTGGCTTGCTTTTATTCAGCTATTTTCCAACAGTCAACAGAGCAGCCCTATGACGTATAACCTGCAGGAGTATTCATAAGGCATGGTGAATAGACAGTCTAATAGCGTCCTACTAACGATAAACTGTAAACAGCGAGTTGCGAGTTGTGGACCTTATACTCGGACAGCAATCCCAATGGCCATACGAAGAGTGCGTCTCTTTTCCGAGAGTTATCGTCATTTAAGCATCATATTCGAACTCAAATGGTTCACTGTGAACCAAGTGTGACATCACCTCAGATATTAACAAAGGTAAATGACCCTTCAAGAACGAAGGAACGATATCTACCTCCATTGTCCATGACTCTAACGGCGCTTTGACCTCCAATACAGGACAAGGCAACCAGAAGCTGGCATTGTCAACTGCCACGCTTCCACAGAACACCCCACAAGTTATTGGAGATACTGCTAGAAGCCTCAAGAAGTGTACCCAAAGGGAGATCAGGCAAGGCAACGAGGGATCTTATATACTGGCAACTCAAGTGCCGGCCAAGCTTGTTGACCCGTCAGCCGACGACCATTGTCGTGTATTTAGATCCAAATGCCGGGTAACATATGATGCCGAAACCCGTCAGGTGATCGTCCAAATCCCATGCGGTCCTCACTTAGTTGCTGCGGGAGCTTTTGGACAAGAGATTATGATGCAAAGTTTTAAAAATGGGGATTCACAAGCATTTGATGGCGATTGGTAGCACAACCCACATAGATAGAAATGTTCAAAAGGAGCCAGCTGCATGTTTTCTCCCAAAATCCACTCTCCCGCCCGGGAGAACTAGAAAATGGCCAACTCTCGTTGTGGAATGCAGTTGGTCCGAAAGTCTGGCCCACATACAATCGGACGCAAACTTATGAATAGGAAGATCCGAGGCAGAGGTCAAAGTCGTGATTTTAATGTCTATGACGAAGGACCGAGATGCACTCGTCGTGGAGAGCAGGACTCCAGGCGACCCTTCCCAAACAAGATCTTGGACCCGGCTTTCGGCCTCTAGGGAACAATCGGTCAGGGTCTTTCGTCATGGGAATGGAGCTGTAAGGACTGCTGGTGATCCTCTAATAATTCGCTTCGAGGAGGTTTTTCTACGCCCTCCAAATCCACCCCTCGAGCAGGACTTTGAGCTCGATCAGGCGGCGCTTATTCCATCGCAAAGGACGCGTGGGATCCGTAACTCTAGAACTATGACTACTGACATGGCTTGCTTGCCACCCTTTGTCCTCCAGCCTTACGTTAAAGGTTTTACTTGTTATACGCATAAAGCTACCTCTGTGTCGGTTAAAGTCTGAGCGAGTGTTATACTGGTATCAGCATTCTACCGAATTGTTTGGACTTACCTTAAGGCGTATGGAAAGGATGCCATTTGATCAGCAGATGATGGTAACTTGGGCAGAGACCTACCCTTTCGGTTAATACCGGATCCCCAGAAGTTGTTTTTTTCCTTTCTCTTCTCTCTCTTTTTTTTTTTTTTTTTTTTTTTAAAAAAAAACTGTACCTATTTGCGAGTGCTCAACTAAGGTCAATCCACCCTACTTCAATTGGATTACAATAGTAAACTACTCTTCTGAATTGCGCATGTTGTCTCCGTGGCCCTTTCCCATTGAAATACATATCCTGCTCTATACACTGCAGTCTAGCTAACGGCCAGCGATTTGTGCCTATGTAAAATCTGAGGCGAAACTAACGTTGTAAATTCAAAATGTAGTTAATATTAGTCTAAATCACATGCGCAGCTCACAAGGGCTTGTTCTATCATTTATTCCGCAATGTCAATAAAGCTAGCTGCGACAGAAGGCAGAGTCCTCACAAGGACATCGCCATTACCACCAATGGCTTCTGCGTAAAATTTCACATCATTCGCAAGACGGTACCCGCTCTCCCAAAAGAAAGTTGTTTCAAACGACTTTCTACTCTGCTCACCAAGATACTGCACCTCATTGTGGGAATCACCTTCTTGAACCTGGTAAAACTTCCAGATCTTCGTCTCAGTATCTCCATTCCAGGAAACATATAGCCTAGTAGTATTGGCTGAGTCCACGTAGGCTGCAAGAGCCGGAGCCTCGCTCGGTGTACCAGTCCAGTTGGCTACAAACCCACGATAACTGACCGCATCTTCGATAAATGCATGATAGAGGATTTCATTGTTAGCATCAAATTGTGTGAATGCTCCTGCAGACCCCCAGCTAACGAACAGGTTGTCGTTGGGAAGCAATTGAGTGTTACCCTGAGAGTTAGCCTCTAGCTCATACGGGGCTGTGGCTTTGCGAAGGACGGTCGCGGTACTATCCGTGTGGTTGAGCTGGATAAACAAGGCTCTGGAGACGTTGTTGAAGGTTATCTCACCGTTGCCTGAGTTGTCGAAGAAAGATATCACGTCGATGTTGCCGGACTGCGATCGCCAGCGGGCGTCATGCTGGAAGCCAAATGTGAAATCTTGGGTAAATGTGGAATGGTTGCCACCGAGTTGCCATATGATGGAACCATCGGTTCCGTTGATCTTGAAGATGGTGCTGAAGTGCCGCGATGAGACAAGGTAGTTTCCATCATCGTCTTTGTCAATGCTGTTGATGTGAACGTAATCCCAGGTTTGAGCGGATGAAAGCCCGCTGTTGCTAGCAGTTGCACCCAATGGGTTCAGTGAATCTTGACATACAGTGAGAAAGGGTCTTGATGTCTAGATAAATGGGGGAGACTAGAACTAACCTGCAGGGTCGAGATAGTCCAGAGAGTTCCACTCAAATACCAGCTCCCCAGTTGCGATATCGAACTCTGCTCTCTCGTCAATGACATGCACACTTCAGATAGTATCCAACAGTAACCAACCTTGGAAGAGCCCGTTGCCAAGCCATTGCTGCGAGGAATTTCCACCATACTGTGTCAGGTTTGCTATGGTTGGAAGGTAAATTTCGACAAGAGCAGTCTCGCCATTGACGACGGTAAACTCGTGAATAGAAGGTATGTGGTGGTTTCCTGTCTTGGTTGAAATCACATGTTCATAGTTTTGGTCGAGAAGCACATGTTGGCCAACACCCTCTCCATGATTTTGGTCCATCGATCCCTGGAAGGCCTGAAGGACAGTCCTTCCATTGTATGTGGTGGGATGGAAGTTCCCTACAAAGCCTGCATAGTATCCAATGCCAGACCACACTAGATCACCATCCTTTCGATAGATATAAGCACCAGGCTGTTGGATGGTATTGGCGTAGGGAGCAACAAAAACATAATCTGTACCATTGGCGTCGGGTGCGGGGACGGTTATATTCAGCTTAGGGACTGTGAGATCTGGACGAGACCGGTAGTGTCCATCTGCTGAACTAAAGGGCAAACCTGCTGCTGCTGCTAACAGTAGACTATATTGTGTGAGCGACCCCATCATCCTGACCTTAACAAGCCTTTAAGTGGTAAGACTGGGCTCGTTGTTCCAGCTACCTATGTAATATTCCACAGCCCAGGCATTGAGTACTCCTTGTATTTATAGCTTTAACATTCCCTTCTGCTTTTCATCATCCCCGCGAGCTATTGTGACTTCGGAACGTTTAAGCAGCGTACTTAGATTGATAACGCCATTGACATAAAGTCTGAGCAATTGCTAATCTCGCTTATATGCAGCTAAAGTGTAGTCTACCCATCATTGCCGAAGATGTACACGTTCTGATAAGACATCTCCCGGCTGTAGGTTTACTAGTACTTGTATCATCGACTTCATCAATGACGCGATCCCGGGCTAGATCAAGTAACCGAGCATAACTGCGTTTGTTCCCCTATCATCGTTCATACCTCCCACAGCTCACGATGACAAATATTATTGTCCCTTTTTTTAATGCAAAATTATGTTTGTGATTGAGATCCTGCAGCTTATGCCTTTGAAACTGCAAAAGTATGATGCGATATTGTCGGAATATACTGCCGGTCAAGCCTTGGCATTCCTTAATATGGCAAGGAAGCCAACAGCGAAATATTGACAATGTGTACACGACAGAATATTCTAGCCTTGGCTCATTATCCTAGATCATAACACGTCAAGTTATGCAACGCCGTTATGCTATGCTTCTCTCAAGATCTCAAGTCGCTTCCTCGTAGACACATCTGACTTGATACCCCACCACATGATCGACAAGATGAGGGATAGAAGGGGGGCGTGAAACTAGAGGCTTTAAAAGCCTACCGGTTAGTGTCCTGACATTATACATTCGTTCTATGCTTCGAAAGATCTACTATACCGGGTGGAGTACTTGCCTGCTAAGTGAGGTCACACAATTACAGAAGGTATGAAGATTCAATATTTTAAAATATATGGAATATTGAAGATACTGTAGCCTTTATACTGTTTATGGGCCGCTGAAGCTTAGTGTAGAACTCCTGCATGCCGCCTCAGACTCAATACTGGTGAAACCTTTATCAGGCAGGTCTATATTTTCGGTTCACAGTTCCCTATCAGAGGGACCCGGATGGCTTGAACAGTAGGACTTTCTAATATTAAATAGCACACTATGAGTCTAGCTCAGAATGCAATGGCTCACACATGTAATGTCGAACAAGCCTGACCTGGCTGCATAACTACCGTAGCTTGAGCTTCACCTAAATTCCTGGGTTATCTTCTCAGCCCAGTCCTCTAATTCCTTTGCATAGCCCTCGTCGGCCATTGCCTCCAGTAAATCCGCTCTCGGTTTCGGATGCCACTGTCCAAAAGGAATCACATAACGCCCCCCGTCACGGACCGTGATGTCCTCACTACAGCCAGCCCACAGTAAGGTAAGCGCGCCATCCTCCACAGTAGCGAAGAAGGGCATGGTCAACCAGACTGCGATCCGGGGTGCATTATCATAGATGCCCGTGTGGACGGTTGCCGGGTTGGCGGTGATGCTCACGACACACTTCTCTGAAGCCGGGCCGTCACTGGCACCCACTGACGCCGCGTTGAACCGCTTTGCAAAGCGATCGGCAAGGAACCAGTTGCCGGTTTTGCTAATGGTGTAGTTTCGAATCGGGTCCTCACTGGGATAGTCAAGCTCCTTGGGCGGAACTCCTTCCGACGGTGCCGAGGTGTCGACAAGTAGGCTGCTGGACCAAACCACCCGCACACTGCTGGGTACGGTGTCTGCTGCTGCAGCAGTACGGATTAGAAGATCCGATAGCAGTGCAGTCAGCAAGTAAGGGCCCACACAATTGGTGCCCATGTGCGGCTCCAGTCCCTGCGCGGTGCGCTGGGACAGTGGCACGCAAGCAACCCCGGCGTTATTGTGAAGAACATCGAGGCGTGATTCCTGCGATAGGAAGGTCGTGACGAAGGGTTTGATTGTACAGAGGTCGGAAAGATCGATTGCAAGGAACTTTATTGTCCCGGGAGCTTGAGAAGTGCTGGTAGTGGTGATAGCTTGAATAGCGGCATGAGCTTTGGTCTCATTGCGTGCTGCCATGTAAACCCTGGCTCCGGCATCATAGTAAATCCGTGTGAGCGCCAGGCCAATACCTGCGGTGCTGCCGGTGATGATCACCACGCGGCCCACTTGGGACCGAACAGTGGTTGAAGTCAGGGCAGCCTTGGCGGGAAAGACCTGTGGCCAGATTCGTTTACAATACTCCATGGTGGTGAGTATATCTTGGGGGCAGAAACAGCTTAGATTGACCGAGGTCCAAAGGGAGAAAGAGGACTGAGAGAGATGGAGAAAGATTCTATTGATTTGAACAGCTGGAGGGGAAACCGGTCGCTATTTAATCTACCTAGACAAAGAAATATTACTAGTGGTATATACTAAGCCCTCATCCCTGCCTTATCCCGGTTGGTATTCGCGGTTACTGGTAACACTTCGAAAGTAACAACCGAAGTCTTACGTATTATAAATAAAAAGATATTTGGATCGCTCACCCGGTGCCGTTATCTATGATATACCTCTGAAGCTTCCTGCAGTCGGGTAACAATCTTCTCACATAAGAGCACTCAGTGCCTTTGTACAAATGACATGTAATGTACTAATGGTGACTTTTAACTCCTGGCGCATCCAGTTGCGAAAGTCCACCGCCGCCAACGAGTCCATTCCGTAGACTGACAGGGGCTTGGCTGCAGATAGAGCTCTGCAGCAACCTCGTGCAAATTCCATGAACCAGTTACTTTACACGAAAGTATATCAGGGAATTGCTCTACGGTCATAGCCGTGTAAATCCTATCCTGTCTGTTAGGTGAGTGGGGAATAGCACGCACTTATGCCAGATAACATACTCTTAATACCAGGGCACCATGAATAATACCCCCGATTGGTTTAGGCGATTGCCGGAGTGCCCGGCGAATATCATCTTTGATTGACACATCTGGTTTCGCAAGCTCACACCTAGCACCCAGGGAAGAGAGATCTCTAATAATACCTTGGGACTTGTCGTCGTCGTAGCCACGTCGAGACATTATGACCAGATATTTCGCACCGTGGCGGGCGAGCTAGAGAGAGTGTGTGTGAGGAATAGAAAATACATTATAGCCGAATACAGCTCCCATTCAGGGCTCTTCTCGGGTCGTTAACAGCTGTTCAGTATAGTACTAAGAAGCTCTTATCGACGATTATGCTATAAATATGCTTTATAAATATTGTGGAGATAGTAAGGGCTATGAAATAGCAGCGATTATAGTAGACTGCTTCCCCTCTTTTCCAGGCCTTATACTACCAATTATAAGGTTGATCTAATAGTCTAAAAGTAGACTACTAGACAGAAAAAGTGCAGTCTACTGGACGTGTCAATAAATATTATGTTTAACCCACTCGACCAAAATGCCAATGATACTAAAATCGCGCCTTGAACACTTTATTCCCCCAACATATTATATCGAAACATAGAATTCAGCAGTAGAAATAAATATTGGGAATGTATCCAGATAGGAGACCCTTAGATAGATAAATCTTTAGATAGATAGACTTTCAGTGTATATCAGAAACAGGTATTATCTAAAAGTAGTAATTTCCAGGAAATATATATTATAAAATTGATATTCAAAGAATCTAGGATAGAATTGAATAACAGCAGTAGTTGTACTATAGAGTATAGACTCTTCTATATTATATAGACTTAGACTGAAGGATTCAGGAGTCCTATCCCGGGGCTGTGGATTATATTGGCAGTATTCCAGGAAGCTAGCCAAGCCTCCTATATATGTCTTGCTAGCTAGGATTCCAGCTAGAAAATATGTTGACGCATTGACGCGTTCCCTACAATAATAAAAATATAACGATATAGGCGATTTTACCTCATCTCTTCGAGCGGAGGATCAGGCGTAGGGATGAGGGAAATCGGGCGATTTAAGCCGCGGGCGAGCTAGACAGCTAAGCTTTCACAAAGTCCTTTCAGGCCGCCCACAATGAGATACGCTTTATCCCCTCGCAGATGAAACTCTTTGCGACCTGAAACGATCTGGCCATCTACGTATCAGTCGAAAAGGCCACACGAAGAGGGGAATCATCCTTACGGCCACCTCCGGGGATTTATACCGCAGAGTATAAGAAAAGTCATATGGGCCGTAAACCCATTCACCAAAACCATTTTCCAGCTGCTATTAGTGAGTCAACCAATCCTTTCTGGGGAGTGGCCAAAGCTGGAACTTCTTGTTCCTGATGGTCCTCTAGATTCTGGTCAGTAAAGCATCACATATAATCGTTCTGCTGTCACTTCACCAGAATGTCCTGTTCCCGCCTTTTTCTCCAGCACTGGCACATAACCATTTACTAGAGCTGTTTCAGCAAGACTATTCGCCTGCTTCAAAAATGGGAATCCATCTTTTATCCATTCAGTCTTTGACTTTTCAATCCTCTCTAATACACATTTCTCCTCATTTATAGCATCTAGACGACTCCTAACAGAATCCCAGGTTAGTGTTGTTCCTCTTTGCTGGTTGAAACGGTCGATCTCAAGAAGAATTTCATCTTGTCTTTTCCCTGCGCTTTGCAACCCAGACACTGCCGCCTGTAGTTCTAACTCGAACGTCGCATTCACAGTGACAGTGGGTAAGGCCGTTGCTTTAGCTAACTTGACAACAAACATCCCTTGTTCAACTGTATCTTGCTCCACTGTCATATGGATACTGAGCACGCCGTCAGTAGCAACCTTCTTGCCAAATGCTGCTTTCCGGATACGGCTACGGTGCTCAGTCAACTTCTTCAGAGCAGTCGTTTGGGAAGAAGTCATAATGTGACTTCGTGTCTTTAGCTGAGATCCCTGTATTCTCGATTCAAATAGCACAAGGAAGTCATTAGCTCCCTCTGCCTCTTGGCGAAATCGAGCCCAAGCTCGTTGTATGGTGTTATCAGCAGTGGCGTTTTCTAGTACGATTTGGGAATCGTCTTTCCACCAGCAGTCTTGTGGTTCCACTTCAACCAATTGCAAGCCTACATTTATAGGCTCTTCAATAAAAAAACGGCTTCTATTGGTACCCATTGTAGCTTTTTTCTCGTGTCGCTCAGCCTTGATATAGATTATTGGAGTGAAGCTTACACCTTCAATATCTGGGAGCAGTTCTGCGTAACGCCCTTCGGGTCGAATGTAGTATTCACCGGGCGACTCACTACTAAGTGGGATCCCCACTATCTGCCCCTCAACACCTTTCGTGCTAGGCCCGCAACTTAGCTTTCCAAAGAGCTGACCGTCTGGGCTCGTATAAAGCGGGAAGGTTCCTCGGATATATCCGCGGTCGAAACCGAATGCAGTCGGGTATCTGTTCTCACTCTTCACTGACAGAATATGACCGGTGTTGATAAAATCGGCTGGCGAAGATGCAAATATTCCGGCAGATATTATATCTTCGTGGTTAGCGGAGAAAGATGATGCGGACTTCAAGCCCCATGCAAAGATAGAATCATCTCGTGTTTCTTTTATAATTTCCCTTTGTAGGCGTATGAATGCGCGGTCACCCTCGCCGTATATCATCGGCATCATGATATTGAAAACCCCAAGAAGAGAATAAGCAATGTCTTCCTTCCGCTTTGTTGTTCTTTTGGAAGCCCAAGACATGCGCTGTGCAATACTTGCTTCTGACAACGGTCTTCTGCCTAGAAGGAATGGGCGCGATATGCCTGTGATCGTCTCAATCAGACCTGCCCATTGGGCCTTACTTCCGATATCCAGCCACTTTGAATTGAAGAAATGGAGACGACTTGGTGCCAGAAGTTCTTGTAATGTCCAACCCCGTTGCAACCAGCGGCTGGAGGAGATTTGAGAGGATAGCATCTTGCGATCTTCGGCAGTAACATCAGAAAGATAGACATAGCAAACAGATGCCTTGCTATACCATCGAAACATAGAATTGATGGCTTCACCAAGTTCCACTGAGTTAGTCTTGTCAATACAACAGGTGTCTATCCATGCATGTGTAAAACCATCCTTCTCTGCACGTTCGCAACATCCCTTGAATTTAATCGGCCAACAACTGGCATCCCCAGTATTTCCCTCGGTAATATCGCGAAATGATACCTCGTCATCATCATTTCCCCACGTATGTGAAAGTATGGCGTAAGGAGGCACTTGCTCGTTGAAAAACTCCTCCAGCTGAAAGGTCTGTACATTGATAAGGCGCATCTTGCTATCTCGTTGTCTTACAAATTTGATAAATTGATATCCGCCCTATGGATCATGATTGAAACAACCAGCAATACGGCGGATAGCAACAACAATTCAATGTCAACAAGATATACGGAAATGTGCTAAAGCATTGAGCTTGGATTCTCTTCAGTCACAACAGAGGGTTAGATAGGCATTTACTCTGTGAAATTTGACGTTGGAATTAATGGGCTGGAGAATTGGCCGGGTTGGGCGCTTAAAAGCGGGGTAGATAGGGCTGTGCACCTGTCACGTTATTTTTGATCTGCGCGCATTTCCAGAGTTCAGACCGTGCCCACGCGTTTTGATCGTAGAAAAGTCTTCTATGCAGGAAAGGTAAATGGAGTCTGCCCCTTGATCGTCTCATTTACTATATCTCCTATGAGTGTGAAGTAAGTGACTTGATCGGGAACACACAATACTTTCCAGAGTCCTACTTTCTAGAGTCCGATGGGCAGACTCATAAAATACCGGACTCTCAAGTTTTTTATCGCTGACTTAAACTATAGCAATGCAAAAGGGTGATAGTACTAAGCTGGACTCTTCGCAAATACATCCCGGGTTTCAATAGTCTCAAATGGGTAGACACACTTTGTGCATATATTTACCTGTTGCTGTGCACAGTACCAGGCGTGATTACAAGGGAACCTGTGACAAAAACATTATATTATCAGGTATAATTAAAGACAAAAAGAAACTCAAATCAATTAAAAACTATTATACAAGTCCGAACTTTTGGTAATATAAAATAATAGCTCAGTTCAAACTCTCGTCGGGTGTCTAGTGTCGAACCAAAATTACACACGGATCCAGTACGTAGCTTACCTGCATGTCCCATTCTCATTTGCGACAATTCGCTAAAGTCCTTCGGAAAGAGTCTGCTTGCTAGTGACGATCAAGGTACGTCGGTAGTAGCAAGTCCAGCACTACTTGTTTTCATTGTTGACGCCAAAAAGTAGCATTGCCTTCTGAGACCTCGATCTTCCCCCGCTTAGAGTTATCATAGACCCGTTGTTCTCAAGATCTCCCCCTTGCGCACTTGCTTCTCAAAACATCGGCTAAATTGAAACTGCCCATATCCGCCTGATAGACGACAAATTGCGAATTCCAGGCCTGCACCTATTGCTCCAGATGAACCTCCCAAAGGCATTCCAGAGGTGCCGAGGCCCAGCCACCACTTAAGTCCTCGGGAGAACTGTACAAGATTGAGAGTTCAAGTTTTAGATCCACGTATTTTTATATTTCATCCTTCTCTTCGGGTTTCAGGATATCAATTCACTTCTACTAAGCATCATGAGCGACGTAAGTAGTCGGATCGAGGAATCACTGATCAATATTTTGCCAATTTATGTTGGCCGGATTATTCGGTTCAAGGCACAACCCAATGCCAATGGTATTTTGGTCGAGCGGCAACAAGCTTCAACAGTTTATCTCGTCAAAGGGTACGGCATTTATTGCGGCGTAGATGATGCAAATATTTCCGCTCTCGAAGGTGTTCCTCATCGAACAAGAGAGCTGCCGATCGGTTTGCAGCCAATCATACTAATCTCGAAACTCCAGGGCACCCTACACAAAGCTAGGGATGCGATTGAAAGTCTCCGCGATGGGGCGCAGAAAGGGTTTTGCATTGTGTGGTTAAAGTTGTATAATATCTGTGAGCTTTTCAAATTATATTAATACCTAGAGCTTCTCTATTGGATAGTAGTATGACTTTTGCCTCGTTAACCTTCTCTGTAATCTTGTCTAACAATTTAGGTAGTGCTGTTAGCCACATGATCGACCCGGATAATGCTTAGGCGCAGGACTAGGGCTTCTGAAAGGCTTTATTGATTAGCCGTCTTCACACTTAGCATCATTACTTAGACATCCCAAACTTTATGTCAGAATTGTTATGTAGCTGCTTTTTGTGATTAAACAGCCTTGGTAGGTGCGAAAATTAATGGCCCACGCCCACAAGGCGTTTAGTCATAACAGACTTAATCATACCCGTAACAAAGGTATCCGCCCTGAGTGTTCATAACCTCCCCAATAGTAACATTGGGCTTGATGTTGAAGGACGATAACTCATAGTGAAGGGTTGCATTCTGCCAGCCACCAGCAGGTTCAACATTGGCAGTATGGTTCAAGGTCGGTCCGCTGATATCGTAGAGACGGTTGATAGGATCCTCCTTCTGCCACTTCCACCAAACACGGTCGATGTACATGTGGTGCATAAAGAATATAGGGTCACCGGGAGAGGATTTGATATCGGCCATCTAAAATTTGAATTGGTTAGCAAGCAGTCATTCTAGTGCAAGTCGGTAGCGGTTAGTACGTACCACACCACCAATGTAGGTGTGCACGCCCTTATGGGGAATGTTCGAAATGCAATCCCACCAGGGTGAGAAAGTGTTATAAGCGTTACAATTGTTAAGGGCGGTGCTGTTCGCATTGGCAATCGCGTGTTCGTTGTCCCATGCACGTCGCAGACAATAGTCGGTATCCTCGTCGCCAGGACCAATATGCAAGGTGTAGTTGGCGAAACGACCGTCAGTCACACAGAGGTCCGATCCGGTACCATTTCCGCCGAAGGCATCTGGTCCCCACATGGATGACTGCCACATATTGCCGCTGTCGGCATCTTTCTGCTCGTCCCACCATCTGTAACATCGTTTAGTATGCAGGGAATAGGTGTAAAGCAAACATGTTGAACCTACGGGATGGGGCCAGTATAGCCACACTCATCTCGGAGTAAGCTCTCGTACAAGTGCATGTAGTAGCGGTGCCATGGGAGGAATTGGCCCTTTTCACAAAAATGTTAGAGATGGGAGAAGTACAAGGAGGGATCAACTTACAACGTGGTGAATGATATCCGCGTATGCAGTATTGGTCATTCCACGGTGAAGAGCTTGAAGATCACTGAACCTGCTGGTAGTGGCGGTCAATCCGGATTTGGCAGGTTTGTCCATCAAGCATTGGACGGCATCCAGAAAGCTGTTCTGCTGTTTCGTGGTCAGATGACGCCACTCCTTACGGATTGTCATCTTCTCTTTGCTGCAGCTGCCGGTGAAGTACCCTGGGATGGACTGGCTGGTAATCTCACGTTTGTCGACGTTGGACATCATTTTTGGGAAAGCAGCAACAGGCATGCTGACTGCCAGAGCCAATGCCGCGCTAAAGACAGAATACTTCATGATGAAACTTGAGTAGAAAAATAATTCAACGAGTGACAGGCGTCTGGGCGCGCCGGAATGATGAAAAGAACTGACAAGTGACGATGGTTGAAACAGATGAATGGGTGATGTTAGATGAAGTCAGAAGGTAATATCCCATGTTTTTATACTTCTCATTCCTAGCATTGCCAAATTAAAACGTCTTTCGAATTCTCCAATGCCCCGTACCAGGCCTGGCGGGCTTGGCATGAGAAACCATAAGTACAAGCCCTATATTTGGTATTGGTGTGGGCGGATGATGAATCGGACTCCATCCGTGGAATCCACATCATATTAACCTCGCTTGCATAATTTGACAGTTGCAATATACACGACTGACTTCATGTATCAATTCGCCCGATTATTGTATAGTAAACCTGTCGTGAAGTCGAATTCAACTGGCATGTTTGCATCTCAGAAGAAGCTCATCTCTTCGGTCGTATCCCAATCTGACAATTAGATGCTAAAATTTGTCTGAGAAAAATCAAGATACGAACGTCTTAATTCACCATGAAACATGTGGCTGAACTGAAGCTGGTACAGTACATACACTAACCGACCTTCCGCATCCATTGGTCTTTTGGTCCGCGGTTATGTCCTTTTCATTTGTCTCACAGCATCGTCATTGAACCAGTAGTTTGAGTGGCGTCGGTATGAGGTGTGTAGAAAACGCGTTGGTGAAGAGTTCCGTACGTATGCTTAGGTGGGTGCTTTTCTTGGCACGATTGGAAAAATCCGAAGACGCGTGGCAGCATGACGCTAAGATATAGGGATGGGACTCCATGTAGACGATCATTTCCCTCAAGAGAATGGTAACCATTCAATCGCACTGGTACTGAGCTTACATGGTAGTTCGAGAATCCTACAGGGCTGGATTTTTCGAGAACCTGTCCATTGGAAGGCCCGATCAGGTGCTTATCGAGATTATTGAACAAACTGCGATCGGCCGATGGAACATTCCGATACCGCCCACCATTGTTGTTTAAATGCAACTGTATTAGCAACTTCTCAGCTAGAAGGTAAAAAAAAAAAAAAAAAGGATAGATAGATAGGTAGACAAAAGATCGAAGGTAACACTTGAGTATCACCCATGATAAAGGTATATTCAGGCAGGTATCTCATCTAGTTGGTAGGAAACTCTAGTAGGACCGATACCTACAATCCCGAGTATTCCGAAGCAGAATAACGTACTTTTACTATCATTCATAGCTAATACAGGAGAAAGAAGGTGGAATGAAATTTGACACCAAGTTTGAGATAGATGAACTGGGCGAATGGATTTCCAAAGGTCCTTTTCGACCGGACGAGCATACCGGATTGGGGCCGTTTTCGGCAGGCTCAACATCTGCTGGGGTTCAACCCGCTCGGCATTAAATCACCAACTTTTCTTTCTTCGCGTCGGGCCGAACCTGAGCCAATCTCTTGGCAACTTCTCTATTGCCATGAAGATCTACAACAACATTCCGTATTGACCAGGTAGTTTTTACAATGAATGTACTGAGATCTCCTCCAGGCGATCTATTGCTTTTATACTAAAGGTGTAGTATGTCTTCTGAAAATTTCCATCAGCCCTTAGTACAATTATGGTATCCTTTGAATAATTCGTAAGTCAATCGTGTTTTATCAACAACAGAGTTAGAGATATATATATCCGTGAAAGCCTGTAGTCTCCGACCATGGCAAGCTCTTTAGGCCACAATAACTTGTTGCATTTTCTTAGAAAACAGTCTCTGAGGCTTCCTACACTGGGCACTGCCTTTCTTAATTGTTAATACTCTGGTGTCTCTTAAAGGGACTTAATTGCCAACCTAGTCTGCAATAAGTTGCTCACGTGACGGGGTTCTGCAAGCAGAATTATAAATACATGTTAGTAAGGGGCCAAGGGTTTTCCAAAGCTTGCTTGGTTAGAAGCTTTATGTCGAGTGCTTGTCTAGTAGCCCAATCGATCCAATCCATTATGCTAAATGCAATGCTCCCCTTAGATCATATGGCTACTGTTATGATATATCGTATTGATCCATACTGCACATCCCGGAACCCGAAGCTTTGGAACGATGGGCATTGAGAGTAAATATCAAAAAAACACAGATAAAATAAAGTAAACGTATAGTTCTACTGAATCCATCTCGAAATGGAGCAATTACGTGCTTTGCTTCGCCATGCCGTAACATCGATTGGTAACGACAAAATGCAACACCTTCACGTAGGGTTACAAATCGAATGTTGTTGCATTTACTATCGTGATGTCTGGTTCACGTTGGCTCGAATGCTTGCGGGATGGGCATTGGGCCAGAAGGACACATATTCTTGAGTACGGAGTGCCTACTCCGTAGTTCCGAGGCAAAAATAGCGTAAGGCCCGCCGAGGGGCCCTTATATAGACCTTGGTGCGGATTTAGTGTAGACCGAACGCGTCGTATGCATTTGTATGCCTCTGCATATATTTGGGATCCAATTCTAGACCCGATAGATATTCGAACGATTTGAAGTTCGCTTAATGCCTAATATTTCTCATCACGATGAGCCTTCAACCGAGGATCAATATCTGATGGTATATCGCGCATAGCTTTATCCTTTTTTGTTTTAGTCTTTTAGATCGTTTGCCCGTTATATACGAGCTACCCAATGACCTAAAGATCCTAGTCCCTATTCCCCACGTTGGTGACCCACAAACATGGCCTTGTGACCCGAGCAGAAGGTATGCGCTGAGGGTCTTCGTGCTGCTGTGCCTACTGGCAGTGTTAGTGGCTGCTTACCTGCGACCCTGTAGCTTCGGAGTTTTAACGGCAGTCGCAGCCGTCTGGCATGGTCCCTTTTACTGGTTATGTCCTGTGACCACATGCTTTTATGTTATTTGGAACTTGTCAGCTATTTAGCCCTACGAAACTAATAGCCGGAATTCAGCCGCGTCAGGTGCAAGGCTTCTGGCTCCCCATTAGCTGCAGCATTGAACTGTGGCTGACAATACACTAATAAAGATCCGGGTAAATATAAGAATATTGCCGGTGAGCTTAGTAGTCTATACACGCTCCTTCTAATGGAAAGAGTACCACTGTATCTAGAATCATATGTCTAGTATTTAGAATATCTATCCTGCTTGGAATACCCAGCTTATTGCAAGAATACGGAGTATATTCAAACCCCTATGCCACTCGGCACGTGATTATCAAGGATCCACTTTCTTACTAGAAAAAGCTTCATCTTTCCTAAAACAGTAATTCTCAACTACTACTAACCGAAGGCGGCAAAAGCACCGACCAATGAAAGCGTTTACTCCTTAATTGATATACCCCGTTAATTGGCAGGGTGGGCTGCCTGGTCTTTTCCCTTGTTTCTCAAGATAACTAGGGCTGACTTTTGCTACTGAGCCCCAGATCTAAACATTTTTGATCCTTAATAAACTGGGTATAATAACGGAAGTACTCCGGAGTAAGTCCCCCCATTCTTTCCCCGTTATATATACGCAGTTGTTACTTCTATTGGTATAGCCGTAATATTGCTTGACCTTTGGAATGCCAATAAACTGAGTATATATGGGAAAAACATGGTAGACGCTCCGTAGCATTGGAGATATGGCGGGTGCATATTTCCGAAGTTGGGGTTCCCGATAATATTACTCCACGGTAAGGATCATTCTAATTGCTCAAGGCTGCCTGCAGGGTTAATTCTGCTGGTCGTACAGACTCGTGTGACAATACCGGTCTTGATGTATCTACGCATATGGTCTACAATCGCTCGCCATAGTTGCCGATATAGGATTGATATCGCCCCCAATTTAACATGTCTCAAATTGCTACGCCTCAAGTCGGTAGCAAGTTGCTAGCTGTCGGTAGTAAACGAGCCCGATATGTTACATTGGCCTATTAGTATGCAATGCCGAGAAAGCTTTTCTAATATAAACATACCGTAACAAACCATAGGGCCGCATGTGGTCACCTCTAGTGTTGATATGTTGTGACATGATCCGACAAGGACGCAAATATAGAAGGTACACAACAGAAGTATGTATGTTGACTGATGAGCAAACAGGAATCTGTCCATTCAGGGTGCAATCAGTTATGAAGTCCGACTACTATGTGGGGGCCGGGGATGGCACGGTATAGGGAGTGTGGAGATCCACGGCAACCCGGATTGTACTTCAGAGCGAGATGGGTATGGGGGGACCCTTGAATTGGCAAAGTAGTCTTCTAGGGTCTCTGACTATGAGCAAATAATTAGCCGAACAAGCGAACATAGCCTCCTCTGAAAGCTATATAAGGCACGTCGTAGACCTCCATAAGCCCTTGACATCTTGTCACTCACAAGCATCTATTCCCCTCAGAAGCAATCACCTCAAAACTCTCTTTGTCCCCCTTCATCAGCTCCTATCACTATCGAATCGAAAATGTTCGTCAAGAAGGTATTCCTCGGCCTCGCCATGGCAATGGCACCTGCCACGGTCCTTGGCCTCGACGACTTCTGGCTGGGATCCTATTCCGGTGAAGGCCTCGCCGGTACCTGGGCTAATCCTGGCTCACTCGGCATGTGTTACTATACCATTGTCGGCAAGGGCGTGAACCAGTGTGATGCGACCCGACTGAACCCTGCGGATGGTTCTGGCGGCTGCCCCGGACAGAACGGCAAGCAGCCGAATTTCTGTCATATGTCAATCGGTGGCGCTGGCGTGCCCGATGGTTATCAGCTTGGTATGTATTCTGCGAACTTCATGAGAGTACTGTGTACTAAGTGACGCTTTAGATCGCAATGGAGGTGACTGTCCGGTTGATAGCCGTTCTGACGGAACATGGTACGCTGATGTGGTCGACACCAACAATGGCAATGCCAAGGTCGGCCGTTGTGTCTATGAGCTCTGGATAGGCCCGAACTGCGCCTCAACCGGCAGCTTCCTGACTGAGACCTTTGTTCACTGCTACCAGGATTAGGTGAGGACTTCTCAGGGAATGGCAATTTGGAAAGGATGGAGGTGTTTGGGGATTTGGCTTGAATCTAGATGTGGGAGTGAGGCCTAATCGGCAAAAAAGAGTAAGACGGGTGGTAAATGTACAGTACAGTGATTGTATGTATATCAAAAGTGTAGTTTTGAACATTGACGCCTCCCGGGCCATTGCTAGCGTATTTGGTAGAGCAGTGATTTACTGTCGGATATTAAATGACAATACGTGTGTAAGCAGTCAAGACTATAGACTCCGTATAGCCTTTCATACAAGACAGATAAACATGTCCTTCTAATTTAACCCCCTGAGAGAATGGGGGTGGGGTGAAATAAAGCGCTGGATGAAGAACCTGCAAGGGATTAGGTTTGAGCCGGTTCATTTTTCGTACTCTAGCCTACACCTTAAAAGCTAGATGGTTTTGTTACGGAGATCTGTTGGCAATGGTTAAGATGCAATGCATACTGCCGGGTCATCCGTATTACTGTGATACCTAGAGAATACCTATCAGTTATTTCTCATATCGGTCGTTAGGTTGTTCATACAATGGCACTTTGGGTCAGTTCCTCCTAATTCATCCACCCCGAGCCGAACACCTGATGCATAACTCGTCGAGAGGAACGCCACGACTGCTAGTGCAATACCAAACAATTGATCCATTGAGGATCTGCGCAGTGACCACATTCTTCCGTATAGGACGCGATCGAGTGTCATCATTGGATATTAGAATGTCGTACCATGAATCGTTTCTCTTATTGCTAGTAAGATGCTAGGATATCACTCTTGACTCATGCAGCCCAGGTGACCTTTTTACTTATCCCACCCTCTTCATATGGGATAGCTAGTGGACCTATCCGCAATGAGCGTATGGGGGGTGAAATATTTGCCTAGGGGACGTCGGCCCCGCATCTACGTTTCGAGAGATCATTGCATGACTACGACCGCCATCCAATAAAGCCAAGAATGAGGGGCATACATAGATTATTGTATGACCCCGCAATGGACCGCGAGACGAAGACAAGTCGGATTTTGGGCGGGGTCTAAAGCTCCACCGTGATAAGGGTGCAGGGGTTATATGCATGTTTCAGTTCAGCTGAAGGATAGCTTTGCCACGTATCATGGACTCACTTTCGTCAACTAGACGATTAAAAAGACATTAGCATTAAGGAATCCAGTCACAAAATAGTTTCCTTTACCTTTATAACGGTAAATCTTATATTCTGTGCGTGCTGTATGAAACGCCAATTTTTGGGACTAGTATATTTGACGGTGGTGATAGTAGCAAACACCTCGGAGAAGCTGTATCATATAGAAGCCCAATATTGCCTCTCGCAACCTAATAAGTTTAGAGCATGCAATGCAGTTAATTTAAACCTGGTATATATTTCCAGGATAACGTGGGTAGTGTACAGTGACAGCCAATTATCCGTCTCAGTAGGTGGGAACCTCTATGCAGTAGTACTAATATGAAGAGTGATTGGTGCGATAATATCTGCACAGCGATATTCTACTACAGGAACTATGTGCCAAAATCCTGTTTGCTTCTAGGAAATACCTGGGAGTTCGACGTTGTACTGACAAATCATAGTCGGTGAAGATATTGCATGGATCACATAGTACCATACGGCACATCCGATACGCGATGGAAACAGGAGGAAAAGGAGTTAATGACGTCTACTGAACGAGCAAAGGTTTCTAGAGATGCGAACCGAGTGAGTATAAAGGTGGCTTTCAACCCCTAGAATCCTTCGCTCCAAGCGCTCAATCTCGAATTCAATAAGACATTCTAGCACAGCACTAGCGAGCCTACCATTTCATCTTCATATTTTCAGCAACCCCCAAACCCCTGAATCGGAAACATGGCTCTGGCGTACCCTGAAGGAGAGTGCTTCTTCAAGCGCTCCGCCTTGAACTCCAGCAACAAGAACTTCTACCAAGCCGACCGTGCGGATCATTTCTATGGCCATTTCCTCCTTGAGTTCATCTGGAATGTGCCATCTCATACAGGAGATTCAGCACGCCAAAGACGTAGCCACCCGCGTTCCACATACCACCTAAATGACCTGAGTACATGGACGCCACCGCCGGTCATGCTCAAGACAAATGGCCCCTACATAGGGAATTGGTCACAGCTGCCCTTCGTGTATGGCTCACACTACAGTAAAGGAAAGCAGCGCCGTATGCAGCATAATCTCTGCACTAATGCCAAACGACTTCAGGCCCAGGTGAAAGGTGATGCTATGGAGGTGAACCCACACGTGTCACGTAAGCTAGTGACCATCATTGACTAACGGCTACTTCGTAGTCCTGGTTCATGATCATGCCGATGCCCAAAAGGCAGGAAGGCTGGGTCTTCATTGATGTCAGTCCATCTACTCCCAGTTATCTCTTGTCAATGCTGACTGTTCCACTCGCTTTGTATTTCAATAGCGCCTGACCAATATCCGAGCCATCTACATTCCAGTAGCACACCAAGCTTCCGAGGACCATCCGGAGCTCTGCACCTTTCTGCATGTCAACTTTGCTGCAGCAAACGCTGCAGTCAGTATGTTTCATCACACTTGTGAGAATAACAAGGTCAAAAAGTACTGGAAGAAGGTTACATTAAAGAAAACAGTCGGTCTGCCGGATTGGGGCAACCTGACCGTCGGAATCAACATCAACGGCCTGGTGAATCTGCTCTCACTGCCCCGCCAACTACGTGCTCAGAATGCCTTCACCTCTAAGAATATCATCATTGTGGAAAGTAGTCTGGTGGCAAGTCCAAAGCTAGAGCGAAGCTTCGATGACGGCACAGACTTTGATTGGGCCAAGGTTGCCGGAGCGAACTTTGGCCTGAGCATCCAATGGAAGCCTGCCCCAAAAAAGCAAGACTGGTTGGAGAACTTCTTGAAAAACTCTTTGACCATCGCTGTCGGCTTTATTCCTGGCATTGGGCCTATCGCAGCTATTGCGTTCCCGTTGATCTGGACGGCTATTGCTGATCCGGACTCGTTTGTGGATACCTGGAGGAACCTCTGTCCTGGAGTGGATCTGCAGCTGAAGCTCCTGGAGGCCATCAAAGATAGCGCTAAGGAGACTCGGGAATATCTACCGGAAGGGTGGGAGCAGACTGCTCTTGGTCCTAAATTTCTTTCTGGTCCTCATGCCAGTGGCACGAGGGTAGCTGCGTTGGTTGCGGATCCTGGTAGCAACCCGGGGGATCTGGATACAGAGGCTCTTATTATTAACGAACTGAAAGCCTTGGAGGGCGAATCTGTGGATGGACTTACCCAGGCCCTGGATCCCGGGAGACCGGAGGACGAAATTGTCATACTGGAGGCTGATAAGGAGGCCGTTGGAGGTGGTGACGTCAAAGAGGATGATCACCGCCTCGAAGACCAGGTCGACGCAGAGGTCGTTCCTGACAAAGTGACTCTGGATGAGGTCGGCCCCGACATGAGCTTCAGATTGGCCGAACAAGCCCTCAAAGACACAGCAAGGTCAGAGGATGAAAGTGAGTGGCAGAAGCTCATGGATATCGCGATGGAGACGGCCAAAGATATAGCTTCAAAGCTGCCCACTATCCCTGGCTTAGGCAACAAGGATGAAAGCTCTAGTAATGACGGTCAAGATGACGCCGCTGAGGATCCCACCGTGAGCGATGGTCCTGTCAATGATTTCAATTGGATGGATGACTACTTCAAAGCCCTCTTTTCAGGCAGCCTTCCGCTCGAAGGACAGGCATGAGGCATCGTACATGCTATATCGGAACGCAGAAATACGATAATGTGGAGGGGTTATATGGTGTTACACGAGAAGATGTTCAACCATCGCTCCTCGCAACATTAGTTTGCTCATAGTGATTAAGTAACAATGTTTATGACTGCTTATAAGGACTGAACTACACGATAATGATGTCTGCGAATAGTAATCGGTACGAGGTTAATGCAGCTGAAATCAACCTGTATGCAACAAAGAAAGGCCTACCAGTTACTGTAGGGTGATGTCCCAGCCAGGAGCGTTACTACAATAGTACCTTTCTCTCACACCTCTACCCATGTCCAGTCAGACATCAGAAGCAACTAAGAATTTCCTTGATGGAACAAGTCGGCGATAGGTTTGCGCGACACCACACATTCTGTATAGCGACAAATCTTTTCTACGCACTGGTGGCAGGGAGTCTAAGCAACAAAGCTACGGGCGATGCAAGATGTTTCGAAAGGCGCGTAGCTGGGGCCTGTTCCAGGCGTCGTAGAGTGTTTGACATAGTTATTGTTAAATGTCAGGTAAGAATGAACTTGAGTTTATACAGATGACTTGAGCAATATTTGAGGGGTAGATATTGTGCAAAGAGACTATGAGACAATCGCCATGACATAGTTAATTGACACTAATATTAGTAAGCTACCAGAGATTTTAACTACCCAGTAGAATTCTCAATGAAGCTATGGCCTGCCACATCGCTAGTGGGTATATGTATGGGCCAAATGGTTGGCTGCACAACAACCCCACATCGATGCCGCTTATATCCGTGGCGCTTGCCACTCCGTGCATCTTTGTCACCCGAACTGATATGAAATGGTGGTCAACATGCCTCCCAGCAGCCAGAAGAAACCACCTGTTAATCGCGGTAAGACGTATAAACGCGGTTATGTGGCGTGCGTGAGTTGCCGCGCTCGCAAGGTCCGATGTCTCCTTGGTGACGAACCACCGTGTGCCAAATGCGAAAGGGAACACCGTGAATGTGTGTTTGAGGCGAGTAGAAAAGTGGGGAAACACCGACAGACCCCAAGATGGTCACTGGCACAAGGTCATGCGACAGAAGGCTTGCATAGACAGAACATCCAGGAGCGACCATCGGACACTGGGCATGGGGATGCAGATAGAACACCAAGGGTGATATCGACAGCCGTATCCGAACCGGACCCACACCATCTACCTGAGTCTGACGCTCATGATAATCCATCCCTTTCTGGTAGGGTAATGTCGACAATTTTGGCGCGACCCAGCGATGCGTTGGATGTGCTGTTCGATGCTGCCCGCCCCGATGTAGGTGAATCGCCATCCTCCCCGGCAGGGGACCAGGGAGGCACCACCAGAGACAAGACCCAAACGGTTGTCTCTGCAAGTGGGCTACTTTCAGTATCCGGTTTGTCGCATCCCAGCGAAGATGTTCTCGACCTGTGGGATAGGTGTCGATTTGTACGGCAAGGATGGTTTACCGCACAAGAAGCCGTGACTTACCTAGACTTGTATGCCCGTTCGCTGCAATGTGTGCCTTAAGGCATTTTAGACATGGAAAGTGATGAACTGACGGGCACAGATTTTACAAATATTTGGCACCTCTTTCGCCGGTCCCTACAGTGGCATACTGTGATTATAAGAACCATGAACAGCTGATAGTTGAAGAACCTATGCTTTGCTGCACTATGTTAATGATAGCTTCGCGATATTTCGTTTTACCAGGGGCCGGTGGAATCTCTCGGAGCCATTTTATTCACCACCGGTTATGGCAGTACTGTGAACTCCTGATTCGCCGTATTATGTTTGGACAGGAAAAGTACTCGACCGCCAAAACCAGGATTGTGGGCTCAATTGAAAGCCTTATCTTGATTTCGGACTGGAATCCAAGGTCCGTTCACTTCCCGCCCGAGACAGAGGGCTGGGATGGTGAGCTGATCTCACCGGCATACGACCGCCGGAATCGACTTCAGACGAGTGAGGATGTCCCACTTGTTAGATGGCGTGAGGATGTGTTTGAGCCAGCAAAGCGATCGGAGCGCATGTCGTGGATGTTGCTTGGTGCAGGAGTGACTCTGGGTTACGAACTGGGTGTATTCGCCGATGGTTACTCCAATACACCCCCTTTGGCTAGCCCCCAGACAGTCAGACTGTATCGCGCTCGGAAGCTGCTCTACACTTATGTCACTCAAATGGCGGTTAGAATGGGCTGTCCCTCTCCTATTCCCGACAACATCCTCTTCATCCCAGAGGCATCGCAAGGCAATATAACGGAGCCTATGCATAGGCAATGGGAAGGATACATGAAATCATGGACCGAATTGACTCGTCTCATGAAAACAGCATCGGCCTTGTTCTTCCAGTCAATTCCCCATGTGAAACAGCAGCTATCATCTGGTCACTACAGTACTCTATTGCAACATTTTGCGCCGTCTTTGGCTAAATGGCATGATGAATTTAATAACTCAACTGGTATGTCATTCTTCATCATGGGTTCGGTGTAGATATTAATGAATGCTGAGTTAGATACACCAAAAGACCTTAGGCCATTATTATTAATCGAGTACCATCACCTCAAAGCGTATACCAGTGCCCTCGCCATTCAGGCGGTGGTTGAGAGGGCTGTTGCAAGGGGGGTTAGCTGGATCGGCGATACTAGCCGCGAATCTCTCGATACATGTCTTCTGCCCCATGATCAAGATTTCATTCGTGATGTTATTCAAAGCAGTAGTAGAGTTCTAGAAATTGCCACTGATATGGCAGCCAACAGCATGCTACGATACGCACCACTACGCACGCTTGTGTGTATCACCTCTTCATCAGTCTATCTCCTGAAGGCTATAAGCCTTGGGGCGCATCATACAGATCTACAAGCCTCTCTCCGTACGCTAGATCGATGTATCCTTGCTTTGCGCTCGTCCGGTACAGATGACATGGACTTCTCACTGCGATACGCCAGGCTAATAGAAAAGCACGTCGATCGGTTTCGCGCAAACTTTATCTCGGAGCGTGTCACGACTATCAACCCAGATCACCATCGCTATAACGTACAAACACCAGAGCCCTTAACCATGGCACAGCCGCAAGGACAACCTCATATGCACAGTGCATTCAGCAATTACCCAGACCAACAGTCCACAGATGCCTTTGTTACACCGGAGATGAACTCATGGTGGGCCCAGCCGTTTGACCCGAATATTGCGCCGTTCAATTTCAACGGTGAGGGCGTCTCTATAGGATTGGAGCTGGATTCGTTGGATTTCTTGTTGAATTTGCCACAGGTTGGAGGTGAATGAGACACCTTATATTGTAGCAAATGTAGCCACAAGAATGATGTAGTTATTCCATACAGTCCCATCTTGTCCAAGCGAGATTGTGTCGCGAATGAGCATTTCCCTCCCGGATAGTACCGGTTGTAGCTCCCCTTCGGCATCGCTCATATACCGCGTTTATCCGAACCGGCACCTGAACAGTTCGGGAAGAACAACCTGCTTTTCCACAACATCACGATGTGATTGCTTTAGCTTGGGATAGAATGCTGCTTTGGTGTCGTGAGCTCCGAGATCGGAGTCATCAGTTTTCCTGTACATGTGCATTTAAATGGTGTACATCTTTGAATCATTTTTCTCAGTCGTGCAGTAAAGATACATACCAGTTCTCTCACGTCTACCAACCTACCCAACACATACAATTGAACACGAAACCACAACAAACAAGACCAAACGGAAATCCCCAACAATGTCAAAATCAACCGTCAACACAAACCCCTACCCTTTTCACTTCGATTCCAGTACACCAGTACAAACAAACACCAATGGCAAGACACAAGACATACCAGTCACCATTCCAAACAGCCGGGGCAAGATTCCTTCCCTCCAAGCCTCCCGCCTCCGCAGCATGGTTCTCGAAGCCCACAATGATCCGAGCAAAATCGTCGCCCATGTTTGCAGCTATGACGCTTTGAGCTCCAAGTTGTGCGAAGAAGCGGGTTTTCCTATCGTATTCCTTGCCGGATATGCAATGGCATCGGCCTTTGCACTCCCGGATACCGGGTACATTGCCTTCCAGGAAGTGGCGGCCAAAGTTCAAGAGGTCGTGAGGGCGACTAACGTGCCTGTCCTTGTGGATGGTGATACGGGATATGGAGGACCTATGAATGTAAGAAGGACGGTTGAGGGGTAAGTACCTGTCTTTTATAATTTTATTTACTTGTATGATCGGGTGCTAATGGATTGTAACAGGTTTGCACGAGCTGGTGCAGCGGGAATTATGATTGAAGACCAAACGTGGCCAAAACGTGAGCTCACCACCCAGTTATAATAACGTCTCTGTCTGAAAGGACGATGAAGCTAACAATTTACAGGTTGCGGCCATACAAAAGGTAAAGCCGTCGTCTCCCGAAGCGAAGCCTACGCCCGCTGGCGCGCAGCCGTCGATGCCCGTAATGAAGGCCTCGATATCTGGATCATGGCGCGAACCGATAGCCTCATCCACGGCTACGATGAAGCCCTGGAAAGAGCTCGGGAAGCTATCAAGATTGGTGTGGATTGCGTCTTCGTAGAAGCCCTCCCCGACCGTGAAACAATGTTGCGTCTACGAAAGGACCTCGACTTCCCTGTGTTTGCGAATATCATCGAAGGCGGAAAGACGGAAAACCTGTCGGCTAAAGACTTGGCCGAACTGGGATACTCTGCCGTTGCGTATCCCTGGACACTGGTGGCAGCTAAATTGAAGAGTATCCGGGAGACACTGGAGGCTATCAAGGGGTCATTCATGGTGGGGAGACCGCCTACGGTTTTGTCATACGAAGAGGTTTGTGAAGGCGTCGGATTCAATAGATATTACGAGATGGAGGAGAAGTATCAGTATGATGGGTCGACGACTGGGAGTAATGGATACCAGTGGGCATGATTCATGAGTTAAGTTCTAGGAGTATTTGAGTGATTGGCAAATGATATAATAATGCTTGCATACTATAGTACCCGTTGGATAAGGTATCATTACCACACGTGTGGTTAAGGAAACAATAATTTAAGGAAGTCATACAAGCCTAGTTGGCTAGAAACGGATCATTATTGATCCTTAACGTTCGATGGATTAAAACCCCTATTATTGATTCAACCAGTGCCTATATACTTGACCTTATGCCTAAGCATTTGGAAAATGGAGTCTGTCTCTGAGCCTTAAGCGGTCTGGAGGACTTTTGGTTTTTCCTCCCTGGCCCAGGAAAGCACTTGATTAATAAATAACGGCGATGGAGCAGAGATAGTCATGTTATGCCCATATTACAATTCAATAAGGGCAGATGAGCAATATAGGTACTCTTTCTTTGGAAAGGTCAGCGTCGCATTAAGAATTTTTTTCAATTCTCGCTGACCGCAACAACAGGCTGGGTCGAGCAGTGTATAACACCGCCAGCCAACGGGAGGGCACGAACAGGTACCGGTGTGACTTTATATTCAGGGCACAGTCTTTGCAAGGTCGAAACAGCCTCTGAATCTCGGACGGCATCTCCAAATTGAGGGAGGATGAGGCCACCATTGACAAAGTAGAAGTTGACATAATTCGTTGCCGGATCAGGATAGGATAAATCTCCAAATACAGTGGGATCCGGCTCCTCCACGATATGTACCTCAAAGCGACGCCCCCTTGCATCGACTTCCCGATCCAAAATATCTCGGATCTCGTTGTGCACATCTTGCCAAGGCTTCGGTACACTGGGGTGCGGCCTGGAGAGCACCACCACACCCGGTCGAACAAAGTTAAGCTCGGCATCGGCGTGGACATCTGTGACATCGAGATCTCGCTTGCCAGGGAACCAAATAATCTTCTCAACGCCCAACAGACGTTGCAGCTCCTCTTCGATATCAGCACGAGAAAGACCCGGGTTGCGGTTCTCGTTCAGAATGCTGCTCTCCGTCGCGAGGAGCGTGCCATCACCATCTAGAACTAATGCACCCCCCTCTAAGCACACTTTGGACTCAACCTCAGCGACTGGAGCTGGAGAAACATCGTTGGCGATGACTTGTCGAGCGAAAATTGCATTCTCTTTGATTTGCTCGGGTCCCATAACAGGCCAATCCAGTCCATCTGTAGCTCGGTAATGGTCGTCGATATCATCTTTCTTACCCCATTCACTGAACCGGAAGTTGACAGCAAAGCGATCCTTAGCATGCGCTCCAGTCCCATAAACATAGACGGGACCGGTGTCGCGGACCCACAAATGGTTTGTACTGAACGGAATGATGCTGATGTTTGAATCTGTGCCGTTAAAATTGGCAATACTTTTGCAGACCAGAGCTCGTGCTTTCGGGACATCTTCTGGGCGCGTGTACAGGCGCACTGGCTCAAAGGCAGAGATCGCAGAGGCTAGACTCGCGATCTCCTTGCAGGCGTCCTCATAGTAGTTGGCAGCAATTGAAACCTTGGAGGGAAACCCCAGGATCGTCGCGACATGACGAGCGGTTTCCGCGGGTGCAACGTATCTGCGCAGCAGGTTGGCCATGGTCTCAAAGTCTTTGAAGCATGTGTATTCGATTGATTGACGTCTTGATAAATTGTGGGGCGATTAGGGTGCGACAGAACCCGTGTCTTCCGTACGGCACGTGAATCCAAGTAAAGTCCAACTTTGACTGGCAAAAGGATACACGGTTCAGGCTTCTAGCATTATTATGGAAGCTTATTCTTTATTAATTATTTTTCATACTTTTTATCCATGACAGCAAGCTTAATATATGTTTCTTAAATATTTGTTCGCATGGATCGAGTATTGAGGGTGCCTAAATTTGCTCGCTATCTCTTTCCCTTTGGAAAATATATCACGTAACAGAAAGTTCATCCCTCGTGTTAAATTTGCAATTTACATACGCAATTGAAGAGGAGTTAATGAGGTCACTTTATATCCATTCTCTTCGCCATAGCTACCCACGTAGTATTGTTTGATATTCTATATGGAAACCTTTGCTGTCTAACCATACGAGAACAAATGTCGTTTGGGTCGATCCGAAATCCTAGGCTGGATCTTAGTATAGGATTATAACCGAGATGATCCTAGCTCCCCGACAACAACAAGGGTTATAGGTGCACAGGGCACACTATGCTTGTGTATGCAGTAAAAAGAGGTCCAAGTTAACAATTCAAATATAATGTCCATTGTCACCAGTTGAATGTATCGAGAACCGAGGAAGTTGCCCTTCAAGAAGGAAGCCTTGGTGTATGAATGTGGGTCGGCTTGGTATGGCTCGACCAATTATTCGAGTCCGTCGGAGAGTCTTGCCTCCGTCCAGATAACTAAAGTAAGCATGGTTATCGCTAGCCAAACTGGAATTGTTCTTTTAGTCTGGGCTTAATATTTCGTAGGCAACTTCGTTCGGGTTCCAGCTTATGCAAGATAAGAGTAGCCTCAAACTAGCATTGGTAAGTCTAAATGACAATGGCAAAGATATCATTGTCATGCATGTATGGTAGGTCGACATACGGGCTGTCCTTCCCTTCACGCCAAACACTATGTGCTGTCTTTCTGGTCCTCGACTTTAAGTGTACTACAACACATGTAGCAGAAATTAGTATATAATCTATGTCGCAAACCGATGCTAATCTCCTCTTAACCTATTATACACTTGCCATTTGCACAAACCAACAATGAGTATCCGCCCTCCTATTTACGATAAAAATGTTTTGTCAATCGTTGATCTTCAACGCGAGGCAAGCAAGAAGCTACCCAAGGTATACCGCGAGTATTACAATGATGGAGCCACGGACATGATTAGGTAGGCTTTCAACGAATTAGATACTTCGACAATACGTAAAAGTAACAAACCACTCAGTCTGCGCGAGAATATGACTGCCTTTGACCGCTACAAGATTCGTCCCCGTGTTCTTGTAAAGATCCATGAGTTAGATACTTCCGCGGAGCTCTTTGGATCCAAGGTCACATTTCCCCTGGGTTTCTCTCCAACTGCAATGCATAAGCTGGCTCATCCCGATGGAGAGATTGCAACATCACACGCTGTGGCGAATATGGGCATCGGCATGGCTCTCTCCTCATATGCTTCTACGCCACTAGAGGATGTTGCTGCGCAAGGTACTGGTCACAATCCTTATGCAATTCAGCTGGCGATCCCCAAAGATCGCAGCATCGCGGTCCAAATGATTAGACGCGCCGAAGGTACCGTCTCCATTACACGACTCAACAGTAGGCTAATTCATCCTAGCTGTCGGGTACAAGGCGGTGTTCCTCACGGTAGACTGCTCAGTTTTGGGGATCAGATATAATGAGCATCGAAATAACTTCGCACTCCCTAAGGGGATGGCATACCCTAATCTCTCACCGGACCCTTCGAAGCCCTTCGGGATGGGAGAGGAATTCCCGGATATTGAATACGGTATGATTACCTTCCGTTTATTACCTTAGCCTTTACACTCCAGCACCTCGGCAGACAGACCTAACAATATGTAAGACACCGAGATTACATGGTGCAAGGCGATACCGTGGCTCCGCTCAATCACCAACATGAAGATCTGGGCCAAAGGTATCTACACCCCGGAGGATGTCATTCTAGCTATCGAGCACGGGGTCGACGGTATTATCATCTCAAATCACGGCGGCCGTCAGTTGGATGGCGTCCCTGCCACACTTGATGTTCTCCGTGAATGCGCGCCGATTGCGAAAGGGAGAATTCCGATTGCAATCGATGGAGGCATTCGGCGAGGATCAGACATCTTCAAGGCCCTAGCCCTTGGCGCGCAACATTGCTTTGTCGGTCGTGTTCCTCTGTGGGGATTGGCGGTATGTTGGACGTCCGGTAACCGGTGTATTATGGCTAACAATCTATGCAGTATAATGGCAAAGAGGGCGTAGAGCTCGCGATCAAGATTCTTTTGACGGAATTAAAAGTGACGATGGCCCTCGCTGGGTAAGTGATCTATCGATTCTCAGGGTCAGATGCTGATACTTGGAATAGTTGCAAAAGTATTAAAGATATTACTCGAAGTCATCTAGCCACTGTCGACTCTTCCGGGATCATCTGCAAGCTCTAGTTACGTATTGAACGTGTGATAGAGATCGTGAAACTACTTAATTTTGCTTATTTTACGTGCAGCACTATACACTGTCTGGTTAGACACTATCTATGGTCTAGTCATCGAAATATATGGAATGGTAGTATCAAAATGAGCTTGATCCCGTACCAACCCAACCGCTATTTCACCTAACGTGGTGCTCTCCGATGGGCGGCTCCTGCTTCGCTCACACGATCATAGAACATAAGTCGTGAAATATTTACCTTGACACCGTCCCTTAGCATATTGCCTCTTTTGCTCTCTTCCACCAGGGAAGGGTTTCTCCCGCTTCATCTGGAGTAAGCTGCTCGATTTCCATGTACCGTCTACCAGAGTCTAGATCAATCTGGCGGAGCGGGACTCCAACCCACCATTGCCGATTCCACAGCTTCCAGAAAATCATCAGAAAGAGGCCCATGAATCCAGCGAGATATTGCTGGAAGAAATTGTACGCGGTAGGAGGGTCCCCACCCGGTGCCTAGTGATGGAAACATTAGCATTTCCTTTTCTCCAGGATACGAGGAACGGTGAACAGAGCGCTTGATTCTGGAGGGGGTGCAACTCACGTATAGCGCAGAATAGAACATTGCCACAAGCGATATAGCAGAAAGAAAGGCACCGATGGAGCTCCCCACTATACCCATGGAGGACTTCCACGGAATCTCATCTGTACTGCGATTCTGGGCCTTTAGGGCCAGACGAAACCGGAGGTGGGCGATGTTGATGCTCAGGTTCATCATTACGGTTGAGACACCAGCAATAGAAAGTAGCCAATTGAATACATCAAGCCCGGATGATGCAAACTGGAGGTATGCCAGGAAGCCGAAGAGCACCTGGAGAGCGATTGGAGCTAGTGGTCGACCGGCCTTGTCAATATAGGCGAAAAATGATGGGGCACCTCCATCGGCTGCTAGCGCTTGTAGGGTTCTTGTTGAGGCGAATGTAGACGAATTCGCGACACTCAGACTAGCAATTAAGACAACTGCGTTGATAATTGATGGCAGGACGTGGATACCAGCATCCTGGATCGCGAGGACGAATGGACTGGCGTTTGTGTTGACTCCAGCGGAACTGGCTGCGTCATCCGAACCGAGCAACTGGGGACTATTGTATGGAACGTTGAGACCGACGATGAGGAGATTCACAATGTAGAATATTGTCACGCGCCACAGGACTTGCTTTGTGGCCGTGGGAAGGGATTTTTGGGGTTGCTTTGTCTCTGCTGCCGCCAGACCGACCAATTCCGTGCCACTGAAAGCTACTGCCTTGCGAACGGTCAGTACGAAGATATCACTGGAAGTTTTCCTGCTTACCGCATTCACGAATACCGCGCAGAAACCTTTAAACCCGTTTGCAAAGGCGCCCGGATCACTCCAATACCGTCCACCAATATATCCTTGAGGACTGCCAGGGACGCCACCGGTGTTGATGATAATCCCCAGAATGATCAGCCCTATACAGGCTATTACCTTGATTATAGAAAGAACAAACTCCACTGCAGACACACTGTGAGTTTGCGTGTTTCTTTGTTTAAGGGGAGCTTGAGCATGACTGACCCTCGCCGTAACCGCGTACTCCAAACACTTGAATTATGACCAGCACTATTAGGAAGATACTAACGAAGATTGCGGGATTCAGACTCGAATTCCAGTACTCGATCGTTAAACTGGCTGCAGTGATTTCAAAAGGTCTGTATTTGAATGGGTCAGTCCTGGAAACTAAGAATCTTGATGTGGTAATGCCTACAAAGTGACCATCCAGCCGAGAGAATACGCCCAGCCGACCGCAAAACCCCTATATAAGCGGGGCCTGTTAGCAATGACACAGACATGTGGATGGGGTATGAGCCTAGGACTAACCAGCAAGGATCTATGAACCTAGCGCTGTATTGGTAAAAAGCTCCATTAATCGGATACATGATGGCTAGTTCCCCGAGCGACATAATTGTGCACAGCAGTAGAACTCCAACGACAAGATACCCTATCAGGACGGAAGCAGGGCCACCATTTGCAAGCGCTTCACCAGAGCCCACAAAAAGACCTGCACCAATTGCACCACCCTAGAGAGACGGTTCATGATTAGTAGGCTTGGACGATTGCGCACGAACCCCAACCAATAGATTGGATTCTTGTTATAGGTATCGATATTTTCATCGATTACAGAAAACTTCCGATGCGGATGATATTGACTCACAATAGCGATCATCTGTATGTGCCGGCCTTCGAGGGCCCTCTTTAGGTTATTGCCATTTGCCTCCTCAACGTCCCCAGCAGAGGCGTCCGGGTTGTTCGACAGTGCATTCTTAGCGTCATTGCCTTCTTTGGCCTCTTGTTCAGAGCTAGCCATCATAACACCCTATGCTTCACAGCTATGTACAATTGTGAGAGGGAGAGTAATGTGAAGCGTTAAGGGCAGCTAAAGTAGAATACATTGACTAGGAGGTGGGCTATGTTCAAATATACATACGGATGGATGTGGAGATATGGATAAGTTAAGATGTCACTGGATTGGATGGTAATAGAACACGACTTGACGCAGATCCTGGGCTCTCTTATCAGGCGCTCTCATCATTACCCAATATCTACTTCATGTGCAAATATAACCCAACCTATTTCGTCCCCACATCGCCTAGGTTACCTAAAGAGAAAGCCCACTATCACACCCACAACTAGAAGATCCGGGGAAGAGCTATACGAGCTTCTGACCGTAAATTTGATCTGTTGTCTAATTTTTGCTCCCCCACATACTCCGCTCAGTTTCCCGCGATATCTCTCCCGCAACCAGTATGGTAACCGCCAAATTCACCTGGCTGAATGTCTTTTTCTGTAAAGCAAAGCTGGTCATTTCCTTTGCTCTAAGACAACATGGGTCTTCGACTACATTTCTCAATTTTATCGGTGTAATACATGCACTAACTACTGTAGACATGGTCAGGGCGACAAGTCAGAAGTCGATTGCGGGTTAGCACGCTCGTATACGTACCTGGTTTCTAGCATTCTTACTGTAATTTACGGAGGGTTCCGGCCGCACTCGGCACAGAGAACAAGCCATTTGCAACCCCGCGTCTTGCATCTCTGTTTTCTCCACTGTTTTCGAAGGCTAGGGCTAAGCCATCACGTTACCAATAACCTATTCAGGCATATAGTAGTTCACATAGCTGTCTTTATAGGCCCAGAGCCCTGCCATATGAGGTTACCGGTGTACAATATTAGACGGGTATATACGGAGTATAGGTTTTCTTCGGGTAATCTATAGCAGGAGGCAGACAAACAGGCTGTGAATGGTTTTATTCACTTTCTACATGTTTTAGACAAGCTCATCACGCTCAGGCCATAATGCCATCATAAGCTTAATCGCGCCTCCACGCTTATCTAGCATGTTCACAGCGAACCTTGACGTTGAAGAGACCTGATTCTTTCGTTTTACCCCGCGTGAGTTCCACAATCGTACTCATGATGCTCACCGGGCCGGTTACCTACCGGTTGTACTTCGTTGATCATCTGGCCCCTGGTAATTAACTGGTTTTTTTGCTGTATTTCTTCGGCTTGGCGACGGATGGGCCCACAGAGGTCGCAACCTCCTTCCCTCCCCGTCCATAGTCTCCCTCCATCAAGTCCAATTGAACCACCCACATTTATCTCTAGGCTCCATAAAGGTAGAGTTGGTAGAGTTGGACAAAGTTCCTCTCCCGGTTGCATTAATCGGGTAAGATCTCCTTCCCCGCGTCGGCCAATCCACGAAATCCGCGCCCAAAACCTCGAGACTCCAGTCAACCCCGCAACCCAGGTTGTAACACTCTTGGCTACATTCTTCCGCACGCAAAATTACAATGGCCGCGTCTAGCCGGACCTTCCTCGCTTACCAGCACGACTGGAATCTTCTCACCCTCGACACACCCGTGACAACAGTATATCGCTTCAACGAACTAGAAGATCCCAACCGTCAGCTTTTCCCCGCGGGAAAGGATGATGACCATGTCGTCGTCACAGAACGGACCGTCTTCCATCCTCAAGGAGGCGGCCAGCCCTCCGACGTGGGCACAATGACAGGGTCCGCAGGAACCACGTTTACGGTGACAGCCGTTCGCATGGATGCGACCGGACAAGGCCAGGTCCTGCACCTCGGCCAATTTGGGGACAGTTCGTCGCCTATCTTTTCGCAGGGCGAGACCGTCCAACAGGAAGTCGACGCTGAGAAGCGTCTGCTACATTCGCGGCTTCATACTGCGGGTCATGTCCTTGGTGCAGCTGTGAGACATCTTCTGGAAAAAGAGGTTGAGGGCTTTGATGAATTAAAGGCGTCTCATTTTCCGGGCTCGGCCTCCTGTGAATTTCAAGGTCTAATCGAAGGGAAGTGGAAGGAGCCGATTCAGAAACGGGTAGATGATTATATCGCCGACAAGCGCCAGGTTCAAGTTGAGTGGTGGGATGAAGCCATGTTTCGGGAAAAGGGTCTGGAAAGATTGATTCCCGACCGTAGCCTCATGCCGGGAGAGAAATTCCGCGTGGTTAACATTGTCGGCACGGAGGTTTATCCCTGTGGAGGAACGCATGTCGATACTACCGATTTGTGTGGACCGACTAGCGTTACGAAGATCTCTAGGAAGTCGGGGAAGTCTCGTGTTAGTTACGCCGTGAAATGATTATGCCTCCTGCCGTCGAATTCTCTGTTTTCCGGTTCTCTCTCCCAATGAGCGTTCGGCATATAGACAATTTTCTAAGTTTAGGAAGGAATTGTAATAAGCTAGAATATGGACAAAAACTATCGCTAGAATGTAGGGTACGGTGCGATCACATGCTCATACGCCAACAAATATATTCAAGCGTTCGTTGGACACCAGCAGGATGTACCACCCTATAACCAAATTACTCTTTCAAGTCCATTACCTTCTCTACAAAGGTTCCTACTCCGAAATAACCAATTGATCAATATCGGGACCTAATAATTTCCATTTAGTTAGTTATTCATGGACGCAGAAAGAGGAAAACAACTTACCCCATCCTTCCTCATACGCACTGAAGGTGATGGTGTTTGCATCTCCCTTCTCTAGTGTAGAATGGAGGGTCGACGTGAAAGGCGTATTCCCACTTCCAGAGGGAAGAAATGCAAGTACATGAGATTGGCCATTCACAGTGACATTTGCGTAGCGCTGGGAGTTATTTCCGTTCGCATACCGGACACGGATAGTGGTATCGGTTGACGCCTCGCTGGCCACGTTGCTGATTTCCACTGTTCCGTCGTCCGTGCCACCGATGTAGCCAACAGACTTCCCGCCAGAGCAGCCGCTGCAGGAAATAATCTTGGCACCGTTAGAAAGGGTGTTGTCGGATGACTCGGCTTCGAAGCTGGCGCTATCACCGGCGGAGGACCAGGTTCCGTCAAGTGGTAGAACCCAGGCGGATTCGTTGTGCTGTGTAAATATAGACATTGTTAGAATTGTACGGTATATCTGAAGGCTATCGGAGCAGTGGATGCTTTCATACCAGAGTCGCGGTGGTGCCTTCAATTGTCAAGGGAAGCCAAATATAGGTAGATCTCATGAGGTTCGAAGAATCCCAGCGATCGCCCATGTACCTGAGGATATTAGAGATCGAAGCCTTATGGTACATTTGGTAGAATGCTCTTACATTACAGAATCGCCGACTCCCAGGATGAAAGTGGTTTGGGACTCGAACGTGTTGGTTCCACTTGGCGCGAAGTCGGTCCAGTTGGTCCAGGGCCCATTGAGACTAGTTGCAGTTACATATTTATTGTCGTTGTTAGCTGGTCAAATAGTTAGTCCGTCTGGCTATTTGTAGCTGAGCCACATAGGAAAACATACACCATCCTATATAATCCGTTAGTCAACAATAGGAGCTTTGCGACGAATAAGGGGAATGGAAGAAAGACCTGTCAATTGAGATCCAAATATAAAGTACACTCCGTCCTGCTTGTATAAAGCTGGGGCTTCCACGTGTTCTGGAAAAAGATGAGTTGTTTCGGTGACATTGGTGAAATCATTGGTTAGCTTGTTGATTCTCAGGCCATTAGGGCGCTAAGAAGGGTTGAGTTATATATACGTTTGCAATTCTGCGTGGATTCGATTCGTCACTCACATCCTCAGTCAAAAGATATCCCGTGCCGTCGTCGTCCTTGTAAAGACCCATATCTCGAGATTGATGGCTGAGAGGCTGGAATGAACCTCTGAATACACATGCATCAGTCCAAGAACCAGGGACATTGCGCGTCGTGGAAAGGGATACCTACAAATATTCATACGTGCCGCAAACACTGGAAGACGTCGCAACACCGGTTTTTGCCTCGCTGTAGTCACTGCTATCGATGTGCATCCATAAAACGTACTTCGATGTGGCGTCATTGTAGATCACCTTCGGTCGCTCAACGATGCGATCGGGGCCGAGGTCTCCACTGCTCTGACGGGAAAGGAGCTCTCCAACAAACGTCCACTCTACCAAGTTCTGCCGTGGGAAGGATTAGATGCAAAGTCGACTGCTTTGACAATGCCTTTTCAGTTGGGACTTACTTTGCTCGAATAGCAATTGACAGACTGGAAGGAGCTTCCATCAAGCTTGTTCTCGCCGATCCAGTAGTACGTCGAATCGACCTCGATAATACCTGGCGCCCGGTAGTGTACAAATCAGTACCTGAAAATAGTCAAACAATGTGTATGTGCTTTACCCCCGCCGTGAGCCTGGACATGCTGGTTGATGCCAGTCGCGGTCCACGTAGCACCAGGGACCTGAGTTGAATTTAGTATACAACTATACGAATCCGGCTGCAAATAGATACTCACAATCTGTAGGGATGCCGCAGCTATAGCCGCCTGACTTAGGCCAGCTATCATGAAGCCGAGAATCATAGTTTTGATGATGTCTGTATGCGTGTATCCTCTGATAAGGAGAAGCAGATGGACTCTGCTTGGCGATTCCCTTCGAGGCAGTATTTAAGCAGGATATACACAGGTAAGACAAAAGTGGAGACGAGACTGAGGGGTTGTGCTGCGATCTATCCTACATGGCCTGACTGATGCATGACGGTTCACCCGAAAGATAAACCTGAATATCAGAATTACCCGACAAGCTCTAAATCCTTCCGACTCGGGTACGGAGCAGACTCCGTCAATTTTGCCGATGCTCGGCCATGGTAACTTCAATATAACCGCAGCCTGCACGCTATAAGAAAGGGATTCCGTATTGCATGTTGCCAGCCTGTGTCTTAGATGACGCAAGCAGCGTTCATGGTGCCTTTATACAAAGCTTTCTTTTCTTTCTTGCCTTATCGCAATCAAAGCTGTCCGACTAAAAGGGAACGTACAGTTCCAAAGGCCTCCACGAAGCTCGGTAGGTCTGACTTCCTCCTGTCTTTCTTGTCCAGCTTTCTCCCAGACATTAGATAATACTTAGGTTTGTATAGGACTATTGCAGGTTAGAACACATCAAATTCTAAAACAGGTAACAGTTAACGATATATACCACAACATGTCAGACACAAGGTGACTAATGCCTCCGCTTTCTGGTTTTGTCTTATTAAACACGTTGCAAGCCTAGCGCGAATCTGAGAGAGTATTGTGCACTGTTGAAGTATCGCATGGTATAATTCATATTAGGACGAATTCTAAAGACACTGAGAAGTAAACCAAACCACAATACTGACTGTTATACGCCGGACCTCCTCATCCTCCATTCCCTTATCCTGTTCTTTCCTGCTCTTCCTGGTTCAAGCAGACGCTCTACTAGGAAAGTCTGATAGATCGACATGATCCTTTATGCGGCAGCCTACCCTCGGCGCAATGCACTCCGAAGGCCAAGACTAGTCGGACCGTAATAAACGACTCTCTGCTCGGAAAACCCAACGATCGGCAGTCAATATCTTTTGTTCCCCAGATTCCCCGCAGGATTATTGAGTCTGTGTCACTGATACCCCACATTATCCATGCAGGGATGCCGGCAAATTCCGTCATATCCTGGGAGTGAGTCCTCAACTGGGACTAGAATGAAGAACATGATGAATCGTTGTTGAATAGCAATTGGCTCATCGTCGATCGAGGAAATTCCTGGAGGGTACCCCAGGCAATCAGGGCTAGATATTCGCGGTAGCTACATGACCGAGACCTTCGGCGCTCGGGTCAATACCAAGCGTGCGAGAGAAGATGTTGTGCCTTTCTAGATGTCTTCTGTGGGGTATTTGAACACCGATCTCGTCAGTTATCATAATACCCACCTCGTATTCTTCAGGCACGAAAAATGTCTATGTGGACACTGACCTGAACCCACTTTTTTACTTTTTGTTTTTAAGGATGGCGGTCTCGATATCGCAGCTATCGTTCGAGCACCACCGCGAACCCTTGGGAATTGCCGAGTCCAAACCTCGTATATCCTGGCGGTTCGAGGGTGTTGCACCCAACTGGACACAAGCAGGTTATGATATCGAGATACTACGCAACGGCGTACCGCAAGTTTACTCTATCAACTCGTCCGATTCCATTCTCGTCCCATGGCCAGATACTGCTCTGGAGACAGCCGAGGAGGCTAGAGTCCGAGCTCGGGCCCATGGAAATCAGGGTCAATCATCTACGCCATGGTCCGACTGGGTGGCAGTTGAGCCAGGGTTATTGAACGAGACGGACTGGGGTAGTGCAATCCCCATTGCTGCTGACCGCGAGACCGAGGTGAATGGACCTAAGCGTCCAATATACTTTAGAAAGTCCTTTGCTGTGGACCAAGAAATCAAATCCGCCCGACTGTATATCACCGCCCTAGGAGTCTACGAGGCGGAGATCAACGGGCAAAGAGTAGGCGACCGTGTTATGGCACCTGGGTGGCAATCATACAATAATCGACATGTCTACGATACTTATGACGTGACTGATCTTATCAAGCAAGGCGACAACGGAATCGGTGCTACCGTCGCAGAGGGCTGGTTCTCTGGCATCCTTAGTTTCGGTGGAAAGTATAGGAATAACTATGGAGACACAATTGGCCTTCTCTCATTGCTTGTCGTTACGCTGGAAGATGGATCCAAACTCGAGATCCCGACCGATGCATCTTGGCAGGCAAACACCGGACCCACCGTGTCTTCTGAGATCTATAACGGGGAGACATACGATTCACGGCTTGAAGCTAACATTGCCGGATGGTCGTCGGGTTCGTTCAACGGTACCAATTGGCTGGCAGTCAAGAAATTACCCACGCTGAAAGGGAGGCTAACCCCCCCTGACGGCCCGCCAGTCCGGAGGGTCGAGGAGGTCAAAGCTCAAAGGATCTTCAAGTCCCCATCAAACAAGACTCTAATCGATTTTGGCCAGAATGTAGCTGGTAGGCTTAGGGTTTCAGTGTCGGGGCCGAGAGGTACAAATATCACTTTTCATCATGCCGAAGTACTCGAAAACGGTGAGCTTGCCCTTCGCCCACTGCGTTTAGCTAAAGCGACCGACTCGTTCATCCTGAACGGTGATGGTACCCAGACCTGGGAGCCACGGTTCACTACCCACGGGTTTCGGTATGCACAGGTAGACGGCTGGCCGGAGGCATCGACACCACTGGACAGAAATTCTATCACAGCAGTTGTTCTTCATAGTGATATGGAACGTACAGGCTGGTTCGAATGCTCCCACGCACTGCTCAACAAATTCCACCAAAATGTCCTATGGTCAATGAGAGGCAATTTCATTTCTATCCCGACGGATTGCCCTCAGCGTGACGAGCGGTTGGGTTGGACTGGCGATGCACATGCCTTTGGGCCCACTGCTGATTATCTCTATAATACAGCTGGCTTTTGGCGAAGCTGGCACCGCGACGTTTGGTCCGAGATGCAGGAAAACGGGACAATGATCGTACCACCATATGTTCCAATTGTCCCGCCGAACGCAGGCTCGGAGCAGGGAGCTGCGGCAGTATGGGGCGATGTTGTAGTTGCTGGGCCATACAACCATTATCAGGCATACGGTGACCTGGGCATGCTCGAAGAGCAGTACTCACAGGCCCAGAGCTGGATCGATACGGGAATTCCACGTGAGGACACTGGTCTTTGGGATCGAGACAGCTTTCAGTTCGGAGATTGGTTGGACCCGAAGTCACCACCAGACAACCCAGGTGATGCGACCACCGCCTCGCACCTTGTTGCCGACGCCTACTTGGTTCGAATGACCGAGCTCCTTACCAATATATCCACTGCCCTTGGGCACAGCGACCTGGCGCAAAAGTACAGCGAACAGCACGCCGGCTTGGTCGATCAATTCCGCAAGGCATGGCTAACGGATGGTGAAATGGCAAACCGGACTCAAACAGCATATGCCTTGGGATTGCACTTCGGCCTTTTTACATCTGATGAGGAGCGATCTGCTGCCGGTGATACTTTGCGCAGTCTAATTGCCGACAATAACTACCTTGTTGGCACAGGCTTCGCGGGCACTCCACCCCTGGGTTTCGCGTTGGCCGATATTGGCGCCACAGATGACTTCTACCGCATGCTGCTACAAACAAAGGTTCCGTCCTGGTTATATCAAGTGGTTCAGAATGGAACTACGACGTGGGAGCGCTGGGATAGCCTCTTGCAGAATGGCAGTGTGAATTCTGGAGAAATGACAAGTTTCAACCACTATGCCTTTGGCTCCGTTGCAGATTGGATTCACCAAGTTATTGGTGGCCTTGCTCCTGCCGAGCCTGGTTGGAAAAAGATTAAAATCGCACCTGTCCCTGGCGGCAACATTACTAGTGCCAACTCTCGTTTTATCAGTCCATATGGAGAGGTCAGTTCCAAGTGGGAGCTCAATGGGGATATTTTCGACTTGGAGGTCACTGTTCCACCCAACACAAATGCTGTCATTATATTGCCATACGGGAATGTGACGAAGGAAGTTGGATCGGGGCAATATAAATTCAATGCGTCGAGGAAGTAATACTATTGGTATTAGGACATGAACGATTGACGACAACATCCGCGTCATCTGCATTTGCACTGGCTTTTCCACCTGGGGGCCTGTCAATATTATGGTTCAGATAATGAAAGTTTACATTGTAATTGACCTTCACAATCTGCATCCCGATTCACCACGTATATCTACATTTAATTAGCCAGGGGCGACGTCTGAATCCCACGGTAACATCTCGCGCACACTTCGCAAGAGAGCCGAGGCGCAAATTCCATTACCCCCGACCCGGACGCTTGACTAGCCGGCTACCCTGTACATTTGGGAAGCAAGATTCCTGTGAATGTGACAACATGTGCAATCACTTAATAGTTTTGGATTGAATGGTACTACAGTGATTGTCCCATAGTGACTTCCCACAATCCGTATACCTTGACTGGTGGGCCTTTATGAAGAAGCTAGGTGGAGATAGAATACCATACAGAACTATCTTCTACTGGGATATGACAGTAATATAAGTCAGAAACAGCTCCTCTGTAACGAAGACTTTATCCGCGTTGCAGTCTACCTAGTGAGTTCCAGATCTGAACAGAGCAGTATGAACTGGTTGGACTGTGGACTGAAGTCGAGATAAGACTTGATGCGTCCACCAATGTGACGATTTACCTCACTTATTGGCACCCCAAACCAGGTCGAGGATCTGTCTGCAGGAGACGAAAGTTGGCCCGGGGGACCTTTCCTTGTTTCTTTCTTTCTTGCGGCTTTGCTTTATTCTTTTTTTACCTACGTTACAGTTCCAACAGAAATGCCTACAGTTTATAGCCAATGCCTTGCCTCTCACGGCGGCTTCTGCTCTGGCCCTCGGAGACGAGAGAGAAACGTAACGACAGCAGATCGTGGTAGCCCTGCACCAGCTCTATAATTCCCTAAATCCTTTGCCAATGTCGACTATCCCAGAGAGCACTCTTGCAACACTAGCAATGGACCTCCGGCTTTTCAATCAAGAAAGCCATAACTCTACCTCTTTCTTCCGGCCATGGACAGAAGCTCAGTTAGGCAGTTACCAAAGGACCCAGAGCCAAGAGAGGTCCATGATCGCCGCAATACCAAGTACACCAATCTGTATGATGGAGGTGACTAGTTTGAAACGTATAACACGGAGACATGCCGTCACTGGGGTCAAATGGGGGTAGAGCATTTACAGCACTCATTGGAGCCCCTGAGCAGCTGCTACGAGAAGGGTTCCTGATTGTGATTCGCACTACGTGCACTGATATGAATAATGATGTGTTCAGGAAGCATCTAGTAGTCCCCGTATGTCAGGGCTCGAGTCATATGCTGTGTCTAGTGCTTACCTTTCTGACAGCCTTTCTTTATAGGTGATTATGTTTGCTGTTAAGGGGGAGCGACATTGAACAATTATCTTGGCTCATTTCGATGGTATGATTCAAAGCGTTGTGGTCCATATATCCAAACTGTATCAGTTCCTGGCCGCAGGCAAATATTCACTGGCGTTGTTTACACGATATGCAGCCCGCATTGGCGAGCCATCTGGCAACAAGAAAGCCGTGGTTAGGTAGATTGAGACGGTAAGATAACGGCCGGACGTTCTGATTGTGGGATGATAATCGAATAGTAGTTGGTGGCTCTCAAGTTAGCAGTAGCAAGGGTGCTACTTCTGTGTTTTGTTTCTTTATTCTAGTTGGCTCATGAAATTTTGTTTTGTCTGTGATGTAAAGCCTCATGATACTAAGTATTAAGATTTCCTTCGTATAACAAGTCAGAATCGTCCCGAACGTTTATGATATTACGTCTAATGATAAATAGGTTCTATGTAATAACTGCAATGAATTAACCGGTATATCAATCCACTTGTCGTGGGCAAGGCCCAATGTCTAGTATCATTGACATGCTCTGTTGTCTCCATAAAGCGAGCGAGTGTGACTGCTTCATGCAACGCCCGGCCCATGTGGTCACGAACGGCACCCTCTTCCAAAATCATCAAACCGCCAATGGTGCACCCCTCAGACGAAGTTCCCTGATCTTTTAGTAAGGCAGGATGTATCCCACTTTGCAGCATAGTGGCTGTGCCCTGCATCGACTGGAAAATAACGGTATGCGCTATAGCCCTTGGAAGCCCAACGGCTACCGCGGCATCCATCAGTGCGTCGCACACAACTGCGAAAAAAGCTGCGGTTGCCCCTCCAGCTATAACTGCTGCATTCATAAGTTGCGGCTCCACCTGTACTGTCTTCCCGATCTGTTCAAATATTGTGTTGGTGGCTTGAAGATATTGCTCCGGTACAGCAGGCTCAGAAATTTGAATAGCAGTGAGCGACTCTGATACCTGGGCGGCGATAGTCGGTAAGGCGCGCACTACCCTGGCTCTACCACTAGTATTAGTAGTTGTAGTTTTGCTGCCGTAGAGAGCCTCCTCGAGCTTTTGTCTTGTCCAGCCCGCCGCGACGCTGATCAGCAGCTTTTTGGTCAAGGCTTCACGGAGTCCTGGCTGTGACAGAACAGTCTCGATATCGCTCGGATCAACTCCTAAGATAATAACGTCGGGTTCCCGTACTGCCTGAACGTTGTCACCGCAAGAAATTACGAGTTTGTCGAGATGCGCAGAGTCTCCGCTAACCTTTACTCGGAGTTTTGGCTACGAACACAGGCAATATATCGAGTGAACAGAGACTTAATTTTTCTTTCTGCCGACGCAGATGGGACTCCCTGCAGGACCGCGGCTCCCTGGTTCCCTATTGCACATTAACTTTAGATAGGACCAGTGCAAGAACATTCACGTACCACACCCTAAAATACAGAGAGTTTGCGTATTGAGATGTTCCATGATGAAGCTCTGCTACTGGTTTAACTAGTCGGAGTACTTCAGGAATGGCACGGGGCGATGACGAAGAAGGAACCCAAGTAACATATAGTACTATCCTCTCTTTTTCCACTCACCGGGACCTCCTTCCGATGAGAACCCACCAACCTAAACCAGAGCTGCACGTCCTGAAAGCGTAGTTGAAATCTTGTAGCCCAGTAGGCTTGAACTCTATCGCATGCATGGTACATACTCAAGTTGAATTAGCAGCCAGCTGCGGTTACTAGTAATTCTACCAACGCTATTCGTTTTAAGCACCTTCATCGGTGTCAATGTCCGCTGGATATTTTTTTGGTTGGTTCCTCTATTAACAATTTGAAAGTTAAAAAGAACCAAACTGTTGAGTACATGAAGGTGGTAATATACCTGTGGTCTATCAGGTCGTTAAGAACTCCTATGACGCGCATGACGTACTTTTCCTTTAGTCTGCTGGTTATATTATCTAGAAACAGGCAATCCTAGGTAGCTCTTAATATTACCTATGTAGGTATGAAAGCCCCTCCGCCAGTAAAGGCAGTGTTCCCATTCTCTGGTTCTATCTGGGGCTTGGGTATATGGATAGTATGGTGGATAGATTATGGGCCCCCGTGATTGGTCACATTGAGTTTAACAGTAATGGGTGTTGTTGATTGGTCAATTTGAGTACAATATCCAGTCTCGGCTCTGATTGGTTACTTTGAGTACATTTTCCAATTCACCCTTCAATCCATTCTGCGCCTCACCTAGACCGAGCAAACATTCGTGATAAAGAGGAAATGGTTAAATCGACAAGGTTTTCACTAAGCCTTGCGAGCGCGTTGAATGACCTACAAGATCAGCATTCATCTGACCACCGGAGAAGAGCCATACATAGAAACCCACACCATAAGACTCTGTAGTATAGGTAGCCTTAGTACCACGGGGAAAGTAGAATACGTCTCCCGGTTTCGCGTTCACCGTCTGTCCAGTCTCGTCAGAGATCTGGAACTCTCCCTCGGTGATAATCTTCATTTCGTCACACATGTATGTGTGCACCAGCGGCGCGTCTTTTTCCAGACGAAAGAAGCCGGAAGAGATGGGCTTTTCAGCATTATCCTTGTCGCTAGATTTAATAGATTAGCACATATACTACACTGGACTGGTTGACGAGGATGGCAAACCTACCTAGAGAAGATATCCCCTAGGAAAGCATTACCATTTGCGATCAATGGTGGCTTGAAGGTTGCTTGCGCATTAGCATGATGGCTAAATGGAATGGACATCTTGACGTCGATCTGTACGTAAGAAAATGTAGCATGTTAATGGTGTGATGAGAGTATTGAACTACTCTTCAGGCGTCTGGATCCCCTTATCTACCCTGCCCTTTATGCATCCTATCATAATTCCATACACAATGTATCGGATGTGCCGAAGTTTTAGGTCGGATTAGGACTCCGATGCCGTCGTCCTGTGGATATCGATGGGCAAGACCTCGGGTTCGAACAGAATTGGTGTCATAGAGGTACACCTGATAGGAAATGCGTCAAGTCAGCCCCTTAATGTTCCCACAGGGATTAATACTTGCTCTGTCTGGCCTTATCCGGATAAAACAACTCTTTTGAGAAAGCTAGTTTCGATTTCAGATGTACGCTTGCTGAGAGAAACAGATGACGGCAGGCCATTCGTCATTGCCAGATACTCCTATCTATCACTATAGCACTCCCATCACTGGCCCAAAGAACCCAACCACCAGCCTAGTTCGACCCCTAACCTTCCTCCCTGATCATACATTACGAGGTGCCCCGCTTCTTCGATCACTACCACATCTCGAGCACCCAGCTTCTCCTTCAGTCTGTCCGCTGTCTCCACAGGAATCCACTTATCCTCCTTGCCCCAGATAATTCTCACTGGCATTTTCTTGCCTACCTCAGGGTACTTTCCCTCCACTTCATCCGTGTGGCGACTATTTGCCTGTACCATCTGTCTCACAAAGCCCTTCCTCCCTTCCTCACTACTGATCCACGGCCTCTTCAACATCTCCATCGTCTCCTTCCCCAACTCACTATATGCCGCGTCTCGAATGTATGATTCCACAACTCCCTCAAACACTGGTCCAGTCAACGCGTTAAAGACTTCCTCATTCCCCGCCACCAATCTAAACAACGACTGGCCAAATGGTCCCAATGCAACCACATTGATAAGGCAAAGGCTCGCATACTGGCAACCATGTAATATATGGGCACGTAAGGTCATCAGGCCTCCATGATCATGTGCGATGACATGGGCCTTTGGGTGTTTCCAATCCTGAGCCCAGTAGTGATAAAGCGCAGCGAAGACCTCTGATTGCTGCGCCAGATCGGCATCCAATGCTAGCTCTTTAGTAATAATATTCTCCTTACCCTGGAGTGGCTGCCCGAGGGGGCTCTCGCCAAAGCCGGGGTTGTCGAAGAGGTAGACATGGAAATATCTGGCAAATGATCGCGCGTATGTATCCCAGACTCGCGACGACCAGGGGGTACCGTGGACAAAGATCAGCGGTGGTAAGGCATCGTCACCAAGAGAGGTCCACCGGATTTGGTAGCGGTGGGTAGCGGTGGAGTGGTGAAATATTTGGTTTAGGTGGATGGAATCCATGTCTACTGATAAGGTAATTGAAGTGTAGTATACAACTTGAGCAAAGAAAAGTGGAAGTTGGTAAGTATAATGACCTTGACCTAAAAGGCCCCATAACCCCGCAGCATTAGTAATGCGATCAGTGCAAGGTCTGGGGCAGCAGACTCCAAACTATCCGAATGTTAATTGGTAGAACTTGATTGGCGCGTCGATCTGCTATGTACTATCGTACTATCATATGTAGAACGCATAGCTACCACACTTAGGGATAGCTGAATTCGGCGCGACACACATGTACATCAGTGGCCGGCGTATCTGATATATTGTTAGCAATTACTGGCTTCGAAGCAACTGTTTATCGGAAGGCGCCAGCCTGATATGTCGTGGGTACCCATGGTCATGAGCCCATTCATAAACTCAGGTACCATCTGGTCCTCATGCTCCATGTGTCGGCTTTGTACCCGAGGCATCCTTTCGGTTATGCCGATGTAGTAGTAGCCCAGGCATAAACTGTCTAGTACCATGTTTCTTCTACATTATGCGCCGTAGTGCTAAGGCGCTGGGCTTTGGTGCCTCATTCAGTAGTAAAATACGATTTGCTTTTGCATTGTATTACCGAATCTGGATATTGGATTATGAATAGAGTAGGCAAACCAGACAAACGATATCATACTTGCCAGACATATAAAGGGGTGGCTACAGAACCTCTCCAGCCGTCCCGTTGACACCTCAAAGAACGCTTGTAAGACTGTTCAACCTTTGGCCACTGCTTTGACCTTCCTTTTGAAGCAACCATGACCACTAAAAAGCTACACTACTTCGACTTCAGCAAGGATGCCCGCTCTTCCGGGGTATCCACGATGTCCCCTGTGCGTGCTTTGCCAGCCTCCTGGTACACCTCTGAGAATATGTACTAGTTGGGACGCCGGGCTATCTTTTCCAGGAGATGGCTTTTCCTGACGCACAGCTCGCGTCTCAAGGACACAGATGATAGCCTCTGATATGAGATAGCCGGATTCGATATCCTTATTACACGCGATAGCGAGGGAAATGTTAATGCCTCCCCCAAGGACCAAGATAATGTCCTCCTAGTCCATGTTAAGATCGACGTTAATGGGTTTATCTGGATCAATCTGGGTGCAAAGGAGACACCCGAAGTGGCATGGGAGGAACATTTCCGGGATATTGACAAGCAAGAACGGTAAAAAGTGTACAATTTCGCCGACTACGAGCTTAGCCATACGTATTCGATAGACGGTCATTATAGCTGGAAGATCCTCGCCGATAATTTCAACGAGTGCTACCACTGTCTCACAACGCACCCTGATATTCCAGAGTTCCTAACTCTTACCTCCTTCGACAGTATCTCAAGGATGGACATATCCAGCATCGGTGTGTCTCGACTCCGGAGCAGATGGAGATGGGCCTCAATACTGCTAGCACCTACTACTTTCCGATGACTGCCATGGTTGTTTCGTAAGTGCCCGCTGTCTATATGTTCAGATCTATGTTTTCTAACACACAAAGGCCACATTTCATCAGGATACAAACATTTCCACCCAATGGCCCTAGCAGCTTCAAAATATCCTATGAGATCTACCGGAACAAGAAGTCCTCTGAAGCCGATTTCCGACTTATCAGTGACACGTATGCGCGGGTTGTAGGTGAAGATAAAGCCCTGTGTATCGGTGCGCAGAAGAACCTAGAACGAAATTTCTTTACCAATGGTGCACTACACCCTACGTATGAGAAGACGCCGATCTTCTTCCAGAGCACAGTTCGACAGGTCATCACTGAGCATTTTGACCGTGAAAAGTCCGAAGGTCACGAGATATGGCCAGCGAAACGGAGCTTGCCAACCAATGCATGAGAAAGAAGGACGAGGATATCTGTACCACTTTGGGCTGTGGACAACGGACAGTTTTTCCATCATAATTGGTTACATTTGTACTGTGCTTGCATCTACTCGTTCTTTGCCTTCCGCCATGCCTTTCAGCAGTATTCACTCTTTTGATCTTTGATGTTCCATGCTTCGGTATAACAATTGCATTGTGTGTTCCTTAATAGTTTATCTCCTTTATCTCTGCATGACTGGTCTTTCAGAGAACGGAAATGCTCTGGGTAGATAGAAGGGAAGTAAGATTCACAATAAGAATGGAACGACAGAGAAAGTGCAGCCTGCAGGGCATGTAGTTAATGTCAATCCACCGCAGCCATTCCCAACACATATGAGGAAAATAGGAAATAAGCCGCAATATCTCAAATATTGAAATTCTCCAATAATACCAAAGGCCTGTAGAATGTTCAATACAGTGTCTTGGGTACGTACGTTTTCGAAATCCACTTAACAACCACACGCTTTCAAATAGACGACCATGTATTAGGGCAGAGTTATGTTAACCGATTTTTGCTCGACTAAGTCTACCTTACGGTCAACCTAAAGATCTTACCAAGTTTACCAGCGGCCAACTCTTGTGTTATTGTATAGCCCGATTAGATATGTCTAGTAGGGCCCACTGTATTACTAGCCAATCATAATTACTAAAATTCTCGGATTATTAGTTAGTCCGCTTCCGAAGACACTAACCGCTTCTTTTAAGTTTAGGGGATTTATTCTATCTGCGCCCCATGGCCCCTAAATTTTAGGTACTTGCACTATTACCTTTCGGCACTGCAATCCCTAGGCTTAGGGCTTAGTCTCTGGATATCTACATCACCACCACCACCAGTACTACCACTAGTATAATAATTAATAACCATATCCTACTCCACAATAGTATATTATACTGCCCTATCATGATACCATGATGTTAAAGTCTATATAAATAATCAAAACGATAAATGCGTGGCAGTCTTGGCTTGATGCAAACGCCAAGCGGCCAAGGTTTCGGTAAAAAATGGCTGGTTAGGCTGCGAAATTTAGTCCGCCGGGACCACTGGCCGCTTGCGTCGATGACCAAGAGCAAAACACCCCAAACCTCACAATTCACCATTCATATAACTCTTACATAAAACCATGAAGTCTCCGATCCCCGACTATCTGCGACAGGTGTTGGAAAAGGCTCGCCCGGATACTTCCGGAAAGCTTGCCAGCTATATCGATGTGCTGGCTAAAGCGGACCCCTCCAAGATGGCCGTGGCGCTGTCGACCGTAGACGGGAATCTATACTCGGTCGGGGATGACCAGGTTGAGTTCTCCATCCAGTCTATTTCCAAGGCCTTCGTTTATGCCCTGGCCATTAATGATGCCGGGCTACCACGGGTCTTGGAGAAAATCGGCGTGGAACCATCGGGCGACGCATTCAACAAGCTATCGTTGCAACCCGGCACCCACCGGCCAATGAACCCCATGATCAATGCCGGTGCGATCACCGCCCACACACTGGTGGCAGGGGAGAATGCCACGGTGGAACAAAGAGTTGATCGCATATTGAAGGCAGTGTCCAAAGTGGCAGGTCGGAAGTTGCAAGTGGATGAAGAAGTCTACGAGGCCGAGCTCAAGGACGCCAATCGAAACATGGGCATCGGTTACATGCTCAAGGCAGCAGGGATCATCTCGTGTGATCCACAGGAGGCGGTCCGCGGTTATATCCGCCAATGCGCCATCAAAGCCAATGTCCGCGACCTGGCAGTGATGGCAGCAACTCTAGGGAATGCGGGTGTGCATCCCATAACTGGAGAACAGATCATGCCCCACCAAAGCGCCCGCCAGGTCCTGTCGGTCATGACTACCTGTGGCATGTACGATTCCTCTGGTGACTGGGTGTCTCGGGTTGGCATGCCCGCAAAAAGCGGCGTGGCTGGCGGAATCATCGGCACCCTTCCCGGCCAAGTGGGCATTGCTGTCTTCTCGCCAAAGCTAGACGAGCGTGGCAATAGTGTCCGAGGTGTCAAGATGTTTGAGCAGCTCTCATCCGAAATGGGCCTCCATATGATGGACAGCAGCCAGGTGGGTAGAGCCACCGTGCGCACATGGACGATGACTATTGCCGGCGGCGCAGATCAACCACACGAGTGCGAACAGGAGGTGCCTGTCTTTGGTCTGCGAGGCGCAGTCCGGTTCGCGGGTTCCGAACGACTTACCCGTGCGATTGTGCGCGAGATCAGCCCTCCAAACCCTGACGACCCCGGGTCCGGGCGACACACAAACGCTTGTGCCGTCATCTTCATGCTCAGAGACACTTATTCCCTCAATTACGTCGCGCTGCGAATTATTAGTGAGGACATCCGCCGGCTTCTTGAGGCAGGTAAAAATGTGGTGGTGATAGACCCTGCCAAGGTCCTTACGATTGACGGGAATCCTGCGTTTAAAGACAAATCACCCCGTGTGGTCAACGACGAAGCTGAGGCGCGTCATTATATCGGTGGTCAAGGCTGCAGGGCCGTTTCCCATAGTGATGAGCTTTATTGAAGACTGGACACTACCACATGTAAGGGAGAGAGTTCGGCGTGCATTTGATTATATAGTAACGGCTTGATAACATCGATATATCCTGGCTGCGTAAAAATCCCTGAATTCAATCGAAACCAGATAGATACAAAAACCCGATACTGAAAACGGAGCACGTTCGTAGATTCATGTAAGAGAATCAACGAATATCTATCCGTGAATCGAATGGTATAGGATTGTTCAGGACATACCCACAAACTATGCGGCGGACACCCTGGTAGTCGATTGATATCATACTGGCAATGGAGCTGAGGAAGATGCTGTGCGCGGAGAGGTACATTGTAAAGGGAGGCACCGTCAAGCCGGAGCCAGGTTGCCAGGGATATTTGTGCCAACCTGGGCAAAGCACGAAGGTCTGTATCTATATTTTAATTACATATGTCCTCTCAGACAGCGGGCATTGCAGCATATTAAGGTCGTTTTTGAGTAAAGGTTTGTGACTATCAATATCTCACTATGCCGACCACAACTATATATTTCCAAAGCCACATTCCAACGGATATGCAACAAAAGGACAACGCCATCCAACTAGGTCAACAGACGAAAGTGATTGTGCTTATCGCCCAGAGCACTAACATCAATGGGACCATCACCCTGTGGCACAGGCCCGAATTCCTGATCTCTACGTCTGTTCTCAGCGGCGTAGGAGAAATGGAGGACCAGTCCAACGGGTACAATAATTCCCGTGAGGCCACAACCGATGGCCGTTCCCTTGACAAAGTAAGGTCTATTGCACGTCAGTCCATATGAGTAACTATATTCTAAAAGTAAGTTTTCACTAAGATCTAGGGAAGGAAGTGAACGTACGCAGCGCTATTGGGATACATAAACGAGGCCAGGAATGAAGAGCATTGACCGATAATAGCGAGCAATGACATTCCAATTCCCTTCTTCGTGTCGCCAGCATTGTTATTGAGCATCCAGGTCATGTTGATCGCCAAGGCAGGGAAGACACCACAGCTTGTCAGCCAAATGGCTACGTACCGCACTGCCGTTCCGGTCTGCGTGGCTAACAAGGCATAGCCCACGGTCGCAACACTGGCAGATATGGCTAGAATCCAGCCGCGCGATCCATATCGGTCTGAGAGCCATGCCACAAGTATGCTGGATAAGAACGCACCGAAATAAGGTGGTGCCGTAAGGCCTTGTGCTTTCACAGAATCATAGCCCATTTCATGGACGATGGTGGGAAGAAAGTTGGATAGCCCGGCGAAGGAATAGTTGCAACAGAAATGGAGGCAGGCGTGGCAGTAATTCTTATAATCTGTCAGACCGGCGAATAATTGAGCTTTGGAAAGTGAACTCTTGCGCGTTGTGTCGCGGGTTTCCATGCGTTCTACTGCGAAAGTGCGTTCTTCGTTGGTGAAGAACTTCGCCGTCGAGGGAGAGTCCATCAGCACGAACCAGACAATAGGAGCAATGACAATTGACGGCGACCCCTCTGGCATAATAAGATTAGCCTCCAATTCTACTGGAAATGCATAGTCGCATGTAGGTCATTTACCGATCAAAAATATTAACCTCCAGGGTGCCATGTGGGAGCGAATTTGGGAAATTCCATACGCAATGGCGCCTGCAATGCAGTTGGCGATTGGGCTGGAACCAAGCAAGATAGATACACGTGTACCCAGTTCGTGACGTTTATAGCATAGAGATAGGTAGTATGGGACGCCAGCCCCAAATCCTGCCTCCAGGACGCCCAGCCCTACTCGGCAGGCGATCAAACCTGCCATGTTATGGACGAGTCCGGAGCACATTGCACAAACACCCCACCTTAATTTGTCAATTAGATGTTTCGTTGAGATTTAAAAGATAAGTGAGTCCCTTTGTCATGGTGGACTTACAACAGACATAATACTGTCACGTAGATATGTGCTGGGAAAACCTTCCAGCAAAGAACTAGCCACTCTAGACAGGTGTATGTAATGTAAAAGGAGTTCAGTACCCATGACCACTAACCTAGAGTGTTATCAGTAGGACAGAATTAGTCTCGGGGAATTGACATGCCTGGTAGCTGGTGAGACCAAGATCCTCCTGCGCCCCCGCAGTCTTTGCATTGCCGATATTTCCACGATCAAGGTACGAAATGACATACAAGACCCACACTAGGGGTAGTACCCATATATCGTACTATTGTGATATATGAGTCAAGGGCTAACTTCAAATATGCGGCTTATTTACCTTCCGGACAATGCGGGCATTTAATAATCGCATTTGCTGCCTTTGCTCCGCAACATAGTTCTCTCCGGCTTCGATTTTCATGTCGTCCAGGTTCTCCACATGATTGGATGAGCCCATAGTTTCTTTGGCCGTTTTCGCAGCCATGGCCATGTTGGAATGGATAAAAGATGGTATGTAAAAAGAGGAATCTACGTGGGGTAGAGATTGGCTTTATATCGTAAGCTTCATGTGGAGCTCTGCTCTCTCGGATGTCTCTTATCCAAGCACAGCTTACCCCAGGCTGTGTAATGATATAGGCCAGATCAGATGAGAAAGAGGTCTGAATTAGTATCCTGTTAGCCATGGGATTCTACTTATACGGGCCTAGGTAATAAAGCAACCCAGCTGAGAACAAAGAGATCAGACACTAGGCCTTGAGTCGCGTAGTGGCTAACATTAACTTTCTCCATACCCCGGACTTTGTCCATACCCCAGACTTTCCCCACATGAGCTGGTGACGGAACATACCTTGGCTTGCCCACCTTAGAGGATAAGTGGGAAAGCTTAATTCGTACTGCTAAAGAGGGGAAACCCAGTACAACACGATTCGGACACTCGCGGGTTTTACCGGTTAAGAGAAGCTGTACGGCTATACGAGGGCCGTTCGGCTAACAGAAAGTGGTTTAACATATTACAAGACACTATTTTGGCTAGAGAACTTATGGGTTAAAGTTAATAAAGAACTCACTGTTGCGGGGTATCATAGTAAAACTTACGCCAAGAATCACCTCCAATGTCTGTGCTACACCGGCACTATAGAGACATTGATTTCGGCAGATTCTTGAAGCAGCCGACATCGGCTTCCACGAGTCAGGTCCCAAATTTCGCTTTGTCTCTCGTGTCAAGCGCAGAGCACATCATAGCAGCTATGACGGGTAGCAGGCAGATGCGACTCTGACGTATATTTCTTATTGGTATCTTTGTTTATCCTTTGCCATTGCCTACAGGAACCGGCGAATGCATCGATAGCTGGGCAGTGCTTATCTAAAGACAGTATACGCCACCAAAACCAATGAAGCCATGAATAGAGATTGGGATCACTCAATATTTCATATCTTATGCTTTGTGTCCACTACCGCCAGGGTATATAATTTAACAGAGAATATTACTTCCAGCTTGTCGAGCTAATGCATCAGTAACCCTCGAATGCCAAATACTACATGGTATAAGAGGAGAAATATCTCGATTGCTTTCGTGAGGTTACTTTAATGGTCTATAGAAAGTGTGGGGCCTAGAGGGAGAAATTCGTCCGATGATACGAATGTGGCAAAATCTGCTCTTAGTCCATAGGAATTACAAATAGTCATCTTCCTTAAGAATAAGGAAAACATCGAAGTATCTATATAAACTGGGACGTTCATATGCGAAGGGAAGGGAGACCTCCGAAAACGGAGTCCAGAAAACATTTTTGGCAAAGATTAATGGAAAGCCTATGGACGCACCATCCGTAGCAGATCTCCCATAGGTTCCCCTAACCCTCTGTGTAGCTGCATGTTGCGATGTGGGGTGACAGAAAAAGAAGGATAGCTACTCTGCTCGACCCACTGCGCAGGGATATGATCCCTTCACGTTTGCTAGCGAAGTACGATGCCTAATGTAGTATTGCAACCTCTAAATACATTATTCACTAGTTCACCACCTTCTAGTACTAATGAACTCAATATGGTATCTTGTAACCTGTTTGGCACTACATCTCGTAGTGTATAGTCACGATGTACAATTTTCTTCAATCCCCTTCATTACTCACACTTGAAGGAGGATGTCTGGTTCCAATCGCCAGCAACGTATGTCGCGCGCTGTGGATATGGACATGTTCTGCGTTGTGCCTGGACACCAAGCGCGGGGGTATCGTCGATATACTTGGTAGCGACCAGCTCGGTAGGAGCAGTACCATTTTCAACCCATGCCATCAGAGCCATAATAGCGTCATGTTTTCTATCCCGGAAGCCAGGCACACCCCACACATTACTTCCTGTCAAAGCAGAGGGTTGATTGGCAGATCCAATGTACCAGGGAGCCCCATGCACCGAGCCTGAGCAGTGTTGCATACCAGGAATGAGGAAGAAACGATAGAAATCATCCAAATCATAACCTAGCGGAATCATTGTGTTCTCAACCTGCTTATAGTAGTAGATGCTGGATCCGGTTGGAATTTCCCCATCAGCGAATCCGTGATAATGAATCAACTTGCCGCCACGTTGGTGGAAAGGACGGAGGTCGTAGGTATCTGCCGTAGCGTTTCCGGGGTCCAGGAGGTCGGACAGTTGTATCGTAGCGTAATCGAGACTTTCCGCGGGCCAGTTGGCATCGTTGTACACAAAGTCACGGGGATAGGCAACGCCACTAGGCTCATCTACAGAATCATCATCTGTGATAATCATCAGAGAAACTTGAGCTTCTGATCCCCAGGCAAAGGAAGGGAAAATGAATGTCTGATCGGTATCAATCCAATCACTGTAGACTCGATAGATCGTGCCAAGCTGATCAGCACTGAAGCAGGTGCTGGTGTTGGCTCTGGAGCTGCTGCAAAGCAATGCCTCGAGCCTAAATTGGCAAGCATAGCCATCCATTATAATGTTGTCCTGCACACCATCCTGTTCATCACACTGTCGAAGCACTTCGGTGGCTAGGACATCCATCAATTCAGTAGTAACATGATGAGAGGCGTTGTTCGGCAAGTTATCCAACGCAAGCTTTAGGTCCCAATTTTGCTGATGAGAAGTCCACCAAGCACATGCCCCTGCCAGAACACCATCGAAGTCATCGGGGAACATTTGGGCCTCTTTCAACCCCTGACGACCGCCAGTGGAACAGCCCGCGTAGTACGAGTACTCGATATTGTCATTGTAGAATGCTTCTGTCAAAACCTTTCCCAGAGCAACACTGCCATGGAGAGCACGCCAGCCCCAGTCTGTCCTTGTTTCGGGATTATTTAATGCCCACGCAGCATCACCAGCCTCTTTCACGGAGGAGTTATGCCCCGTGTTTGTTGAAACAACTGCGAAGCCGTAGTTCAGCCCGGGTGCCATATCGGCAAATGCAACTTGACCAGTGAATCCACCATTTCCGTAGGCCATGTAGCGCTTGTTCCATGTTTCTGTTGGGAGCCAAAGGCCGAATTCGTAGGAGGATATAGTGGACGAGCTGACGTTCACGTAGAGCGCGCAGTATTGAGGCAGGCCTGTGTAGTTTCCCAAAGGCCCCTCAAAGGTCTCCGTGGAGGTGAAAGTGCGAGCGTATACGATGCTGACATTGCTAGTGAGATAAGGAGCGAAGAAGCTTGGTTCGCATGTACTGGCGATTGACGCAGCGGGAGCCAACGCGGCAAGGAGTAATGAAGCACGCATTGTACAGTCCAGTTCAAGGTTCGACAGCGAAAATAATGACAAAGAACAGTGGAGAGAACTAGAGGTAGTTTAAGATATACCTCAAGAGATGGGGTTGGCTCTATCAAAAATAAATATAGTAAGTATATCCAGCTCGCATACGTATGATAGACGCGTCACCTCCCCAAGTATCAGGGTTAGTGAGCGAATGGAATCACTCGGTATATAGACCATATCGTAGGATATCTGTTGTAGATCACCGGGCTTCCTCCTCTTCTAGATTAAGGTCTAACAGGTGCGTAAGTGGACCCTATGGAGTCATTTTAAGGAAGGCCGAGCCACTGTTTGAAGGATTCTGGAACACATTACGGACTCTTCTAATCTACGGTGTAATAACGCCTGCGGCATCTTCGTCAAAGCCAATCCCGCCTGGTATGGATACAGTGCGGGCTACAGTAACTCTCGACAGCAGAACCAGCAATTGACTTCGTGCCCCTGCAGTAGTCCACTCTTTACTAAATTATGCCCCCTTTCTTTGGCCGGACATATGTGTATCATTCTTATGGGCTAATGATTGTAAACGATGCCCCAACAGACCCACCAAGATCTCTGCTCGGAGATATATACTGGTTGCAGAACTTCGTATCTCGGAGGTAACGATCCACTGCGGTGGAGACTAGTCCTTATTAGGCAGTCAAAGGCGGGTCCGTCTTTGCCTCAGGTTCACTGAAGGACACAAGTATATATCGACAAATATTGTTGCTTTACGTCTAGTGTGTATCTAGGTTACCTTAAACGCAAGGACTTTACTATTTCTCTTGACTCCCCATTATCCGACTAATCCCTAAAGCTGCACTATAGCTTTCCGTAATAGAATCGTTGATTTTACTTTTGCGAGAAGCATATCTGTGGTACATACAAACCGAACGATCGGGAAATCCAGCCCAGCTAGAGCAGCAACAGTTATATACAGGTGAAAGATTTAGGAGCTGACTCGGGTAATTTTGAACCCACCGGGCACCTTCGTTTGGAAAACGCCATTTGGATCATATTTTGCTGCAACCTTCTTTACAAACTTCACTTGTTCTTCCCCAATACTTTGAATGGGATCTTGCCACGAAGCTGCATAGTTCAGGTAAGTGAACGGTACCTTCGCCCCTTTCGCCTCAGTGTTCTTCTCAACTGCTGCAATGAATTCCTTAGTCCCATTCAGCATTCGAGCCGAATCGGTAGTATCAGACCACCAGTTCGCGATCAGACAGATCACCAGGTCCTTTTCTGGATGAGTACCTGGGGCCAGTCCAAAAGTGTCAACAGAGCCGTCTTCGCCTGTCACCGGGGGCACAGCTTGGAAGGTCAGGCTAGAGACGAGGCCATCCACACTTGACAACTCAGTTACTGAACTATTCCAAAGCCGGTAGACATCCTGGAGACCTGCCAAGCTACTTTTGAAGGTCGTTGTAGCCCAAACTCCTCTAATAAAATGTTAGCCGTGGCCCGTCGATTTCCCGGCGCACAATAATGTGGTAGGTCAGCCCGTCGTTATAGTTGCGTTCTACTTACAGCAAGTTTGCCGGTTGAGCCTCCGACATCTCTTTACTAAAGTCGGAAGAGTTCGAAATCCGCATCGTGTTGGAGATCTGCGGCTGTATTTGCGCAAAGCGACGCAGAGAGCTGACGTTCACAATCGGTTTCGAATAAAACATATTGTTTGAGCTAATACGCAGTTCTTTGGCCTTATAGTAAAGGAAGCTTTGCTCAATCTCGGCATCGGGGTCGAAGTTGGCGGGCGTTTTGAACTCTGCAAATGCGGCGAGCTGTGCTGAAACTGCTGATTCTGCGTACACGATACCGCCACCCCAATATAACCCCTGCTTGAAAGATAGAAGGTCAAATCTAGTCACTACGCCCAGGTTATTCTGGCCAGCTTTTAGAGCCGCGAATAGGTCTGCATTGCTGGTTGCGTTTGCGTTGACGATGTCTCCCGAGGCAAGGACAACTTCCATGTTTGCGACGTTATTGGAAGCAAAACCCAGGCGCGGTGAGAAGACCGATAGTCCACCTAGGGATTTCCAGTTGTATCAGTTTACGTAATTGGCCATTGTAAAAAACCATAGAGCTATGAAAAGTGAATCCTCTATAAACCTACCTCCGGTAAGAAGACCACCGACTCCAACAGTTCCGACACGACCACCGAGGACAGCAAGTCCACGTTCATCTAAGTACTCATATACCTCGGACCAAAGCGCACCCCCACCAACAGAAGTTACGTTCCCCTCTCCATTGACAGAGATATGATTGAGACTTCTCAAATCGAGAGTAATACCCGTGTTTGAATTGGCAAAACCAACATTGGCGGAGTGACCACCTCCCCGCACAGAAAGAATTGCTCCATCAGTGGTTTCAACCTGCTTGATCACAACCGCAACGTCCCGTGCGGAGTCTGGACGAACCATGCAGTTGGGCGTCAACCGCTCTTGGACAAAAAAGTAAGATGCCACAGCATTATCGTAGATAGTACTATTCGGAAACGAGACTTGACCAGGTAAGAGCTTCGACAAAGTCAAACACACAGCCGACGAACTGGCTATGGAGAGTCCCAGAAAGAGAAACGGGAGCAACAAGCGGAAAAACATGTTGTCTTTGTCAATGCTGGATTTGAATTTGACGCAGAGAGATAGAGCTTTATAACCAATTACATGGGCCTATAATGACCGAGGCTTTTTAGAACCC